TGTGGAAACACCAGTGAGCCAGTGAGCTGTTTTGTCATATGCTCTATGACAAATTGATAAAGGAAACGCACCATCATGCGTAGCACGATGGGCCTGTCCTCTTCGAAGTAAACCAGAGAAGCGGCAATAGTTAGGCGATTGGAGGGGTCGCCATCCCACGCGCTGGCGCTCACATGGCCAGGCGACACGGAGTCCAAGGCATGGCTCACAGCACAGGTTGCTGCGCCCCCAACAGGCAGGGGTGCACTTAAAATGATCAGCCACGTTCATGCCAATTTCCATTATCTGATACAATGTCCCATTTTCAACCTCTAAGGATTGTCATAATCACAAATGCCCATAAAACAATTCAACCCCCATGCCACCTCATCACTAAGGTGCAACCCACATCTGAAACATGCCACAGCTTCCCTTTCACTCAGAATTCAAAACAACACAATTCTGACTACTCAGGTGCCGCATATGGTCATTTCCAAACGCCCCCACTGCAAAGTGCAAGTACAAATCTTGCAAGCCAAAGTGAAAGTAGAGGGCGGTCACAATGTTGTAAAGCTTCGGGAAACACACATCCGAAACTTCCCCACAACACACCCTTGCATCTTGCAGACAAGACACTATGACCAAGGCATCTCTATGTGAATTGCATGACATTCTTTCATCAAGCTCATGTTGTCCTCAACAAACATGAGTGTGATCGAAAACTACCTCAAAAGCCGAATTACAAACCAGGATTCAATCACAGAAATGGCTATTCGGTACTTTTAGATTCTTTCAATCTCAAGCAGCGATTCACGCTTTGACATGCCCACTAGTCGCAAACCATCAAGTAGAAGTGATCCACCCAGTGAAACGGTGGTCATTCTGCGGCGTCGCGAACAAAATGTAATTCATGGAATTTCGACTAGTGAGCCACCGTTTGCTGCAATGTACTGAAACTGCACCCGTCGACTCCTCACTGCCCGGAACGACTCGGGAGCCCATGCGCATGCAGCAAAACCATACCAAAAGGCTCAGAGGAACACGCTGAGAAGCTCCGCGTCGAGACATCGGAGCAATGCCCCGATACCGCAGCAAACGGCGAAGGGCCATCCATGGGGCCGCGGGAGGCCCATCCCATCCACGTGGCCGAATTTTCAATCTCGACGAGCCAAACAAAAAGTAGCCGGGGGGAAGCACGGGCAAGGGAGAGGCCTTGAGGTTTGCCGGAACAGAATGCAAGCACAAGGCGAGGGAAAGAAAGCCCCCCCCCATTCCATGCGGTCGGACATGGGTCCCGCGAATGGCCATGGCTCTCAGAGCCACACGGTCGATCCTCGCACACCAACAAAAAAGTAACCCGGCAGGATTACGCACGGGGACGTTGACTCCCATCCTGCACGGGGAGTTTGGTCGCAGAGGCTCAAAGGAAAGAACGCGGCCGTCCCGGAGGCCGGCGGGGCACGGGGTGTGAATGGGGACGCGGAGGCCGGGGTCGGGGGCAAACGGTTGTACTGCTGCCAGCTGACTCAACCTGGCACCCGTGGCACCCACCCAACGTCATCCCTGACAGTGCCCATTGTCAAGATGGTTCATTTTAATCTTCATTCGGCTCATCCACAGAGTTGAATCCGCGAGTTCGTCTGCACATTCTACAAATTTGCGGATAATTCCTCTTGTGAACAAGAGCAAATGCAACGTTTCGCAAATACACTATTCATTGATTATTCACTTAAAATTATGAGGCAAAGCATGTGCTGCACGTTCACTGTGCAGCTGTACTTGGAAAAAAACACCCTACCATCCCCCTTTACCATTGACCCAGGGGAGCACTGTTATCTACAGCAATATACGGAAAGTTAGTTGTCTGAATCCACACTGGCCACAACATTCAAGCCTTGGATGCCATGTAGTACAGCATACCAGCGAATTCGCAGCCACTGCGTTATGTCAATGGCTGAACTGCATCAACCAGCCACAAGCTGCGCACAGCACGTTTCAACACAGCAAATTAAATGCACGTCAAACTATCAACAGGGAGGAGACCCCAAGAATTTGCAACAAATCCCAAGTAAATCCCCGCCATCGCAGTCGCCCTGTCCGTCCATCAAATCCCCTGTTCGCTCTCCCCACTGTCCTGACTCTCTTCGCTCCCATCACCCAAACTTGCTTCGCTGCCATCCTCGCTGTCAGCGTCTTGATGATCCACGGCCTCAATGTTTACCTCTTCCACCTCGGGCTCTTCCTCAGACTCGCTCTCCTCGTACATGACCTGAGTGCAAGCCCCAACAATCAACAATCCAGCCACATCTATCCATGCGTCCACGTCGCAGTGGAGATATTGTGTGCCAGGCCCGTCTTAACTGAAGAAATGAGGGCCTTTTGCCACCTCAAAGTCTGTACAAGGCAATGTGAAGTCCCAGGAACTGGCCGCAGAACATCGCCGTGCTGTAACAGGGACTTCCTAGGACTTCACATTGCCTTGTACTGACTTTGAGGTGACCCAAAAGTCCATTGATCACTGGTTGGACCTCCATTGACTGATGTGCTCACAATACCAGCAAACTTGGCCCGCTCACATGGTCCAAAGGCAATGCAGCTCTCAAGAAATCATGAGCCTTGTTCAACCGATTCTGCTCACTGTACCACCCTTGACATATGTGCCACCCCAGGGAGACGAATATGCGCTACAGGCTCTGCGCAAAGTTGCCATTGCCTGCAAGCATAAAGGGCTTTGCCGCCGCGTAAATTGACAGTGAGGGGATCTGGGGGCAAGGGGAAAGAAAAAAAAAGTGCAAAGGTACTGCCAATCCAGCAAGCTAAACAGGACTGCACATGACATTGACAGTTGCAAAGATGAAAAAGAGCCCCTCAAGGTTGCTGCCGAGGTGCAATGTGCAGGTACCCCATCCTTTTTGCAGAACAACAATGCCATTACACACCTTCTGGTGACGACAGCAACATCATCAATAGGAAAGCACAGCAGGCCGCCCTTTGGCACAACTGTGGGTGCCCATACAAAATCGTTTTCCTTCCCACAGCTGACAGCTATTTGGTGACAGTTAAGTATGGTTGTTCATATCACAGGCGGCACGTGCATTGAATGTTGTCGGTGTCTTTACCTCTTGAGCAAACACAATGGTAGGTTCTGTGCTGCCATACTGCCAAACATTCATTTGACAGTGGCGCATCATCCCTGACAACAACAGTTCTGACCAGTCACTGTGTTGAGCAACTGCCACAAACTACCCAATGCAGTCGCATGGGCTTTCCTCACCATTGGCTTCGTCGCCAGCTGCTGGCGCTGCTCTTCTGACCGTTCCTTGAGCTTCATCTGCCCAAGGGTGAGGTCCAAGCGCCCTTGGAGGGACAGCATGGGGGAGAAGAGTGCCAAGCGTGCCTCGATGCACTGCACACACCCAAGGGGCTGTCACAAAGGAGCAACGCGGTGATAGTGTATTGTTGCAAGTACACCCATGCGGGGAAATGTAAGTCAGATAGCTGAGATTCAGAGTGCCAAGCGCACACATATAGCATACTTTGAGCCTCCTGCATAGAGGGTGGCTCACCTGCACTGTGAGTGCCGCGAGCCTGAGCTCTTGTACAGGGCGCACAGTAGTTGCCCAAAAACACAACTTTTGTCAGAAAGTTGTTCCACACTGAACCATGTGTCCTATTTCCTTGCCAGTTTCGATCTCATACGCACTCCACCAGCGATGACAATTGATGCTCAAGTGCAGCGCAGTCATAATCTTGACTGATGGATGGATCGATTTGTTGACTGATTCATTGCATCATTTAGGGAACAAGGTGCGTCAGGGCTGCTCACCTGATACAGGGTAGTAAGGACCGGCATGACACCTGGTGCCTGCATAAGGTATGCCGCATGATGTATCAATGTCTCACGGATCCACATGGCCAGGTTCGTGCCCCTGGACGGCTTTGCCTGTAGCCTGCCCACTAACATCCACAGAAGTGTGGCTGCATCTGAGGGGAGCAGCTCCCGGATGGTGGACCTCACTAATGCATCACCCTTCTTGGCTATGAGGCATTTCTCAAGCAGCACCTTGTCTTCGCTGCAGGGGCCAATGCCAGGTGGAAACAGGCGATCAGCACAAGTATTGCAGCACACTTGCACATTCCGATTCACAATTGACTGTGCAAAGTATCGCAGTAAATACACAGCGACGCTCAGCCCCACAGTCATGATCTAATGAGACTACAAAATGGGGCTGGGGCTCATATGCACCGCATCTTCACGAAGGGAAAGATTTAATCAGTGGCCACTGAAGCAGTTGTTACCAACTACGTACTTTGAGCAAGGTGTGCAGACTGGTCCATGGATGCCTGTAGTCTGCACAAGCCTACCTTCGCACTGCTTGTGTCAGCAAGACTGATAACGAGTCTGCAGTCATTCTAGTTCTCTTCTCTGGGCCCTGAGCCTGACCTTCCCCAGCATCCCTGCGTTGCAACAACTCCACTCGCTCCCCCAGAGTCAACTCGACATCGTCTCTGTTCTCTGGACAAGACCACACTGCAGATGGTCAGCTGACATGCATCAATGACAATGAAGTGCCACATCATCAGCACTTGTGCTTCAGTGGGCTTGCTGCATGGACCCTCCTAGTCAAGTCCCAACTTTTTCATCGACCTTGTACTTCACAAGGAGGGGACAAAGAGATAGGCAAAGCGGTGCTCCTACCTTTCAAACCATCATGCATAGCAAAGCCAGACAAAACACGAATTAATGAATCCTCACACAGGCCACAAAAACATGATTGTGCTGCTCAGTTCACGTAGCTCTTGAAAGGAAAATGTCAGATTGCAATAGTCTACTAGCAATCTAGATCGATGCCAAGCCCCAACCCCACATCAACAAGAAACCAAACGGCTACAAGAGACCGGTGGACAGAATTCACACAGCTTGCTTCACAGGCCATCCACGCACCTCTCCCCCTGCCATCCTGATCACTAACATCCAAAACCCCTTCATCCACCACAGCAGCATGGCCTTCGGCAAGGGGTTTCCTCCGCTTCGATGCATTTGTCAGCTTGCTGCCGCTGCTTTCCTCATTTCCCAGGCTCTCAAGCCGTCCTGTCTGAAAGTTGCCAAGCATCAGCCCTTCACTAGCATCGTCAGGGCCAAGTACCACAACTTCCCTTCCCCTCTTCCTGGAATCCTTTGTCCCTTCCCTGGAGGCATGAGGATCTGGGGTCGGTAGCAGAAGTCCAGCTGTCTCGGGCTTGATGCTGATTTGCAGGGGCCTCTTGCCGCCCACCTGAAGCCTTTGTTCCTCGAACACAGGCTTCACCATGTTCCCATGCACTAGCAATACAGTGGGGCCTGCATGTCCAAGGGGATAAACGCGATTACAATTATTGACGCAAAAAAGCACACACAATCACACACTCTCCTTAGCGTTTGTGGTGCTGGACAAGGCAACACTTTGGCAACATGCTTGGCACAGTATTTGCGAGTCCAAGTGCGCCAGGTTACAGATGCCAACGTCAATGAATTCGCCACCAAATACTGATGGCCAGCACAAGCATCTGTAGCTAACGAACTTCCATGGGCACTTGCCATTGATGCTGGCATCCATTGGTGGGGACTTGACACGTTTCTCGGCAACACAACCAGCAGCCCGGCTAATACACCAGGCAATATGGTGCAGTATTGCAAGCCAGAAACACCTCTAGTCCTTCTTAGAAACATGCCACACAATGGGTAGGCATCACTAACCTTTATGTGAATTTTATGAGAATCTTGGTGTAGATGATGGTGCGCAAGCCTTTGAGTGTAATGGCAAGGGCATGCAACACAAGACACCAGGCCAATGACAGTGCAACAAGAACAGTCCATATGCATGGTACATATCAAAGGCCAACATTACCCATGCTGCATGTGCACACTTTTGTAGCCAGCACCTTATACAATACAACCCACGATGCTAAAAAAACAGCAAGCCACACCTTCAGATCCTGCTTTGATTCTTGCACTTAGGATGGTGTCACTGTTGGAAGACGACCTGCAAACAAACAGCATAGCAAAATCAGGGTGTGTTTTGCCAATGGCACTCTTTCAAATACTATGAAACAATGGAATGCACCAGAAAGAACAAACAACAGATCGTCACTGGAAGCACAGCATGCCCTGCTATGCTTGCAACCATACAGAGCTTTCCACAATAAATCAACACAGATCGCATCTGTATCACCATACAGACCGCCAGCCTCTTTTTATACTCCATATGCCAGTTGCACACCACAGCAAAGCTCAAGTACATTGTCGATCACTTGCAGTGGCAATTGTGCAGGAAAGGGTTTCATGCCAAAGATCTTCAGAGGGCCTCCACCAACTTGTGCAGGTCACAAAAAGAAGAAAAATAAGAGCACACATGCAGTATACAACAATAGTTTCCAATTTCTATAGCGTGGAACTCGCTGTCTCTGTGAGCCACATATCTTTAGAACAACCCTCACCTACACAAGTTAAAAGGACTCATAAATAAAAGTGCACGTGCGATACTGCACCACACCACCAGCTCTACAGTTCAACCATTGGGCAATGCAGGCATTGGGCGTCAAAAACAAACTCTGATGAAGTGGATCACGCGTTCAAGCAAGGAAACCCCACAGATAAATTGAGGGAAGACTACATGACCATCACCTGTCTGCATCGATACCAAGCAAAAGATGGATAAATGTAAGGCATGCATGCTAAAGTTACACCGTACTTCAAAATCGTCTGCTGTCAACATCATTGTTTTCACAGCGGCCCTGCCTAAGAGGGTGTTTCACACGCAACACATACACATACACAATGGAGGCAAACAACCACTCATACACAGTCCGACTTGAGAGCGCACCCGTCATCGTTGGCAACCTTGATTTTGCCGCACAATTTTCCCTCCATTTTGTCATTCTCCCCAACCTTGCACTCCCACACGTACACCTCACCGCTCTGGGACAGCCCCAATGCACTGAAGCCGTCAGCATCGTCTGAGCCAGACGTGGAGCAAGCATCCAACATGCCCGCCGGGTGTTCCATCGGCAGGCTGTGAGTTGCCAACAGTTTCTTCTTCTTCTTGGGGTGCTTTGGCATGGACCACACGGCCAGGTGGCGTTCACCCTCAGCTGCAGAAATGGCAAAGGTGCCACTCGGCTCGAATGCCAGTGTCCGGACGGGTGTCTGCCAGAGTGGCACCAAACCCACCAGTCAGAATGATGCAAAAACGTGGAAACGATCTTGTTGGCGGCAAAACGTTTCCAAAAGGAACCATTGAGAACACTGCGACAAAAAAGCGCCCTGATCCCACCAATGGATGTCATGTTTGGGAGCCCTGCCTATCTCAGTAGGACTTTCATGTCTCCCCAAACTGAGCACGTTCTGCAGCCTCTGTGCATAAATTGATTTGCCAATTTCTTGGGATACATGTGGATCCACTGTGCAATGCCCAAGCATACTTTTGCCTATCTTGGAGGGATACACACCGGGTGGCCCATGAACTTCGCCCTGCTCTCTTTCTCATTCAGGTCCCACAGTGCAAGGCTTGAGCTGCCAACAAGAATCTGTTGTGAACCTGCCACCACAAATCAAATAGCTGAGCACTTCTGCATTGTCAACAACAGGGCACATCCTGTTGGTGGCAGACAGACATGAACAAGAGCTTAGAGTCCGGAACATCAAACCCTTGGTCTGTGACCAGACCTAAATGAGCATAGGGAACTCTGCCCTGCTATTGTGAGCAGCCAGCGGCTGGGTAGCTCAACAGCTCTTGCCGAACAATATGGCTGTGGGCCATCCACGCTCCACCATAGTAATGATTGATTCTCTTCCAGCTAGCAGAAGTTTTGTCCACAAGACTGGCCTTGGTGTTGAACGAACCAATTCCATTTGCTCATAGGATAGCACACAGTCCTCCAATGTCGCATGGACATAGTGCACACGAGAGAGCCTGTGTGATTGTTCATTGTGCTACTTGAGCAGACAGGAGACCCATCCTGCAGTACTGTCCACACTTGCCCACACTTCCAGCACATGAACAGGTATGCTTCTCATCATTTTGAATTTTCATGTTTGCCATGCCTCCTTGTTGTGCTGCAGCAAATGATACACAAACTTTTAGGTGCAACAGTTGTACCACACAGCACACGACAGCATGAACAGCTAGCATGCAATGGGGGCACTCAAGGGGCTGGTGCATGTTGATAAACAAGACAAGCTGTTAGCACCCATCACTCCAACCCACCTGGGACAAGGGCCATGCACTTGAGAGGGTGCTTTCCCGCCTTCAGCCGCCGGTTGATCTTTCCTGACGAAGCATCTACCTCCACCACCAGTGCTGTTGGACCAGAACAGTAGACTGCGCCACCGCCAAGTGGAGAGAAAGCGATGCAACTCACGCCACTGCAGTTCAACAGCGCAAAACTATTTCAAGCACACAAGCTAGCACTGGACCCCACATGGGGTTCCTTTACAGACTACACGTGTGCACCATCCACCAGCCTGTTGTCCAGTCAATCGCTTTGCAGAATGCCAACAATGCACAAGCAATGAGTAGGCATCAGCACTAAAAGGATGACCAAATTCATATAGAAGCTAAAAGAACAAAAGCACTAACAACTGCTGTTGCAAGGCCACTCAGTTGCTCAGATCCACAGCACCATCCTACCAAAATGTGTCTTTTATCTCTGAACCTGGTGAAACACTTCAAATACGTTCCCAATCATTCCACCTGATATGATCGACAGATGCCCCATTGAATTTCTGTCCAAATTTAGCACAAACCACCACTCATCTCCCATCTTTGCCAAGTGCTATCCAACCACACACAGCATCAGACAACCGCATCAGTTGGCTGCATCACAATGAGCACATCAGAGGAACCTCACTGATAATCATCACCTGGTGTGTGGAAAAAGGCAACACCACAGATGCACTACAACTCGACTCTAATGCAAATTTTTTTCCCACGTTTGCATGGCCAGAGGTATTGTAGCATCAGAACCAGGTCACAGAAATATCCTCATGAAAGTGTTCAGAACAGAGGAACAGTTTTGTTCATCATTTGCTGGAGTTCAGTGGGACAAGCCACCCATCTGAGCAAAGTTCACACAGGAGAGCTTGCCATGTACCCAAGAAGCGACAAGGCTTGAGCTTGATGGCTGCAGCACTGTCCAAAGGCTCAAGTCCCTGTGATACTCTGCAAAACAAACCCAGACCCACCACCACTATTGAACAGCACTGTTCAAGCAATGTCGCTATAGTCTGCCCCATGAACGGCATCAGTCTGTCAGAGATGAAACAAGCCTTCATAGTCTGCGACTCAGGCCCGAACAGAGGCACACTTTGGTCATCACCTGCCCCATGGATGCAAACAAGACCCTCCACAGGTGGGATTCTTCCTAAGCTGAGCTTGCAACTGCTCCACATTTGAGGCGAAACAACCAAACTCAGAGGACTAAAGGCATTGCCAAGTGTTGGCCCCCAGTGGCATCAGTCTGTCAGAGATGAATACTGCAATCACAGTCTCAGACTCAGTGGGTAGCATAGGTATTCCTTAGTCATCACTTGCCACTGGCACTGGCTCCCAAGTACCACAAACTCTCTGTGTCATGCACTGTATTTGGGTGCTAAAGTCCAGTACACATTTCTAGGGGCAATAATAATTGAAAGCCCATGTTGAACGCAACACTGGGTTCACACATTCGTGTTTTATCTATCTTGCTTGTGCTTGGGCCCTAAAGGGCAAAAGCAAGTTTTGCTGCTGCCATGAGCAAACTGGGCTCTTCGCCATCCTTCCCATTGAGTGCACAGAGCCTCAGTTCCAAGCAGCCTAGATCCAGAACCTTGTGTGGGCCACATCTGTGCTAGTGTACAGCACACCATATGCTTCTCAGCAGCCACCAAATCACCAAGCACCTTCAAACGACTGGGCACCACCCTTCAGCTCAGTCGAAGGCTACTGTTTCCTCTTGTAAAAGCAAACATATGCACAGCATGCTTTGGCGATGAACACCCACCCTTCACAGCAGTTGGCCACACTCCACCGCAGCTCCCCCAGGGTTGTGTCGTATGCCTTCAGGGTCCCAGATGCTGTCCCCACAAACAGGAGCTCGTGCTGCACACCTCCCCCCCTCTTCTTTCTCTTCTTCCTGCCATCCTCCTCCTGAGCACATGTCCGGACCAAATTCATTGTCAACCAATGCAAGGCAGGTTCACAAGCTATTGAGCAACAAGGCAAATTGAGACAAGTCAATTACCAAGTTGACCTGGCAAATGCTGGATTGGCCCTTTTATTTCATGCCATGAGGACTCGACACATGGCACTCTGCAAGCTGATTTTTGTGACTCCTCAACCCCATTGCATGAAAGCATAGAATCGCAAATGCCCATGAGCGCGACAGCAACTTTCATGACCACAAAACATGGGTCTGAATGCACACCTTGAAAACTATCAAAACTATCATTTCGATAGAGATTTGCAACGTCAATGTTTTGTAACGCCAGTACAAACATGAGTTGTGACGCCTAGAGAATGAAAGACCATCTTCATGCGGTTCAGGCCGCCATGTTTCCCGCGCACACCTGGACGAAACAACCAAACTGCCCAACAACCATCGCACGCCAGGGCACCACACGCGCACAGACATGGCCCAACGTCCCTTCTGGCCATTGACTGGCCTTCTGTGTTTCCGAGCGTGTCATTGCGGCAGGCTCCCACTGGGGACTCCGTACCCCACACTCGAACATTCGCAAGAATGCTCCCGCCGGATTGGCTCCTCACCTCAACCGCGTAGTGCCCCCACGCCAGGCACGTCTGTTGATCAGCCGCGCCTCCGCCAGCGGGTCTGGCCGCGCCACCGCTGGCACTCGCGACGGCGGCGCCCGCCACCACGGTGAACCGGAGCCGTCCATTCGCTGCACGCATCCAAGGCACAAAGTCAGGCCGAGAGCCGCAGATCGCGCCAGCTCCCAGCCTCGGGTATATCAAACGTGATGCGGCGGCCAGTCGCAGAACGGTTCCCGGGTTTGGTGGGGAGGCACGGCGGTGCACATCGATCACCACATGAGTCCTCGCCGGCGCATTTCACAGCGACATTTTGGACGAGGCGTTGCACTGCGGCAGGTGGACACGCAAGGGAAGGCCGGTTCTCAAAAGGTGGCAGCAGAAAATGAGAGGGATAGGCATGGGGCCGTGGGGTTGGGTGTTTGTCTCGGGCTCACATGTGTCGAACGTCTTGAGGCGACCGTCGGCGGATGCGATCGCGAAGCTCTCCCCCGAGGCGTTGAAGCAGCAGAGGACGCCGTCCGAAGGCGGCCCCGGCGCCGTCATGGCGCTTGCGCAGCGTCCCAGCGGCGGGGGGAGGGGGAAGGGGGGGGGGGCGTGCGGACGTCTTGTTGGTTGCCGGTGGCGGCGAGGCCTCACACTGGGCGGGTTTGTACAGGGCTTGCAAATACGATGCAAGAGGGGTGGAGTACTGCAGGTTTTATTCCCTTCCGCATTGGAAGGGTAACGCTTGGCCTCATTTTTGCAGAGAAAACAATAAAAACGCAAAGTTATTTTATTTTTTTTGCAGAGCAACGTAAAATAATAAAAACAACGCTCTGGAAAACGAAATGCGGAGCAAAAAGCGTAACGGTAAAAATTTCCGTTGAGGAAGGGTTTTAAAAACTACCGTATGATGTGTGTGAATCCGGGGACTCACGTTTGTCAAAAACGCATGACAAACAAGGCCCTTGCACCTGGGGGGGAGGCGATGACAGGCACGGCAGCGTACAATCAATGTTTGCTCGTGTTCAGCTTTGTTTGTTCAATTTTAGAAGGACAGCATTCAGCACACCACACATTTCCACAATGGAAACAGGGCACGGTGCCCCAGAAGATTAACAGCAGTAAAATGTTCCATGCATTAGGCGACCCCCAGAGCAGTGTCCTGGCAATGCAAGCAGCGCCGCTTTGGCGCAGTTCAGTGCTTGTGTCCCACGGCAGCTGGGGAACCGCGGTATATGAAGGTTTTCTTCCAGAAACCAGGTTCCTCTCCAAAACAGGCCGTACCGACTTGTTGGCGATGATTAGCCCACTGGAGTCTTTCGACACACTGGAGAAAGAATTCCAACGCCCTGAGCCCAGCGGGAATGAGCTGTCGACAGACTCAAAGAACCACGACACAAAATAGTATCCAGATCCAGGAAGTTCGCACAGGTGTACGACTGTAAAAAAGGAAAAAAGAAAAGAAAAAGGGGAAAGATTGAACTCCGCTTGTATCTTGTGACGCCACGTGCGCGATATCGCCGCGCGTGACGCCGTAGGTTTGGGGTTCAGGGGAATCCGCGTGACGGGGAGAGGCGTCACGCAACCCAAAGTACATTGACGCCCAGTGCCCACTTGGCCAAGATAGCCCCACTCTCCTGAACTACAAAGGCTTGTGCTGTGAGCAAGGGAGCTGGAACGGGAAGGATTCAATTCCAGAAGGGACAGCCAGTGTCTACATATCGTTGAAAGATGCCATCAAGTTGTTAATTTGTTCATTTTTTGTTCATTTAATGCCCGCGGTGCCCAGCTCGGCTGCGAGCTTGCTGACGTGTTTCATGACCTCATGACCTGATTCTGGCACTTTCCCACTTGCAGGCGCGCCGGGTACGCACTCAAATCAACGGCAACTCCAGCCCAGAGGCCCAGAGCTGGACCAAACAGGGGGCCCAGGGGCCACTGCGGGCGCCCGAAGGCCGCTGCCGATCGTCGAGGCGGGCAGGAGGTCGCGCGGGGGGATGGCCAGGCGGGATGCCGCCGAGATCCCCGCCAAGGAGGCCGTCTGCTTGGGGGCCTTCACCCCGTATGGGGAGGCGATTCTCGCCGCAGAGGCCCAGGCTAGACAGGTGCTGGCGAGGGGAGCCCTTTATGAGTGTCCCCGCGGAGATCTGTGGGGAATGTCGCTCAAAAATGTCGCCTTGTTGCTTTGCTGGGGAGGAATGGGGTAGACGCAGAAGGCAGTGGGAAGCCGATCGGAGTGGGATGGGTGTTTTCTTTCCCATATTCTTTTTGAAGGAGGGGGATGGAGGAGCGCCCGTGTTCATTCTGTATTTTGAATGGGGCTTTCCACCATGAGATTGGTGAGCAATCCGTAGCTGATTGCTGGATGCAATTGGGCATGGACACCATTGGGCCATCCAAGGAAGTGCGCCGATGATTTGGATGATCCACATTGCGCTGTTTAAAAAAACGGGAGCTTAAAAGCATGACAGCTGATGCACCCCAGGTTTGATTGGACAGCTTTGCTGCAGCATTTTTCACAGCTTTGGAAGCCACACTGACGATTTCAGGATCTGATCGGAAGCATTGTCCAGGCACATTTAACTTGCATTGAAAACAATGGTCAGAATTCGAAGAATCATCACACTTGTACCTGCTGGGAAATATTTGGCCCTTGGCACATCAACATTTGTTGGTCTTCTACCACTCATTCAAACTTGAGGCGCATTTTGCTCCCCATCATATGTGTGTACATCGATGAACATAGATTTTCTATTTTAAATTAGTTGGCACTTGCGCCATGATATGACCTGTTCTCCTTTTGGGCAGAAAGACACTTTTCTGGCTTGGGGGAAATATTTAAAAGTACCATTTTGAACCAGCACTGCTCATGGGGCTGTGCCTATCATTGCCTTTCGGGTGCAAGGGCAACGCCTTGTCATTTTTATAACCCAACACCTTTCAAGGATTCTACTTGCATGCCTTGCAGGAGGAGTGGGATGAGTCAGGTGCCCAGGTGACCCTGTTTGCTGGGCAGCCTGGGGCTCTGGGCGATGCTGCCCACGATGAGGAACTGTACACATACAAGAATAGGTGTGCAGCACCTGACTTTTTCACCTTTGTGCATTGAAGAGATGTGGATGGAACACTCCTTGTGACCAGATGAGGAAACAGGCCATACAACGGGCACCCCTTCAGGAACAGGAAACTTGTGAGTCTGTTTTCCATTCCAAGTAAGATGATGTGGAAATGTCAGATGCGACATGCACAAATACAACAGAGATGACAACCATTAACTCACCAAGAGCGTCGCAAGTGTGGTTTCTTGGCTGTGTGACCTGCTTTGCTTCTGTTAAAACAACAGCGTTCACCAATCCCACAAATGTGCGCAGCTGGAGTGCTCGACAGTGCTGTGCATACTACTGATGTTGATGGGGTTAAGTGCTGGACATCCAACACCCGTCTAAAGCCATCTGTGGAGCAATTTTGATGCTTGGGCATTGCAGGGTTTGTTCAGTGAATGTTGTCCATTGAGCCAGGCCCTGGCTCTACAGTTCCACAGAAAGTTATGTTCTTGCATTTGAGCGGCAGCTGCTCTGCAGGGCACATTGTCTGTGTGTGCCTGTTAGGGATTTCCAAGCCGTTTTCAGAGTCAAACGAACGCAACTGGGAATACTTGCAATTCCCTTCTCCTCCAACAAGGCAATGGCAAAGACAGTGCAAGGTCACAGCTTGAGCTAGTTTGTCCTATGCTGGCGTCAGTCCCTGGCATTGTTTGCAATGACTTTGCTGGCATTGATGACAAGATATGCTAGTGAAGAATAGATTTATGTGGAATTGTGCTTGGGCAGATAATAAGTCCAGGGTGGCTGAAATCAGAGTGTTTGCATTGAGAAGCGTGCGTGCCCATCTGAAGTGGCGTTTGTGGAGTGTCTGGTTTGGTACGGCTCAGTTGCTGTGGCTTGCTGTCGTTGCATTATTCCATCGAGTGCTGTTTAAATGTTAATTTCCCCTGGACACACGTCTGTGCAGTGCAGTGTGGAGCTCTGGGCGGCTGGTGCGCAAGCGATTCACATTTCCAGCACCAGTGCTCCAGGTGAGTGGTGCTGAGTCTGTGTGTACCGATCAGTTCACTCCCGTTTTCTCTACAGTGCACAACTGTGTGTACATGTGTCTTTATTCAGGTTGGGCTCCAGACAAATCTGTTGGCAGCAGATGTGCACATCTGTTTCTACACTGTGTCTCTTTTCAACTGTTCACCACTTAACGCTCATTAAAGCCACGACTTTGAACTTTCTGGATCCTCTCTTCCCATCAGGCCTCCCAGGTGCAGAAGTTGGTGCCACACGATTTGGCTCATATGTGACTGTCGTACAAGGTCCTGGAAAATGGGCACAAGTGCACATACCTTACCCAAGAATAAGATCTTCAGCAATAAGTTTCTTGCGCATTTCTGTATCATGTTTGATCAATCTGAAAACTGTGGTTGCAGTAACAGTCACTTGGCATTCAGTTCATCGTACATCAGAGCTGTACAAGGGATTCCCCATGAGTCTTTCCTGTCCATTCCTGCAGGCAGCATGGTGCAATTTCGAGTGCTATGGTGAATCGTCTGTCTTGTGCTTCCTGCACGAGAGGTCCATCTCCATTTACTGCCTTTCAGGACAGGTCCAAGACACTCCCTTCGAGATTCATCAAAAATTCACTGCGATGTGGCCCCTCCCACAAGGAGTGCTGCTCACGGTACTGATTGCAGACTTACCAGCTAGGCTTTTGGCCGGTCCTGCTCTTGTCTGTCACCTTTGTGTTCCATGGATGTGCCGCAGTGCAGTTTTGAAAGCTTGCCTGCTGGCCAATGTTGCAAGTCTGGCAGTCTGCTTCATAGATAAATTTCAGATTCCGATGAATTTCAGGTTGCTGAGCAAGTCGCTGGTGGAATACCCGTGTGTGTTGGTGATACAAACAGGTGTACTTCGTGTTGCAGTTCGTTAATATGTGCATTATCAAACTTGGTGATTGTTGCAGTTCTCTGGTATGTGAAGGAGTCTAACTTGCATTCTCCAATAGCAGTACAGGGCAATGTGGTGTTGGGGCTAGTGAGCAACTCAGCGATTCGTTCGCCTGAAGTGATCTTGGTGCATGTGTTGCCCCAATCGCTCAGATCGTAGTGGCTGACAGATGTAAGCCTTTGCGAATGGGCGTATTTCTAGTTTCTGACATATCAGCCTGAACATGGGGTGATTTTGCCAATTCCCGAGGCCCTTTCAGGACATCCCCTAGCCATCCAGCACCCTGTCCCACTGCTTGTGGGCCATATCCAGACTTGTGTGTCCGACCAGGGCAGAGTTTGATCCACATAGATGACGCATCAGCTGGAGAGGCAGATGTGCTTGGGAACAAGAATCCAACATTACGTTGATGGAATGAGGGCAGCGCACTGAAGAGTGGCAAAAAGCACAGTCAGAACAGAAGTTCATGAGCCACATGTTTTGTGACGTGTTGAATCCCCTGGCAAACAAGTCGTGTATTGGACCCCCTCCTAGCAAGAATTCTTTGGTCTCTTTTCTGCACAACAGGACTATAGAAGCCACATTTTAGACATGTGTGGCTGCAGGTTGAGCTGTTGCCAGTTGCTATCCAGCATTTAGAGCTCTTCCCAAACACAAGGTCAGCACAGATGACAGCCGAAAGAAAGGGGTTGACACGAAGGTCCGATGTGTTTATGTGGGGACTGCAGGGGAATACAGGGCAGTGTGCGATTGCCACCAACCCACTAGAGGAGCTTCAGCCCGTGGTTGTGCAGGAACGGGCATCGTATGTCCCCTGGGATGGGGACAGGGTCATCTGGAGCAGCAGGGAGGTCCCCTATGTGGTGACGTTCAATGAGGTAACACAGGCAGTGGAGAACACTATTCTTATGTGCAAGTGTTGCTTGCATCGCTTCACAGCGATACCAGCGCTGTGAATGGCTATGTTGAGGGGTCGTGCAACTGATCTCTGTGGATTGATTGCTCGATTTGCTGATATCTTGATTGACCAACCCATCAATTGACAGATTGAGCTTTGAATATGCGGATGTAGAGAGCCATGTTGCCACTCAAGTGTGGATGTGCAGCTGCAGTTGTGCCGGTCCAGCTGACAGTCGGGGCACCCCTGCTGGAATGTATGGACTGTTATGTGGAAATTCTGGCTTGCTGTGAGCTGTGTGTGATGTCCTATTGTGCAGAATCCACAGCAATTCATGAAGATATTGTGAATTTGCTGCCTTGCAAACACTGCAGTCAAAAATATATTGTACCATAGGTGGCCTCTTGTTCCATTGCTCTTTCGCATATTTGTTATGTTTGGCCATGATTGAGCCATTGCTGCTTGTCGACACACCGAGAATTCCCATAGTTCTGACAACTTCCAGGAATTTGATGTTTGCGATTCAGTTAATGTACCTGACAATATCAACAGCTTGCTTTTGTTTTGGCTGCCAAACCATGACCCATGTACATTGAGATGTTTGAGGCTGCTGATGAACTCAATATACTCCAGCCGATTGGCAAAGTGAACGTGTGAATGTCCCAGTGCGCATCTCACAGGATTGCGTTACTGATGCACAAACTGGTACATTCAGAACAGCAGGTAGATGCTTATGTTGCTAAGTGACAAAGAGCTTGAATAAACAGATGCTTGCAAGCAACGTGTGAAATGAAGAAGGCTATGTAATGCGGGTGTGTGTACAATCAATGCACCACAGCATGCAGTGTTCTCGATGTGCTTCATACCAACCTTGCAGATAATCGCTATCCAGTCAGGTCAAGACCTTCTGGGACACATTCTGCTGAATGTAGTTCCAACTGTCCCACAGGAGACTAAAGTTCTTTCCATTTGGGAGGTGTTCCGACAAGATCCAGGAAGCATGCCTGGTTCCTTCATGTTTGCATCTCCTGGCAACGGATTCAAGGGCAGCATTGGGAGTGGGTTTCTGACACCGGATGTCACACCAATGTTTGCAGACTGCACTGGAAAGAGGTAAGGCAACCTTGCGCAACCAAATTGCACCAGCATTGTCAGCACAGACAGTGCAAGCAGCATTGTGGTGTCCAGGCGTCATTGGGTTCGGCTTTTTATTGCTTTCACAGCAAAAAGGCACTTGTTGCAGTGCTGATGCACTGCTCGACACGACCATCATGAGGACAATGCAGACAACTAGGACAGTGATCGCAATGCGCATGTTGTCATCCTTGGCCCACTTGTGCAGCCACATGAACATACACACAGGCACTGGTTGTGCACATTTTGACGTATTCACACAGGTGCAATCAAAGTAGAGGGTCTGTTGGCCACTGTTGTGGCAAGTCACATTGATGTCGAGCTCTTCTGCTGTGGGTGATGTGGCAGCATCCCTTGACTATCCGCTTCTTTTCAGGACACCCATTCGCACCAAGACGGGGGAACTGTCCCCTGCAGTCTTCAGCGATCGTCCACCATCAACCCATGCCTGCATGAGCCGATCGATGCTCTTGCCATCCTCAGAGCGAATCGTTGTTCTCAGGGCAAAGCTTGCAAGCTCATTGAATCCAGGTGCACATTCCTTTTTCTTTGGTGGATGTACTTGGATTGCATTTGTCGCATGTGACACTATGCCACCTCATGTGCAACTCCTGTGCTTGACCTCTTTTGCAAAGAGCTGGGTGCCTTGTCATTGGTAAGGTGCGAGCTGGATTTGTATGACCAGCCCTAAAGGTTGGCAGAGATGAGAAAAAGAAGGAGGGCCAATTGCGAAATTAAAAGATGATGAAACCCGTTAAGCTTAGCAGGCCTACTGCATGTAGTGAGCACCCACAGGAGTTTGATTTCACCAGGAGCTGACACTGTGTCCTAGGCCAGAGGGTATGAAAGAAGACACCACTGAACATAACAATGTTCTGGCTGGCAAATTGCCTCATGAACATGGCCACACACAAGATGTTTCAATAACCCTTTCACATGTGTTCATGATAGTCGATGATGTCAATCCTGGCCAACATGCAAATAGGACTTTTTTGTGTGACAGGGTCTGGTACGTTTTGCATTCTGTTGTGGTGTCACAATTGTGTGATAGCCTGTTATCAGCGGCAGGCAGGAGAGTGTTCATTTTCTGTTTTCTTTTCAAAGGGTTTGTGCTTTTCAGACCGCCATTTGTATGTGGTGGAAACAAGCAGAGAGTGGAGAAATGAAGGAATATGGAGCAAACAAACGGTTTTGATTTGTGTGAACCATCGTCATCCACAACCTGAAAGCACCCTGCCTTGCATCCTGTGGGGAAATGTAGCTCAGGGAATAGAGAAGATCCAGAGCCCTGCGGCATATCTGAATTTCCCATATATTTGTGGCTGATGCCAGTCTTTCAGCAACAACCTGCACCAATCGTATACAGGTTATGTGATTAGTTCGCTGATGCCTAATTCCAAAAGCAACTGTTCTGTTCGATTAAATGTCAAACAGGTGTTCAATCAGTTTCAAGCAGCAACTCAATTTCTGCTTTGCCACTTTTGAGCAGTGCTCAATGCCGTAGCTGCATTTGTTGATTGTTCTCTTCCCTTGGCTAGATGTTGCTCTTGGGTTTGTTTTCAGATGACTACCCTGATGAGGCATGCCTGGCAAGCGACATGGCCGGAACGCCGCTGATTGCTGTGCTGTCCAGAAATACACAACGGCTTGTGGTCTATTTTGCAAGCAGGTGAGTCAAAAGTCATGCAAATTCACAGTCATCTTCAAAGCGCATCGCATCATGGTGCTGCTCTTGGCTACAATAGAGCCTCTGCTGCGTTGCCAGCTCTTCCAGGACACGATGGGAAATGTTGTTGGCAGAATTCTCCAGAATTGCTTTTCATGTCATTCCAGTCCATTTTCTCCTTGAGAAGTGGTTTTCAGATTTGGTGGTTGAATCCAAAATTTTGCTTTGTATCAGAGCGTTGAGTTGCCTGTTGTCGCTTACAGGTTTGTTGCAAGGTTGTTGCTTCTGGTGTTGGATCAGGGCACACACATGTTAGGACTTGTGGCATCTGTGATATCAACAATCTCGACGAGGACACGACACTACCATGTCGATCTACAATTCAATGTAACAAGTAGTGCATACAGTGTCCCAGAACGTGTCGAATTCCTTTAGGCAGATGTGAGAAACTGCAACTCCCATTTAATGCAATGAAGGGCTAAGAGGCGGCATGCAGTTAGTGCTGTAGCCCTTCTTTAAATGTCGTTTCAGGGCACTTGAATAATTTTTACATGCTGCTCACAAACTACTGTCTCATCTGGTTAGACAATTGTCATTCAGCCTCAGAGCATGAGTGGCAAACAATGTGCCTCACCAGGACATGGCTGTCACGTGATGGTGATCAATCTGGCAGTAGAGCCATTGCTCTGGCCGCATTTGCCAAGCATCACCCTGCAGCTGAATGTGCATTGCATTCCTGCCATTTGACGAGAGTAGTAAGAATTGCATCCATCGCTGTTCTTTTACAGGCCAATGCCTCTTTTCCAACAGCACGAATGAAACAATACTCTACATTGTTACCCGAACTTGTCGGTCACACCTTCGCTGTTGGCTGGTATACTCTGCACAGCGACCTGGTGTTGCACATTTGTCATGGGATAACTCCTGCTGTTTCTGTGTCACACATCTTGCTGCACTTGCTGCTTCATGCTGTTTGCAGTCTCATGTTCCATGGTGGAGAACAGAGCCTCCAAGGATCTTGGCTCAGACGGGGTGGCCATTGTGGAATACGCCCTGTTTTTTGCTGTTGCAGGCATTCTTCTCTTTTGCATGGTTGATGCCCAAGTGTTTTGTGTGGCATGCTGTCCCAGTGGCCCCAGTGGCGTGCACTTCGCTTTTCGCGATGAGGGCGTTGCTGGCATTTCAGCGGTGCAGGCATTTGGGATCGGCAACAAACGTGGCATGACGCACAGCAGCCTGGTTGTGTTGAAGGTCAATGGGGATGTTGTGCTGTGCAAAGGTGTGCTTGGACCAAAGGTGCAATGTGCCTGGTGGGTGTTTGTGATGTTTTCAAACTGGCCACAAACAGGGTAAAGCCTGAATGTGCGAGGTGGCATAAAGCTTGCGTCGTATCTGTCAATGTAGTCACTGCAGCTGTTGTCTCAATTGCGACGCAACCATTTTGGAATCAAGGGGAATTGCTCAGTCTGGAAATGGCGTACCTGCATGCGCAACAGTGTTGCCGCATACCCTCACTGGAGGATCTCATGTCTGAAGTTGCTCTGGCTCTTGTTTGTTACATTTTGTGGCACCTGCTGAGGTGTGTAACTGTCACACTTCCCACGAAATTCGATGTTGCAGTACATTGTTCCTCATGAAATCTGGAGCTTGTCGTACTTCGTTTGTGGTCAATCTGGTTGCGGGCACTGTTCTTGTGTGATGACTCTATGAAGAGCCCTAACCATGTAGGCACATTCCCACAACAAAGTGCTCACAGCAGCTTGACTGTGCTTACAGCAATCATTTTGCATATTTTGCACTGCAGTTTTTTTGCATCCTTATGTTCTTTGCTGGGCTACACCGAACTCAGCCTCAAGTGGGATTCCCAAGCACCACCTTTGCCCTTTCACATTTTGCAATCAATTTACCTTTCTTTGTCACTTGTGTGTTTCCCACTCGACTCTCTGGGCATTGTAGCATGGAGAATATGATGCGCATGATGCTCAAGGTTGTGTTGACAACAATGTTGTGATTTCTGACTTTGAGGCTCGCTCCCTTCGTTGGTGTGACCTCTATGGATTCAGGGTGGAACTCAAAGGCAATGATGTGCATTCAATACCTTGCTTTGCTAAGTGAAGATGCCTGCTTCTCATTTCCTGTTGTACATTCTGTCTGGGACAGCATCACACAGCAGCCTGGTGCAGTCTGTTAGTTTCACCCTGAAATGGATTTCGCTGCTTCCTTGCCTAACTGGATTTTCCTTGGTGCACTGTGGGACAGGTCAAGAGCCCTTCTGTCGGATCTGGATTCCCCCTGTGCTGGGAGATTACATGAGGGATCAGGAGAACAGCAGACAGGAGGGAACTGACTGGGTCGATGACATGGACATGTCACCTACGCCCACGAAATCAGGTACATCTTTTCCCCATGTTCCTTTGGTGTACTATTTCAATATTGTGACCTGTATGAGTGACATCTGTGGATTGATTGCAAACTGCAACACAGGAAAATTGAGCACAAATAGGCTTTGGGGAATGGGAAATTGTGAGCGGTGTCACACATCGCCTAACAAGGGCAAGGTACAAAATTGACAAGGTAGTGCTTAGTCGTCGTCCTAGCACAAGCATTTATCCAGGTTGCAGAGTTCACTGCAAAGTGGCTGCCACACTCTGCCAGTTGGCGCTCACAGGACTACCCAGAGGCCTTTCTGTCAGATTCAGGAATAGCATCAAATATTAGGCACTTCTTCATCAGCAACTGGCACAGACCTTGGGTCCGTTGCTCTGTCACAGTTTTCTATTCACCATGTGCAGGCAGGCTTACCGCTATGTGCTGCCATGTTCCCATGCTAGTCTTGTTGTGCTCAGAGAGACTCCCACATCACCTCCTGTGCCATGGAAAAGAGTCTCAGTCAATTCTTGCCTGGTAGATGGTGATTATTGTGAAACACGTTTCAGCCCGTGACCAAAACACACAATGCTCGCATTGGTTGCCCTGCAGGCGGGGGCACATTTGGAGGCGGGACGTTCGGGAAGGGTCAGGGCAAAGTGGTGGGTCTCTACGATGGCATTGGCAGTCGTGTGACTGTGCAGTTTGAGGATGGCACACAGGCCAGATGTGCAATCCCCTTTTCCCCAGCTTATCCACTGCCGTACATCCCCATGGAGGCCCTGCAACACGCCCTGCGACAAAACCTGAAGGTCTACTGGGAGCTCCATCTGAAGTGGCTGACCCACGCAGGTGGGTCAAGCATCTTGTGGCATCCTTTCTTACTCCAAAGCTACGACACCTCAAGTGAAAGTCCAGACACCAACCTCCTCATAACATAAGAGATGTGGGCCTTTTGCCAGCTCACTTGAAACTTGAAGGCGAAGCAAAGGCCAGAGCACCTTGAGCATGAAAAATTGTTTGAGGTAGCTGTGCCAAAATGTTGCAATCAGCCTCAATTCCTTGATGGCATACTGTCAATGTGATGGTGTTGGGATCTGGACGTTTTCAAGGGCATTGTGGTTGGCCATGACCCCAGTTACAGGGATGAATGCTGCTTCGATGTTTATCTGTGCAAGACTTCCAGCCAGGTGGAATCAAACCAACTACAAAGTTTCGAAATTGACGCCCACTGCTGCTGATGGGCACTCTGCACTCACCTGTAACTATTGCCTGCCACCCAACTGCAGCTATTTGTTGCATTGATCCGATCCGCTTAACTCGATGTAGTGGACAGTCTTGCTCAACTGCTTGTTTTACCCCCCTGCCCTGTTGTTTGAACTTTCTGCAAACATTGGGGTGCATTTGGGGTGCATTGATATAAGCACATCGGAATCAAATAAATGATTTGGACATACAAATACCTGTCATGGCCTGTGGACCCCTGTTGTTGCCGTGCAAATGCCAGTGAAATAAACTGGAACTCATGATTGCCTGTGCCATCTATCTAAGCAGACACATGCCGTGGAAAGCATGAGAACGACTGGATAGCTTTCTGTGAGGTCTTCTGCTTGCAGTTTCTTACTCCACCAAGCCGCCCTCTTTCTCCAGGCTTGGGCAGCCCTGTTGTGCACAGGAAGGTGCGTCATCGTTGGTACCACTGCACAGCAGATTGCTTGCAGATCAACACTAAATGGTGGCTATATTTGTCCAGCCTAGGCTGCTTTCTCTCCAAATTCACATCCAGTCAGATGCTGGCATTGCCCTTGTGGAACCAAACAAAAAATTGGAAGAAAGAGAGAAAGATCCCCACCTGTGATGCTATAAAGCAACACATGCCACTTGACAGAACGTTGGTAGGCAGCTGCCACACCTTCAACTCAACGCACTGTACTCTGCAATCCTGAGAATCATGCCCATACGACCTTGAAGGATGACATGTCCAAACCCACTGTATTGTTCCAAACTGGTCATCACCACTTAATGCATGGTGCTGTCCTGCATGGCTATGCACATCGCATGGCTTCGGTGCAAAGTGTTTCACATGTGTGTTTTCAGTGGGGTGTTCGTTGTCTGCCAAATTCTTGTGTGGGCGATGGTTTGTCACTCAAAATTGTGCTTTGAATGCGTTTTCGTGATGTGGCGAAGCACTACCCCAGATGGGATGGCAGCGATTTGTCCGATGGGCCTGCACGGTGATGACCAAAAAGGTCCAGGCATGTGATGCAGAACTGCTGTGCCAAGAATTGTGGCGCGCCTCTGGCACAAGCTGCAGGAGAAGGAACAGCGCCTTGTCACTGCTTGAACGTGTGCTGGTCATCTTTCTTGTAACTGGCCAACAAGAGGCCTGCAAAAGAAAAGTACAGGCATACGATGCATGGATGACCAGGGACTTGTAAGTCCAGGTGAATTTGTTTTTACAAGAATGTAGCTGCGTTCTTCGAATCGCAACCGGCGTTTAGGCAGCGATTACATATCCCAACTGGTGATTGGGCAGTTGTTTGTTGCTTCTGCCCAAATTGAATTGTGCATGGATCAACCCCAGTGCTTGCAATGCTGCAAGCATGAAGCACATGGTCTTCATGTTCCTTGCAGTTGTTGCCTTGCGGCTGAACCTGGATGGTTGATGGTTTTCTCAGAATCAGGTGCCAAAGGATGAATGGTATTCAGGCATGTTCTCTGGAGAGGCAGCTCCCAAAACAAGGAGAAGGATGCTATGCAGTCCTATTGAGGAAGAAGGAAACGAGGCACTGAACCAAATGCTTGCCTCAAAGGCAAGTCCAGTAGTGTGGTTTGAAATGGTTATTTCTTGGGATATTCTGTTGCAAGAGGAAAAAGGAACAAGTGTTTTGATAAACGCTGCCGCTGGTAATATTTCCCTCATGACCACATGGATGTGTGCACTGCTTTGTCGTTTGTTGGTGCATGCAACTCAACAGGTCAGCTTGAAGAACTGTTCAGTGCTGGCCTACAGCTGTCAACTTCTGCAATGCTATAAATTATGTGAATCTCATAGTTAAGGCTGTGAGCCATGTAAGTGGTGCAGCAGCAGTGGGTTATTATCCAAGGCACACAAAGAACACGTGACCAGATCAGCTGTTGGGTTTTGGACAACAAATCTGCAGGTCGAAACTGTTGCCCTGATACTGGAACTATGGAGAAATCCTATGTGGCCCACTCTTATTCTGCCTGCGATTGGCTGTTGTATTTGCCGAACTGAAGCTGCCATGGCCAGTTGATTCTCAAAGGCTTACCTGTCTTTTTCTTGCTTTTTCCTGTGGAGATCACCTTCAACAACATTTGCTTTTCTTCTGTGTAAAACAATGTGTTTGCACAGTTTGTGGCGATGTCCATCACGGCAGTGTTGTTTCACAATGAATCGTAGCATGTTGGCGCAGATGATGTTAACAGGTCACTTGCAAACAAATTTGTGGTGCCATTCTGCTTGAACTGACAGCCAGTAATTTTTTCTGTTACCTCATTGAGTTCTTTCTGCTGTTGGTGGCATTGTTTTATGAAGATGCACACCAAGCTGTTGTCATCAAAACGCCACCATTGGATAAAAGAGAGTGAAGAAGGCAGTGTGCCACCGCACCTGGGGAAAGGTGTGCATCGAGCTGTGGGATGCTGTTCCTCCTACCCTGTGAAGTTTGGCCACGTTGCTGCTGTATCAAAGGCTGTAAATCCAGGATGTTGTTGAATAATCCTCTATTTCAGCACTTGTCAAGAAGCTGAAAAGTGCACGAACTTCACCAGCCAGCCAATATCAAGGGCTGTTGGAGGTGAATGACAATACTCATGGGCTGCAAGACTGTGGTCACAATATTCAATAAGTGGAGTCAGACTCATTTAAGGCAATTTTGTGGAAACTACGTTGGCTTAAAGCAAAAGTTGGACAGCTTTCCTATATGTTTGTGAATAACTACATTGAGAATGGCAAGCTGCACGCCACAGCTTGCAGTGCTCAAATGTTACACACCTCCCTGAATCTTGTGGAGATGCCCAAACTGCAAGCACCCTTGGTTATTTCTTGCCTGTTTTTATGACTACTGCGTTTGGAATCGTTCGATTGATGTGTCACGTGCACTCTTTGCCCAATCTGAGCAGACTACATATGCCCCTCTATGCACTGCCCAAGGTACACAGCAACATAGCACCATGCATTGTGGAACAGCCTTTTAATATGAACAGCAGCATGTCACGAATTCAGGCCCCTCTCCTTGCTTGTTTCGCTGTCCAGAGATGCTGGCCACTGTGGGCCAAGATTCTCTAGTGTGGAATTGCCTGGATGCTCTCCACTCTGTCTACGAGGATTTCAAACTGCGCCTGACTCGCTGGCCCTTGATCAAAAAACTGGGGGAGGTAAAACGCACCTACTGGCCTCCCTGTGGGTAAAATACACTTTACCGAGACAAAGTGCAACTGGCGCAGTGCATTGTTGGCACATTTATTGGTGCATTACTGTTGGACGTTATTTGTACATGTGGTTGGCAAGGATGCAGGCATTGTACTGCAATCCCGGCAAACAGCATCTGTGGACCCCTGCCAGTTTATGTTCCTGCTCTTTTCTGTGTGCTGTTTGACTGTAGCCCTGGTTGCTTGCGTCCCTGATCCCAATAATTCGGTACATAATGTAGGGAGTCTGGTGTGCATAATATTGTCATATCACCTGCCGTTTTGTGATATGTGCTGGGCAGCTGATGCCTGTTGGTATCACTGGGAGGCAAATGACTAGAACGGGTCTGTGTATGACATCATTGCCGCATGCAGCCATAGCTGACACTTTAGGGAGTTTTTGGCCCTTGATGAATCCCATCACATGATAATCTGAATCCAAGCACCCTTGAATTGTCCCTGGGGTGCTGATTTCATGATTGTTTCCATCACTCTTTAGCAGATTTCTCTCACTGCCAACTCACAACACGTCAGTAAAATACCCGGGCCTCCCGGAATCAGGCGTTGGCTGTGGTGAACACCCTGCCATCGAAATGTCCTGCATATTTCAGTAATGCCATCGTGGACTGAACGACGAGATGTGGCTGTCCATGCCTCCCCAGATGCTTGCTGTTGTGGCGTTGAATGTGGGTGCGGTCCAACACCTGGACCACTATGCCAGGGACATTGGCCCTGGTGCCCTCAGGAAGCTTGGAATAAAGTACCCGCTGCCGGCCAAGACATTTGCAGCTGACAAATCTATCCCTAAAGACATACACAAAGTTCTGTTGGAGACCCTCAATGGTAAGCCTGCGATGGGCCCTTGATTCGATTGTGCACATCGGGGGGGTAGAGAATTGATTCCACGTCTGATGCTCTGCGAGAGAGGGTTTGGACATTATTTAAATTGCACAAGGTAATGTGATAATGAAATGTGATGTGAAAGAAATGTGATACGAACATGAGTATGAGTACCTTATGTTTTGTCAATTCAATATTGCCCCTAGATTGCAGTATCAATCAATGGTGCCAAGTGGCTATACCCTTGCAGGCAACTTGATGAATGAAACATCTTCGCTACTGAACGTCATATATTGGACAGCATCAGGGTGCAAAGAATGTACAATCACCTCACAATGTAGGTCAATAGGAGTATTTCGGAAAGAAAAACTTGGGGGATGCAAACAGCTCCCGACATCGCTTATGAGGTGCCCGCCATGCACTTTCATGTTGGGTGGAACAATGGCCACATCTCTTTTGTTTTGGGCCATGGACTGTACTATTAGGAATGCGATTTTCCAGCAGGTGCAAGCATGAGAATTTTTACTACTTGTTGAAAACTGTCACTGCAGCTTCAATCCGCCAAAGTGATGTATCTCCTCTAACTTGTGTGACAGCACTGCAACAGGCAGAGATGGTGACCTGTGGACTCCTGCCTTGGTGCGGGACGGTGCAAGGTGTGTGAGATGGTCGGCAATGCTGAAGAAGTGCTATGCAGTGCTTGGCTCCTGCGCAGAGCGCTGCTCAAAGTTGCGACTAAATGGTAGGTTGGCCGTGTTGCTGTGTCTGTTTTTAATGCTTTAGAAATGTCTGTTTGCCAGTGCATTGAGATACCTCCTCAGTGCTTTCCCAGCGAAGAAGAGTCGCAAATGTGTTTGGCATGTTGTTTATGACATTGCGCTTTCCATTGTGTCAGGATTTAGACTTGTTTCCGTATGCAGCAGTATTCAGTATTCAGTATTCAAGGGGCCATGCATGGTAGCTGGTTTTGGACGTTCCTGATGCAACTTCGCTGAGGCTATTATAAAGCTGAAGGTGTGGGACAGCACTGGCAGTAAGACTGTTTTGCTGCGATGCAGGCAGGATGACTCAGTCAGAGGGGATCATGGCAGCCCGCCGTGAGCTACATAAGGCCAGCAAGGAGGTTGTCCAGCTGCTGGTTCGGTGGGGCTGGACGCTGTTGGACCTGCAGTCCGTTCCCTTCGGGGTGGTCCTTCCCATTCGGGAGGCACTGCAGAGATGCAAGGCACATCCCCCCACTGGTGAGACAATACACCTAAATGCAAGGCCAACAGGACATGCAGTAAAATGTGGCCCTGGCATCTGTCTGGTATGATTCCATGAATGTCGTTTGTTCAGAACAGTTGGTCTTTCCACTGCACGCCTGCAGTTAACTCTGTTGCCTTCGATGTTGAGGTGTCATGTGGATGGAATCTTGAATGCTTTATCAATTGCTCAGGTTGGCCAATCGAAGCATACACGCTGATCGGAAGGGATGACATCGTAGCTACTCTGAACCCATCACCCACCCACATTGTGATGGGAGACCGTTCGTGGATCGGAAGAGGGGTCGCTTACACGCCCCCTGGTGCTGGGCAAGGGGCGATGTCCCCACACGAGGGCCTCCATGCCAAGCCAGCTCCCAGTGGGTTGGCAAATGGCAGAGGCACCAGCATGCACCCTCACTGGGGCCGGCCAAGGTATGCTAGATTCTGGATGCAGTCTGGGGACCAAGGAAAGGAAGCTGAAAACAGTGGCTGTGTTTTCTTGAACTGCAGTCAGTGCACTGGGCCCCAAGGTAGAGTGTGGCCAATGCACCTGACCCAAAAGGGACAAAGGGAATTGCAGACAGTTCTGTTTCATGTCTGTTCTTTCCTTGTTGCAACATGCCCACTCCAGCTATTTAAGGAATGAAAGACCGAATCAGTTGACGATACTGCAAGATTTGGTTGCATATCTGCTGCTGTTTAGCTCCTATCTCCTCATCTTCAAGTTCTGCTTCTGCTTCCAGTGCCTTGCACATTGTCGTGTGTACGTCAAACGTTGCTGCCAGGGATTGCAATGTGTCAGAAAGCAGCTGCGATGTTTTCTTGCTCTCTGCAATCTTGAGCGATGTCAACTTTGTTTGTGGTTGTGGTAATTCCCAGTATAGCTTGGACACTTTTGCAGTACCCCTTTTGGTGTGCATCTAGTGTACGGTGGCTTCTATATCAAATTGTTCTGCACAGAAATAAGACATTCGAATATTTCAAATTTCGTAAATCTTGAAACATTTTGAGAGTACTTCAACAAGACAAGATTTCTTCTGAGCACCATATCGCATTCTCTCAGTAAGACTCAATGCAGAGCTGTTTGCGATCATGCTCTTTGAGGTTTTGCATCTACAGTCAGGGCAGTTTTGCATGTTCTGCAACATTCACAGGTCATTTTCACAATTTCTTCCTTTGTCTTACACCCAGGCACATGATTGGGCCACCTTATACACGCCGGCTGTTGGTGCCCAGCCTGGACGACGAGGCAATTGCTGAGAGCCTAAATGATCAGTCGATGGAGGAGGGTGCGCCAAAGAAGTGGAGTGATGGGATGGAAGACGTTGTAGCAGGCATTGGGCGCCTCAGGTTCAGTGCTGACATGAGGCTGCAGGAGGCAAGTAATTTGCGCAAGTGGCACTCTGCAGCGTGCTGTCATTTTCTGATTGTGTGGTCCAAAACATTGCAGCACACCCCAGGAGCTCAGGTGCTGGACAATATTTGATTGGCACCTGTTGCTAGTTGTGGAAAAGTCCTTCTTTTGTATCTTTGCGAGCACTGGGGGGAACGCCGGGGACATTCATATCAGTTTGGTAAGTGGATTCTGCCTTTCAATTTTTGGTTGACCCAGCTTTTGGTGGATTCCCCTTGACAGTCTCGAGGTTGCTAGAAAGCCTGCAGAATTTACCACTTGTGCGCAAGGGGCCTTGACAACACTGCTGACAACAGTAGACAGGCCAGCGCGTTGCACGAATTACATCGTCATTTTGAGGCCTGAAGCTGCTTGCAGTGCAGTTGAGAATCTATTGGCTGCAGAAGAGATCATACTTGCCAAATATTTGTCTGTTCACTTGCACCTTTCTGGAAATCTCTGATGTACGGCCTTGGAAGAAGTTCAGCTGTACAGATTGCTCTGGTCCCAGAATCACCCATGGAGGTGCGTGCAAACCAGGTGACCACCTTTTTCACTTTGATATTTGCAAGAATTCCATCTTAGAATCCAAAATGTGATTTCTGCTTATTTTCTCTTTCATCTTCCCTTCATGTTGGTCTTGCGCAGGTTCGCAAGCTGTTGGGTTCGTCTGTGCCTGTCATGGTGAGCCTCTCCGCCCTCAATACCCATGATGGCGACAATGAGATGCACAACAAGATGCAGGCGCGGCTGATGGGGCTGTCGGTGCGCACCATGGCACTGTCCGTTGGCCGGGGGGCATTCACTTTGGGCACCGTCATGCCACAGCCCACTGAAGAGATGCAGATCCCGGACCTCTGCCTGGCAGGACGGACCACAGAGCGGGGTAACATCGTCAATTTGGACTTATCGCAGCACCAACCAGGCCAAGGTGACACCAGCGAGATGGGTCTTACTTAGCATTGCCAAAACATAACATGTTGACAAGCCTTCTGAGAGGTCGTGTGAGATTGACTGTGCACATGGATTGGGGGTGTGCAAACCCTGTGTTTGCAAGTGTCAGAACCAGACATGCAGAGGGACCAAAAGGGACGGCAGGTGTTGTGTCCAGCATTGTGTTGGCAAGATATGGTTGAAAAGCAGTCTTATTCTTGCAAGGAAGTAGCTGTGTAAAGCTGTTCAGAATGATGCTCAGGGCCTTTATTAGGATTGATGTTGTGAAGGAAGCCAACAGAACAGGCTGCCCTTCACCTGTTTGACGATTGAGCTCGTTTTCACATTCCTGAGCATTGTATTGCACAATTGCATCCTGGCCTCTTTTCTGGTCACCTGGGTTGCATGCGAGCAATGCTGTAGGGTTTGGTTGTGTCGTGAGGCAAGGTCCATGGAACCTGAGAGACATACAACCTTTCCCATTTCGATCTCAGTAGCTAGCTGGCTTTTGTCTTCAGCTGATGGTTTTTGGCGATGGCTCCATATATCGACCTCATCATGTGAACGCGCAGCCTGGTGCATGATGCACTCCAGCAGTGCATTTGACTTGCATTAATGATCATGTTCCAGCTGGCAACAAGTGGTGTAATTGTGTTGCGATGATGGCCTGTTGTTTCGACGCAGCAAAAGGACACAGGGGCCCAATCGATTGTTGACAGGCGCTCTGTGTGCTTAATGCAGCTGCTGAGATCTCTGGGTGGCCTGAGTTCCACAATGGCGTTGCAGCTGGCCTGAAGCTGGCACCCAAAGGGGCTGAGGCGTCCAGGTCATGGCTGGCGCACACGCGGCCCATGGAGCCCTCTCATGTCAAAGCGGGAATGTTCCTGGCAATAGGCCTTGCTGGTGGGGAACCTTGTTCGGCTAATTTCAGGGGCCTTCTGTTGTCAGGAGTCTTCTCTGTATGGTGTTTTGCCTGGGGATCACTGTCTGAAAATCGAGTTGACTGTCCTGCTGACAAATCTATTTTTGTAACAGCACAACGTTGTCTTCTTGTCTGTCTGTGCTGTCTGAACACGATTGATAGCAGCAAACCCATGCTGTTGCCAAGTCAACAAGATGAAACTTTGGGCAAAGGCAGTACACTCTGTTCAAGCAACTTGAGGTGGACATCGCAACTTAAGCATGTGTACGCACTAGTTGGACTTGGAATTCTATTGTTGTGTTGGCACATGTCCGTTGTATTCTAGCCAAGTGACTGTTTGGATTGCCTTCTGGGCGCAGGTCACCTGGACAAGATTACAAACCCAAACGTGACTCGCTTCCTAGGCCTGCAACACAACCCCACCATCATTGCTGTGCTATTGGGACTGGGAGCATCGAGGCTGGGCACCATGGAGGAGAACGCAAACACCACTATGTTCCTTCACCTGCCACACCGCCACCCACAGAACCTCCCAGAGTTGGAGATGTCTTCACATGTACAGGTGGGAATCAAACAAGTAAACGAATTGTCTGTTTTTCTGGTGTCTGGTGAAACTCAGGTGCTGCTAAACTCCAGGATTTATAGGCAGTGACCTGAGGATCTTAGTGTTAACGGTGGTGATGTCTTGGAAAATCAACATTTGGGCTCATGCTTCACGTCACCTTTTGGGTCCATTTTGTCATGCTTTGACAACTGGAATCAAATGACTCACACTCCATGAGTGCAAGAAATTGGACATAATGTATGGATTGAGCACAATCACAACCAGGAGCTGGTTACAGTAACATGCCAATGCGCTTAGCATCGTAAAATTTCTACTGTACTGAGCTTGAGAATGTTGGCAGAGAGAATCGCAAAGCTGATGAAAACACAGTAGTTTGAAACTTTTCAGATTCCTAAGAAATTGCCTGCTGCTCAATGGGTTCGGGCTACTGACATTGAAAGGAATGGTTTATGCATAAGCATGATTGCTGACTCTCATTCTGCATCAGTATCCTTGTAAAGTGGTCAGTGCCATCCAAGTGCATTCTGCTCCTGCAGCAGCCAGAACACTCTTGCGTCTCTTTACAGTATGCACAGTAATGTCACAAGTATTCTGTTGATGAGGGCAGTGCCCATTGCATCGCATGTTTCCTTTGGTCTCTTGTCTATATTTCCTTTATTTCTTTCCATTACCTTTCTCTGTTTCTGTCTTCTGTTTGTAGTCAACCTTCAGCAGTGGTTTGGCACTCCCTGTATGCAGGCTGCCAACCTGATGGCCCTGGGACTCCTCTACCAGGGCACAGCGCACAGGATGATGACAGCGTTGCTGCTGGAGGAAATCGGCCGACGACCTGGGCGGAGCACCACCGTTGACATCGGCTATGGAAACTCGAATGGGGGTGTGACGCAAGACCGTGAGGGGTATGCCCTCGCTGCTGGTCTTGCCCTTGGCCTTGTAAACCTTGGCAATGGAGGCCAGGCTTGCGGACTGGAGGATCTGCGCATCGAGGAGTGCCTGAGGTGAATTGTGTGCCACCTGCACTACCTTGGTCAATGGGATCCATCATCCCCGGGCTCAGCTCCAAATGACAGTGTCTGCTTTCATGCCATTGTGCAGTTTTGCATGCATCAGTCAGCAGATTGGCATGCTGGCCTTCTCTTGACAGGAGGCTATCTTGATTGCTGTGTGGGTTTGAAATATCGCTGAAAATTGTTTGTCCCATCCAGCACGCAGCTGCATGCTGTACGTTGTGCTGGTGGCTGTGTATGCTGCGTGCGTTTGCAGTATAGGCAGTTAGTGAAAGCAGTATGACATAATCCATTTGTGGATCTCGTGTGGACCTGTCACGTCTAACAGTGCAATAGTGGAGTACCATGAGATGCGCGTGTCGTGCCTAGAAACGATTTCTTACCTTTGTGCTTGTCATGTGGGCTGGCTTTCTGGTGGTGTAGCACATTTGCAGTGTACTGGGGTTATGCATTGGAACTCGCTTGGCAACAGCAGCAGCAGCCTTTGCCAAGGAGGACATTTGAAGGTTGAGAAATCATTGCCTTTTTCAACATGCTGGGCAGCATCCCAGTTGATGCCACGGCAGCCATGGCTGTGCCTTGGGCTGGACAGTGGCTGCCATTGTGATTGATGCCATCCATTGATAACAATTGTCAGAATCACTCGTCTGTTGCACATGCCAGAGCGCTGATGGGGTGCCGCTGGCATGATCCTTTGCAGGTACTACATGGTTGGTGGCCACGATCCCAGGGGCACGATGCGTCCGCGCGGCTCACAGCAGCAGGCGGTGATGAACACGGGCTTGGAGGGTCTACTTGGACCAGGGGGAGTGCCCTGGGACCCAGATCTGAGGGACGCTGAGATGGTGGAGGACCTGCCAGGTGTGAACATCAGTCTCGCGCGGGATCAGGCCAGTCGGGGCCTGGACGGGGACCATACGCAGGTGCATGGGGTGTCACAGGTGAGTTCAAGAAGAACTGTGCTGCTGAGGGGTAGGGTCGTTGCACAAAATTGCATCAATTGGAACACACAAGATGCCATCATTTGGTGAAGGATGAATGGCATCAGTTCCACAAGTCCATTCATGTTGTTTCCAGTCTGCTGAACTGTAGATGGACTTTCTTGTGCATTTTGGTGGCATTCAATTGCAGAACGATGTTTTGAGGTTGATGTGAACTGTCCCCCTGTTGCCAGGTAGTCCTTGAGGGCGAGATGGTGAACTTGGATGTCACCTCTCCAGCTGCCACAGTAGCCCTGGCACTGATGTACTTGAAGACCAACGACAGGAACATCGCATCCTGGTTCAAGATCCCTCAGTCCTCCTTTGAACTGGACTATGTGTGCCCGGACTTCATTCTGCTGCGTGTGCTGGGGCGGGCGTTGGTCATGTGGGAATCGATCGAACCCACAGAGGACTGGATCAGGGTGCGTCAACTGAGATGGGATATTGCCATGTCAGCAAGTTGCTGGATCAGGAGTGCAGAGTTGTCAACTACCCCAAAATGTTGGGCCCTTATGGATGGTAACGTAATGCTTGGCCTTTTCTTTGCAGAGAAAAATTGGTAAAATTTTTTGCGAAGCAACACCAAAAAAAGAGAAAAGCTCTGGGGAAATGTTGCAGAGCAAAAAGCGTAACGATATGATTTGTTGGCAGGATGGAATATTTTACAGCAAGGGGAATGAACAAGCGATTGAGATGTGTGAAAGGCGGTTGCTGACTTCCCAAGTTGAAAGGGTTGCTTTGGCCTGCAAAGGCTAATGCAATGAACTGACTGTATTGTGTGTGTACTTGGACAAAGTTGTTTGAAACATGAAGTAGCATCGAAGCGAATGGCAATCAAAAATAAACATGGATCATGTTTGTTTTCAACCCGATGGGGTTGCTGGGTTGGTAACAACGTGTTCAGCAACATTTAGGGATCAGGGTGGCACCTTGTCAGTTTAGTTGCTGTGCAGTTGTAAATAAGAGAATGTTGTTGGGTACACGATCATCGTGCTGAATTTGCCTTTGGTTGCACGAAAATCTCCACAGCGACTGTGATAAAAAGGTATGCATAGATTGGAATGTATGTTTTTGCCGCTTATATTTTGATGGTTGTGAAGACGTGTACATGGAGATTTCTTTGGGGAAGATGGATCACAATTTGTCCATGTGGAGATTTGCTGCACCTTGATCACTACTTGTAAAGAAGATTACATTTTGCACACATCGATGCGTTACTCCACACAGAATGTAAAGAGTGTAATTCAATACATGAGTGTTCCGTTTTATGGAATTGTATGCAAGTCTGCAGAGGCGAACGTATAAATTCTACTGATTGTTGCAAGATGAATGGAAACCGCCACTGCTGCGCACAAGTGGCGAAGCTCGCATGAATGACAAAGATGCTATTGGAAAAGATGCATACCATCCTCACCGCTTGTTCAATATATTACAGTTGCTGTTTTGCACTCCATGCAATCGTTGCATTGTACCGTTCCGTTGATTTTTACCATCAATTTGTTTGCTGTTGGAATCCAGGGCCAAATGCCAGACTTTATGCGTGGCCCTTTATGCACCTACATGAATGTGGACAGTATGTTTGGAGGGGGTCAGAAACGGATGTCACTGGAAGTGCAGGTTGTGGCGCATGCACACATCAATGCCTGGGCAGGTAATACAACCGGATGCAGTGCTCCAAGTCCAGTTTCTTCTGCATCGACTTCACATTGACCAAACTTGAACTGCATTAACAACCCAAAAGAATTTTGGCTTTTTCTGTCATTTCTGGGTACCACCAGCCCGTTTTGTCAAATTTTGCATTGAATAAAGTTGCTGTGAAGCTGGTTGGGGGCCAATTTGGAATTGGCCAAGACCGCAGCAGCTCAAAAAGACAGCATAGTTATAAGCGCATATTGTGCGAGTGTTTAATTTGCCACCATGGGGAGCATGAGTCTCATCCCTTGTGGACACTCAGTAATGTCGCTCGCAACTGGGTGTGTGGGTTTGTCACATGCCAATTTGTCACAACAGCCTGCAGGGTTGTGAATTGTGTGCTGCACGCGAAACCAAAGGCCCAGCAAGGCATCGCAAATGGTTGCATCGCAAATCCTTCCTGTTTGCAGGTTGTTTCCATTGGTGCTGTCTAAACCCACAGCATTGATGGGGCACATCACAACCAAATGGTACCAGCACCACAGCATTTTATTCCATCAATGGCAGAATGATAGCGTCCCAGTATGCATTAGCCCTCACAATGTTTCTTTCTGACGTTTTCAATGCTGTTGCCAGGTGCCTGCCTAGCTATTGGGCTGAAATTCGCTGGCACAGCAAATGCCCAGGCAGAGTTTCTGCTTCGGAAGTACGTGCTGGAGTTTCTGGCACACAAGAAGAAAGTTCCAGATGCATCAGCACCAGGCCAGCAGACTTATGGCCGTCTTGACAAGCAGTCGATCGAGCTGAGCATCGATGTGTGCGCCCTCGCCCTGTCAGCAGTGATGGCAGGCACTGGTGGGTGTGGCGTGGGTTGGTAGTTCGAGCTTCTCCAGGGTGGCTCTGACAACTTGTGATGGAGGCAATGCATTTCTTGTGATAGTTTTCTTCTGATTTTTGTGTTTCTGATTTGTGTGGTCCTGGAAGGGCAGTTATCTCGCAATTGAAATTGTGGCATAAATCCATGGTGAATAGATAATTTGTTGAGAAGCATGACAGGCAAGCCGTTGTGCCCTATAGGGAATGCCCTGCACTGTTCATTTCATTTCATTTCATTTCACTGTTTCATTTAAGTGCGCATTTGTAACAATTGTTTGCACAATTCCCTTCATGGTGACGAGCAACAAATGAACAGTAGATATGCTGAATATCTGTTAGAACAGATCCACCAATAGTGCAGAACGGCTGCTTATCACCTGTGACAGTGGGATTCCCTATCCACACCAGTTTGATGCAGTTTCCTGTGTGCATCAACAGAAATTGGGAACTGCAAGTTGTGAACTGTGTGCATTGCTGTCCTCAAGCAGTTGCTTCACAATATAATGGATTTCTGTTTGTGTCGACTGTCCTTGCGACTATGGATGTTGCAGATTTATCTTCCACCTGTGACTGCCAGGCAGTTGCAATATGCAGTTGGGCACATGTGGCCAGGGGTACTATGTATTGCTGATACCATTGAAATTTACCTGGGAGTTCAATGCCAGTGGAACGAAGGACCAGTCCACTTGCTGTGCTGGTCAACAGGAGAAACGAGAAGACATGCACCTTTTGGGACTGACAGCACACTGTAGATAGATGCACAAGTGGCCTGCAGCCCATGAAATGTGCAAGGACAGTCATGTGTCCAGCAGGGCAAATGCAAGCAAGGCAGAATTGCACTGAATGTTGGCTATCATCTGGAAGAGAGTCTGGCCAAATCTTGGTTGGTACTGATCCCACCACACGGCCTGATTTATACTTGTAGTATTATACGATTTTTTTTAATGGTTTTGAAGGAGCCTTTGCTGGCTGCCCGCAGGACACCTGCCCACACTGCGACTCCTCCGCGGTCTGGCCAAGCGCCTCAGTGTGGCACCCCTCCAGGTCGCACCCAACTCGGGCACTGTGGGTGGCCTGCACTACGGCAACCACATGGCCATCAGCATGGCCCTGGGCTTCCTGTTCCTTGGGGGCGGAAGCAGGTCGTTTCGCACTGATAGCCTGGCAGTGGCCATGCTGCTCATCTCGCTGTTCCCAAAGTTTCCTCAGAACCCGATGGACCAGAGGTGCCACCTTCAGGTTTGAAGGCCCCCAAACACTGCCCCTTCCAGATAGCAAGCAAACTGCTGTACAGTTTGGCAAGTTGTGCCACAACAACTGCTGATATGCTGGAGGGTTTCGTATTTTATAGCGAAACCAATAAGTTCAGTGCTGTGTGATTTCACTTGAGTGGAGTTGTGTGGGTGCCATCACGATAACTCGTTCAGAGGTGTGCTAACAGATTCGTGACAAAAAATTGTACAGCGCAGAGAACAGCTTGTAGGTAATGGCCATTTCAGTGTCATCAGGAGCGCACTTGAATTTGGCCAGTAAGGCCCTCGACTGCTGTGTGGTACAGGGTTCCTTGTCCATCGGTACACAGCCAAATTGGTACTGGCTTCAGTGCTGTTTACTTCTGCATGGAATATGAGCCCCTGTCTAGCTTATCTTCATTCTATGTTACCAGGCCTTCCGGCACTTGTATGTTCTGGCGACTGAGCCACGATGCATGGAAGCTATTGATGTGGAGACGCGAGAGGCTGTGTATGTGCCGATCAAAGTCACCCTCAATCCCAAGCATTTCAGGTCATCGAAGTCACCCCCCTCGTCTTCGCTCCACTTTGGGGTCCAACCATCCAGCCCATCCACAAGCAATGAGGCAGGCCCAGTAGACGATCCGATGGCGATTGAGCAGGACAGACCCGACGTTTGGGACTTGTCATTTGAGCGCATGATGCCATGCCTTGTGCCAGAACGACCTATGGTAATCTTTGCCAGACCATCAGCTAAAATGCTCATTACTGCTGATTTTTCATCGTGAATCTCATGATATTTGTATCTGTTGATGTTAGTGGCAAAAAGATCGTGCTGGGAATTTCCCCACACTCTGTGTCGCTTGAGTTTTGGGGCTGTGTGTTGTGTGGCACACAACAGTACAACTAATCCATTGCTGTATTTCAAACAAATGTCCAAATTGCAAGCCAGTTTCATGCAGGAGCCCAGCAGAAGGTGCCTATTTGATGATCAGCCCTTGCTGATGAAAACTGTGTCTCTGCAGCACTGTGGTTCTGTTGGTGCGCAGGAGTGTCAGGTTGACCTGGTCGCTGCTCTATTCTCAGCTGGCAGGCAAATATGTAATTGATCACATTGACATGTCAATTCATGGCAATTCACTGCCCTTGCACCTATGAGCTGGTATTGGGCCCTCTGAACATCGCGGGGCATTGGTTTGATTAGAAAACCACATAGCCACAGATGTTATTAGTCAGAAAGTTTCGGGTGTTCGGTCGTTTTGCCTATCTCTTCGACATCTCACGTCGAGGCACTGTCTGCAGATAATCACAGCATTCGGAACCAATCCTTCGCTGCAGCCGATGCTCTCGTTGGCAAGCTGGTGTCTGTGAGTAATAGCACCACAGTCCGAAGGACTGCATATTCTTACTGAAAACTTAGTGCTTTGTCGCTGTTCAGAGTACCCACAATGCCCATTGGGGCAACGTACAGTTCCATGCACTGAACCTTGTCCTAGTTTTGCATGGAACGATGTTCTCCATACAGTTTTCACTGTTCCTGCTCACACATTTCTGCATCTGTTTTCCTTGTAGAGAACGTCGCAAAATTGCTTTAAAGCAGTTGGTGTCCATTGGATGACATGCTCCAGGTTGTCTTGAGAAACAACATTCAAATGATGTACAGGTCAGTCGCATCGAGATCCTTGGGCCCAGGTACTGGCAGCAGGCCATAGAGGGCCCAGAGAACCTCTCCCACGTCTACAAGACCCTGAAGATCTTCGTGAAGAAGAAAGCTGGGGCTCTGTCGTATGCACACGACAACTCAGGCGTGCGGTCGCTGCTGTCCTGGGCTGTGCACAACTCCCTGGCAGACCCACAGACCCATGGGGGTTTCGACTTGGTGCACTTGTGCGCCACCTTCTCTGCCGATCCATCCATCATGGCTTTCGCAAACAGGCTATGCTCGCCAGGTTTGTCCCAGATGCTATTCCAGCACCGGTCACCTGCGAGCAGTGCTGCAAGCATGAAATGGAGCCTCTTCGCTCCTGAACGCCCTGTCAAGCAAATGTGCTGCCTGTCCAGGGCTTTCAAGATGTAATTGGGTTGCCCAGTACTATTTTTATTCTGGCATTTCATTCAGGCTCCGCCCACAGCAAGCTGCAGAAGTGGTAGGCAACACAACTGCAGGCACATTCACCTTGCATTGAATTGTGGTTGCTGCTGGGACAGGACCAAAAGCAGAGAAAGGAACGCGGCCAGGCGCGTTGAACACTTCGAGCTCAGGACAACTCGATGCCACCCATGAGTTCCAGCAGTTCTGTCGCAGTGCACTACACGAGTGTGCCACGCATGAAAAGCTCGACATCCTGCCCTCCTACGTCTTCCTGTACTCTGCTGTGCAGACCCTCGCCTCGGTGCCGGGGGATGGGGGGGATTGGAGTGGCCAGCACGACTGGAGGGATGGCCCAGACTCTGGAGCTAGTGGAGCACAGTTGGGGAAGCTGGCGGCAGGCAAGCAAGGCTGAACGGCTCAATTCGCCTGAGCGGATTTTTGAACTGCTTGCGTTTTTGTAACCAACGCGCTTTTGAACTCTTGGCAGTGCAGTGCCTTTTCGCACTTGACACCTGGCACATGGGTGCAAAGGGGCTTCTTGTGTGCCTCTTCAACCTGATTTGTGCAGGCAACTGTAAGTAGTTGCCCACTTAGACGCTAGATCCAATGCTGCATTGGCAGTTGCGACAGCACACCTCAGGCACGCAAGGATCTGCACTGCCAGTGTGGTGGCTGGGTGTGAATTTCACTGAGAGTCAAAAATTTAGTCAAAAGGAATTGCTTTGTACCTTCAAAGGTGGCAGAGGACATGCATCTACAACGTTAGTCTCATGGACTGTTCACGTACGAATTATGCCTGCAGTGGCCCAAAAGTATGGAGGACGTGTATATAAACAAGTCAAGGGGGTGGCTGGGTCACCGTGTCTTAATGCTGTACAAATCTGGTGAGGCTTGACGGCTCCTTTTTGTTGCAAACTTCGGTTTCCTTGTTGGATGGACTCACCATTTATGCAGTTGGTTTATTTGTGAAGCGGCGACGGCGGTTTAAAAAGCATGCTTCGGGAACATTGTTTGCAGCACTGCTGCACTCATGGTGTTGGCAAGGAAGGTCCCTGATTCCTGCAGCAGTCGAAAGAACAGTGATTTTTCATAATTTGGAGCAAACTGATTGAAATGTTGTTTCGCACAGACGGACACTAAATGCGACATACTTAAGTTGGGGCGTGCATGCGGCGAGCCGCTCCAGATTCCATTCCCTGGCAGTCCCCAAGCAGATCTGCTCGTTGTGAACCTCCGTGGCTTGTGTTTGCTTAAGACGCAGGTGTTAAGCATAGCCCTTGGCACCTTCCAAGAGGGGGCGGTGCCACTGTGTGATTCTGCATTTTCCCAAGCACTAAAGTATTAATTGCATTGCGTGTCAGGGCCGACGGTCGCATTGTGGAGTCTGAAGCTGTGCCTAGAGTACTACAAAGGTGCTTTGGGGAATCTTTTTGATGATCTGGAAAAGGACACACAGGGCGGCATCTCAGAATCGGAGGAAGCCAGGTGCGCAGCCCCTGCAGTAAGCAGGGATCTTCGTGCGGGGCGGTTGCGACTCGGATGCCCTGTGCCTTGTACGCCCACAGTTCACCGTCCAAATGGATCCTAGCTGCTGAAAGTTGGCCAGCAATGCCCTTGCCACAATTTGGTGCTCTTGGGAGCAGTCCCCATCCTCCCATTCAAGTGTCACATTTCATTGTGAATCCATTACCTGCTGGCCTGAGCTTCAGATTGTGACACAAGATGTGTGTTGAGAGGCAACGATTGGAAGGTGCAACGGAAGTGAGAGCAACGTTGCGTTCTGTTCCAGGAGCAATGTACTGACACAGGCGAAGTTGCATTTTCACCTGTACCTGTTGAAGTATTGAATAATAGCAATCAGCACAGGGGGCTGCTGCTACAGAAAACTGCCACTCACCCCCAGGATTCTGTAGAACATCTCAAACGAACGTGCCATTGCACAGTCCACTGCACATGTGCTGAAGTCCTCCGGATTGGCTGAAAATCCTCACAAGCAACGTGAAAAATCGACACACTGGTCATGTCACGTATCTCTGCTGAACTCCGACAGCTAAACGGCGTCCCTCTGCTATCGGTCTGCAATGGCCTCACAACAATTGGCAAGTCCTCCGGATTCACTTTCGTTTGCGCTGCCAGCACAGCATCGCAACAGTGCACTTGACGGAAGGGCTCGTCACTGACGGAGGCGTGGGGCTCCCCTGTGGCGGTTTTTTTCTTCTTTTCTTTTTCTTTCTTCTTCTTTTTGTGTGACGGGCGTCCTGCGCGCTGTGACAGCAGCAGCAGCCCCACCTCCTGGGAACCTCTCCTGCAGCCCTTGTTCTTGAAGAGCCTGTGGACGCTTCTGGAGCTGCAGTGGGAAAGGGCGTCGTTCCTGTCATGCGGGGGGACGTCAGGCGGTGACTGCGTGTTGAAGAGATACGTGTGCGATGGGAAGTGGACCTGCAAGGACGCGAGCAGGGACGCGGCAGGTGTGTGGAACGCGTTGCCTCTGTCCACTGCCTGCTGGGCGGCTTGGAGTGGCAACGCTAATTCCGTCGATGATGCTGTATTGATGTACTGGTGTACTGTATTGATGTATTTTGTCGATGGTGCTGCACTGGTGCTGTATTGATATGATGTAACTGGTGCTGTACACTGCTGCGTATTTTTGCGTATTTGTGCGTTCTTGTGCATTTCGTGCGTATGTGTGCGCCACTGACATCATAGGTCTACGTTTGTTACATTTTGAGAAATTGGCAAACCGTCTTTCGCCTGCCAGCCGTTACCACATGCTGCTCATCAACGCAAGTACCGAACCCCGGCAAGTTCACTTTTCTTAATGACAAAGGTGATTGTGTCGACGAAAGAAAAGCTCGTGATGCTCAACCCACTGCAGCTGCGAAATGAAGACTTGCCGAGCCGAATTTGTTGCCGCACTCTACGGGCGTGCGAGTGGGATTCGCGCCGTACTATGTTTAGCTCCACCGCATAGCGACGCAACATTTTGCCCCTTTCTGCCGAGCGACGGAAGTGTGGAAACGACGCTTCCTTGGAAATTCGCCGAGCAGAATTTGGTTAGATTGGCGATTATACAGCTTCCGACGCATTGGGCAACAGCCTGCGCATGTGCGCCACCGACCTATCCAGGCCACGCTTGCGCATTGTGGGGATAGGCACATGCAGAATGGGTGCAGGTCTGCAGGCAGGTCGGTGGTGTAGGCGTCTTTGTTGGTGGACAATAGTCGGGCTTCGGTTGCATCCTACCGCGGCTGTTCGCTTTCTTCCTCTCCCGGCCTACCAACGCCATCAACCGGGATGCCTGGGATGCCTGCCTAACGCCAACAACGTCGTTTGAATAAAGTGCGGTACAACACAGCAACACACAGTACTATGTCTTGTACCTTTCCAAACCACTGTCCCAATGCGCCTGTGCGCCTGCGGAGTGCCAATGCGGTGTTGTGACGTTTCTTGGCACCCTTTCGGGCAAGATGCCCAGTAGAGAAGTGTCGACGCGTTGTGTGGAAGACGAAAAGGTCTTAAACATTGTGAAATTTGCATTGCAAGTCAATGAAGAAGAAGTCTTCCAGGAAATAAACAGCTAGCGCTGCGGCGATTGTAGAGCGTGGAAAATGGGGTGCTTGAAGGGATGGCAGGCGATGGGGACACCCCTGGAGGCTGTCAATTCAGGCATTAGGGTTCCTCCAAGAAGTTTGAACGCTTGAGGGAGGCTTTCCAACGAATTGTGACTTGCTTGCCGCCGACCGGTGTCGGTTCAACCCTCTTTTTGGCGTTTGTCCATTTTGTGGCAACTGCGTAACCTCTCAGAGCCACTGGCCTGGTGCCCACCAGCATCCCCTGAGTCAATTCAACGGCAAGAGCGCCAAAATCGGCACTTTTTCGTACCTGACAATGCGCGCTTTCATTGTCGGCGACTTGAATAGTACCTCTGTGCCTGCTTCACCTGCACTTCCGTTTTATGCACTTTTGGTTGGCCCGTCCACAGGGGAGGACTGCGGCTGGCAGGAGCACCAATTCGGCGTGTTTCTTGCCATGAACGACATTCCGTCGGCGCCCGAAATTTCCGCCACCCTGGCTCACGCTCGAAGTCAGAAGGACCTCCCCCAAAGCCCCTCAAAAGCGGAGCTGCTGCACTTTCTGAGGACGAGGTTCCAACACATTTCACCGCAGGGGGCGGTCGTCTTGGCGAAGTGCCGCGTGTAGATGGGCTCTTTCTCGCGCGAGTGATTGGGAGTGGAAGTGAGCGACGCTTGGAAACAATTCTTCCAGCACGTACAGGGCTCTGTGGAACGCGGTTTGTGAGTGTAGGGGGCGCTTAGAGCGTCAAGAGCTGTCAGCAGCTGAATTCAGGCGTCAGCGCGGCGCACATAGTGTAGGTGAAATGGCGCGAGGGGCCGGGAGGACCAGAATGAGGCATCGCTTCGAAGAGGACGGAATTTCACATCGTCCGAGGCGGTTACTTGGGGCCTTGACATAGTTCATTCTGTAGCCGTGTTAAGTGTAGTCAAGGTTCATTTTGGCGGCACGGAGTCCCATGGAATGAGCGTGAGCATGCAAAGTGCTGGGAACGTTGCGCCCGCCTTGCCACCCGGCGACGAGCACATGGCACGGTTCGCATTATGAAGATCGTGCGAGATCCACTCGTTTGCTGCAATTTGGCCAAATTGTCCTCGCATCGATGAGGCTATGTATGGTGAGGCCGCACGGTTCATGCTCTCCCGAAGCGTTCATCCAATGAGAGCTCAGAAGCTCAGTTGGGGTCGTCTTCGTTTCAGTCTATTGGTGCCCGACCGGCTGCGCTCGCGTCACACTGGCCTGCTCAGGGCTCAAGCTCAAGTTTCGCCCCAAATGTTTTGAGCTGCAAGTTTTCAACCGAATCGTAGTCCCTAACGATCACAGGATCGGGATAACATTCCGCATGCCCGCCATTTCGTTAACGAATGACTAAATTGCCCCAGCTGCCGTCTCAGGACGATGCTTCCACCCCGCCCTCCCCGGCCCATCGCTGTGGCCCAGAGGGCCCAGCGCGACGACACCATGTTCTTGTCCACTTCATTTGGGCGCGCGGAATTCTCCATCAAACAGACCCTCGCAGACATTGCCACACAGCTCGTGCAGCTCTGCAAGGCGCCCCAAACGCGGCATCTTAGACACGTCAGCAGTCCTGTTCCGCTGCTGGTGACGAGGGTTCGATGTACAACAGCGGGGTCTCTGCAATTCGATGCAGCACGTTCGGCCAACCGCTCTCTGGCAGGAGCAATGCGGCAATACAAGAAATGCAACAATATTTGATATTCATTCAATAAACATTCATACAATAATACTCGTTTAACAAGCAGGGAGGGTGAAAGCACGGGTGAAATGCAAATTTCCGAACAATGCGCCCAGGGCGAACAGAACAGAAGAGCAAGCAATTGACGATTCAATGACGATCGTCATGGACGCCGTTTCGCAGTTGACGATTCGATGACATTGACGAATGCCTACAGCGCGGGACATCACATGCAGCACATCGCTCTTTCGGCAGAGAAAGCCGTACCATGCGCGTGGCCGTCCAAGAGATCATCCAATATGAGATCCGCAACCGTTTCCGCGACCTGCAGAGCAGGCCAACGCCGCGGCGAATTGAGGCATAATCTGATTGCATTGAATATTGCACATTCTCGACCCTTTCTTATTGTCGACCATTAGGACTTCAGGTCTGTTAGCTGACATGAACGGAACTGCTCAAAATGCGAGTGGGAAATAAAACTCAACGATCCACTAAAGGCAACAGCATGGGCTGCAAGTCAAAGATTCAGGGGATCGCATTTGGGATCAGCTGAGAAATTCAGCTTGAGATCAGTTCGGACTTCTGCCTGCCGTCGCCTTGGCGGGGCTAGATAAGTGCATTGTTACTTGTGATAAACGCGCTGAGTTCGTTTGCACTTTAGGTCCGCAGGACGGCCGCCATGACAATCTTTACATCCGAGGAAGCAGTCCAGCAAACCATCAACTGCGACACTCCAGTCCACCAATAGCTCGCTACATACAACCAAACCTTCCTTTCGGTCGATTGCTAGCGTTAAAATCTTGCATAGGAGGCAACCGGTCCGTTTCATAACCCTCCTCCTTTACGCCACAAGTACAGACAGAGTTTGCACGACCCATCGCCACGTCAGCATACCTGCACCTTGGACAGTTTAATTCCACCGTGCAGTCGATCAGCCTCCTGCTGCATTGAAACATACTCATCACGCCCGCGCACCACCCTCTCCACCAGGTCTTCGTAAGCTGCCACTGCCTCCAACGGGCTCCCGTCGCTATGTCTGGTCCAACCACCAGCGCGATTATGCAAGACGTGCATCACTGACCCTTCTTTTGGGCTGTGCTGAAGGGCTCCATCACCATCCCCCATCTGACCAACGCCTCCTGTTGAAGGTAACCGATCACCTGATTGAAAGTGCTGGCTGCTGGGACCCATGCTGGGGCCAACGGCGCTATGCGTCTTGAGCGTTGTGCCACGGGCATCGTGGCGTAATGGAGAGCTAGCGACATACTTCTGCCTTTCCAAACCACTGGTGCCTCTGCAAGAGTCCTTGCCGGATCCAGGTTTGCCTTGTGGCCTATCGTGAGACATCCGATTGCGCCTGCAAAAACGACAGCCCCGTTTGGTCGTTATGCCTTTTTATTGTCAAGAAAGAATCCATGAAAGTTGGACAACAGAGGAATTTCTGTCAAACAAACTAGAAAGAAAGGATTGAAGAAGGATTGATCAACAAGTAATAAATGAAGAAACTAGTGAACAAATCGGTCAATCAATCAGTGAGGCACTGATGGTCAATCAAACCATACAACAAAATTATTGACTATGCATGACCAACGCCGTGATTGCAGATGCAAAATTAGTGTGTGCGTATCCAACAGCAGATTCCCATCTTTAACAATTTTCATCCATTGAAAAATTCCCTTCTTCCTTGGTTGTGTGCTGCACACATTCTTGACGCCATTATTAAAGAAAGGTACCATTTGCACCAACTTGCCATTCGTGTTGCACTGGCAAACTTCTGCTAAACCTACCGCACCATGGAAACAGCCTCACAGAGTCATCGCTCAAGACAAGTATCTGCCCATGCATGAATTGCTCTCTATTCTATGAAGAGACAACCATAAGAATGAACCTGTCAGAGCGCCTCACCTGGCATCCCTGAGACGACTTGGATACACCTGCATTTCAGCAGTGTCTTGGCCATCTGCACTGTCAAGCATCGACATGTCATCCACCCGACTCCCATCACGAATGCTGTGCGGCCTTGTCTCCTCCCCATTGCCACAATCTGAACTCCCAATGCCCAAGACGCCATCACTTTCCACAACACCGCCACCACCGCCGCTCATCCCTCCCCAGGATCGGGAGAACATCCCACCACCACCCAGCTGCATCTTGGCTTCCATCATCTTCATCCAATCCCCCATTTGCTTTTCCATGCCTACCAGCCATCTGCCAAGGAAATCGAAGGGAGCTTCCCCATCGCCCCGAGCTCGCGGGTCTGCTATGGGCTGCTGACGCCCCTGGTTTCCAGTGCCTTCCAATCTGCCCCGGCGGTTCAGAGATCGCCTGGAAAATGGGATACTTGCAAGCCGGGTTGAATTCTTGTGGTTTGTGCTACTCCCAATTGTTCGGCGGCCCTTGTCCAGATGTCCAGGCACTGCACAGCCATCATCGCTTTGCAATGCACCAACTGGTGCGCATGCAAGGAATCCACATGCAAGGGGACAAACTTTGCAGCGACAACTACTGTACTTGAGAACACTCATAGCACTCCACTCGATTGGCTGCTCAACACAATCCAGGCCCAAGTGCAAGCTGGTCCAAACTGCTGAGGTTGGAAGTCAGGAGCTTGCCAAGTAGTAAGCCAGGGGATGAATTGCTACCTATGTTCATGCTCCACATGGGCTATAGTTCACCAATGCTCATAGCCATAAAGACAGCCAGCACTAGCTGATATGCAATTGAAAATGACCAACTTCCTCTCTTTGCAAAAGCGCCTTGGAAAGGCAGCACTCCATTGGTAATGAGTTTTTGAGTCAAACTGCAAGCCTGCAAGCAGACATTCATCCGAGGACACATGTCTGTGCCCGGCCAAGTTCTGTGACACTATTCTATCAACATACATACCTCCAAAAAAAGGAGAAGTTGAGAACCCAACACACCCTGGTGTGGGCGAGGGCGCTGACTGGACATTCTTGACAATGCAGTCACTGAGAATTTAAGCAGCACCAAGCACATTGGCCTACCTTTGCCTCGCCATGTTGCTCCACGGGGAGCATTTCTACTCTGTGTAATGCGATTGTCAATAATGGTGCTGTCATCCCACGGCGGAAGCCCACGCTGACGACGCTGCCTTTTTTTTGGTGAAGCAGTGCCACTTGGCTGGTGCTCGTGCATATCCCACTCAAATACTGTTTGCTGTCCCCGGGCCACCACAAGTGGCGTTGTGCTCTTTAGCCCTTGCGGCTGCCTGTGGATCGAATGGTCACTGGGCTTGCCCACTGGCACAGCCAGAGACCCTGAAGGGTCATCCATTATTTGTGTGAATTAGGGTACAAGGACCATCATGGCTTACATGATATCAATATGAGACAGTCACCAGGCACAAAGTGATACATGGAGTGGCACCTTAGGAATGGCCAATGGAGAAGAAGCAATAGCTTTTTGTTGGTTATGCACTTGTAATTCCCTCCAAAGTGCAGGGGTGCCTTTTACACTGTGAAAGTGAGTCACAGAAAGTCTGGGGAGTGCAGCCTGAACAAAACTCCATGCCCTGCAAGTCGTGCTGCAGAATGTCGACACGTGAGTGCGACGATCCAAACCATAATCTGCGGCATTTGGATACCACTCAGACAGTTCCTGGGCACACAAAGCCAGAAGATGGCCCCTTACACATAGCTTGTTTCCTTTCTCCCTAGATGCAGCAAGACCACAACTGCACAGAACATTACCCCAACTGTGCCACCACAAGTCGAGCATTTCGGATTTCAGTTTCGAGTTGATGAACTTGGAGCTAGTATTGGGGACGTCCTGCGAGAGGGCATATGCCCTCTCATCGCTGGGAAGGTGCAAGTACAGCACAAACTCACTTTCCAACAAATGAATAAAGGAATCACACAAGTGGAGCTCACCACAATTTCCTGATTGTTGGGGAAGTGCTCCACTGTCGTTTGGGCTGCAGGACAGCTGGGTATGTGCTAGATGGCCCCCAAGCACGGCAAACACCTCGCCCAGCCTCACAATCGCCTCTCCATCCAGTCCCCCTGCCTTTCTGCATCCCCTGACCCAATTCTTCAATGCGGCCCTGAGGGCATCTTTCACAACCGTCTGGCCAAGCACGCCACCACTGCTTGCCATCTTCAACAGATGCCAGAGTTCAGAAGAAGGGCCAGGCCCGTATTTCAATGGGATGATGCCTGTCCTTGCTGACAGCAGGCCAGTGCCCAACTCCACTGCCCTATTTTCTTGCAAAGACCTTAAAGAATCAGCAGTCAGGGTGGCTGCTCCATCTTGTTGCCCAGCAGTGGGTTCAGAAGTGTGTCGATCGACATCGCGTGTCTTCAACTGGACATGTGTATCCTGAAGCTGGATATCTGTCCCCTCTTCTTGTGCATTCTTTGGCTCAGCAGGTTTCCTGAAACTGTCGCTAGTGCAGCCAGATTGTTGCCTTGTCAATCCACCATCTTCTGCGCCCTCTGCCAAAATCTGGTTGTTACAAGACTTATCAGGGATGGGGCACTGATCTCTGAAAGACACTGCCTCCACTGGTACTGCATCCAGCGAAGAGGCCCCACCCTCATGTCTGTGGCCAGGATGAAGGCTTGGTGCAAACATTCCTCCTGCAGTTTTCACTTCGCATGTTCTCTGGCTCTTGGATGCAGTATCGGCCACTGCCCTGCCATCGCCGACGTTCTGCGCATTCAGGCATAAACGAACCTCTCCACAACCAACCGCGGGCACCTCCTCCCCCTGTGAGCCAAGCTTTGACGCCAACCGACTCAAGGCTCGTGCCTGGTCACTGATCTGCTGCGACTGCCATTGCACAACTTCCTCCAAGCTCAATGTCTTTGCGGCCAGGTCCCTGACCATGCCTCCCCCACTGTAGGCACTGCAAATATCACAGCCCCTCATAGCCGCAGCCATCTCAGGGGGATGGCGGCACTTTGGCCCCCCTGATCCATCCGCACTGTGATCGCCCTCATACAGGGCGTCTGGCAATGCCGTCTCCATTCTCAGTCTTGCGAGTGCCTTGGCTGCTGCCAGCCTCTGGGCGGTGTCGGTATCAGTGATGTTCATAGGCGCGCCATTGGCAGAGTGGGATTTCACTCGTGGGCTGGCTGGGCTGACCCATTCAGGGCGTTCCTGGAGTGAGAGGGGGCGTCCCTGCAGGACACCATAACACTGATGAGCACAGCCAAATACTTCGAATAGTCTCTTTTCATTCCTCTGTGTGTGTGTGTGTGTCTGTGAAGCTGTCAAAATTGTTTACAGGAATTGCCAAGATGCAAAAATGTTGTGAAGCTCAGTTGCAACAGCTTAATCCTTTGTACCTGCAGTGTTTGTGGCACTACATTTCATGACACAGCTAGCTGTTAAGAATCCTAAAGTGAATGGGGTTTGGCACAAGCATCAACAATCCTTGCCAACTTCAGAGTATCACTTTGCATTGCGTAAATGTTTCACACTTTGCAGGTCTCCTCCTCACCCAGCCATCCCTTGGCAAATCAACCCCTCTGCTGCAATCAACGTATGCCTCTGGCTGCCTTGCAAAGCTTGTGTTGGCTTGCGGCAATGCCCTTGCAAACAGGCCATCATCTTCTGCTCCCTGTTATGCAACAATAATGGCCCATTCTTCACATGGTACAATTCTGCAAGTCAAAACAAATGGAGCAGTGCACAAATGGTCGTTACATGCATAAGATTGAAGATACAGTGCTCTCCTGAAAACAACCATGGGCAATGCTATGGATGGCAAAAAGGTAGCAAGGACATTTTCAATATGTCAGAAAATTTTGGCTGGTGATTTCACACTTTGTTCATCTGCTTTTCATTGTCTGTGGTATCTCAAGTCACTGTCCACATTAGCCACGATGCCCCTCTTCATCATTTTCGCAGCCACCATATTGTTTACACATCTGTTCGCAATGAGCAGGTTCACTAGCAGTGTGCACGTTCACGCCATTTCCGTCCTACAAGTGGGAACTATCAAACTAAAGAGTCTAGACTGCTATTGCAGCATAACTGAAGAAGCATTTACTCATGCTCTTTAAATAACATGAAAAGATCTTTTTCATGGGGGTCGACGACATGAGCAAATAGTCTGAAACAGTGAAAATCAATCACCTTGCTCTGCCCCAACTTTGGTGCCAGCAGTTTGCTTGAAAACCCACCACTACTCCCTCGTTGAGTTGCCAAGGTTGTTGTACTGCCTGACACAGGGATCTGCTCTGCACAAACAGCACATGCCAAGCATTCTCAAGGCTGTTCATGCACTGGTTTCACACAGTCGCTTCTTTCAAACACCTCCAGTGCCATACTCGAGTCTGAAAATTTATCTTGTCTAGGCAAGTCAGTGGCATTTGTTCAAAGTTTCAACCACAAGGCAGAAGTGTTGAACTCCTGCTCTTGGCATTATTAGTGCACTTGCGATGACAGAATCCACCTCACAAGCTGTGCACAGGGGCTTCTTTTAGTAGTCAGGCGTCAGATAGGAATGCATGCCAGCCACATCCTCATGCTATATGGGGTGTGTCAGACGGCATGGTTTGAAGAGACGATGGCCAGTGGAATAGCCGGTCCAGTAGCTTGATGTCTGATGCAAGCATGAATAAGCGCAATTTCGCCATGGGGGCAAAAACGGCCTACCCTCAACAGGATGGGTGAAGAACACTGGTGTGAAGCCAGTCAGCTCCTCGCCAATGCTGCATTCAAAGGCAGGCAGTCAATGCCAGCTTGCACAGATGATTGGTTTTTGCCATATTTCATATACGCTTGGCACAAACAAGGGACTGTGGCACCATGAAACAGTTAGAAATTGTTGAGTGTTTCATATGTGCAGAGGAACATAATCTCCTTCAAATGGTATGACAGTGCTGTGCTGGAGGTTGGGCAGCTGTGTTCCTTGGAATGTGATGGACTATAGCATACTAATCTGCTGTATATGGTTCCGTAGTTAGCAACAGATCACGCGTGATTGGCATATTTGCAAGAGCGCAGTATGATCTGAGATCGTTGCTGAGGGCTGTCTGGGACTCCGATCCAAACATCCTTCAACAAAGCCAATCTGTTCTATTTCAAGTGCAGAGCACGGCAGGACACGGAATGTGCGTTTTGGGCCTGATAGCTGCAAAATCCAGCAGCATGCCCCACTTTTTTCACCACTGGCGATTGGCCATCTTGGCAGGAATGTATCAGCAGAGAACATACGGAAATTCAACCAGCACAACACAGTGGCAAAATGCAATCTTCCAGTGGCAAGCCTCCATGCACTCTGATTGACAACAACAATAACCAATTCTCTTCTTTCATGCTGGGGTTTGCAGAATTGCAATTGAAGCGAGATCGATATACAGATCTCAAAATGATATGTGGATTGACCATGTTTGAGCTGACATGCAAGTAACATTCCGTAAAAGCCATTTCTGAAGAGCCTGAAAAGTAAATGCCCATTACCCCCATCCTCACTTTGCTTCTTGCCCGCTGGTCTGTAATGCCTCCTCTCCTACTGGGCACTGCCATCTGTCACCCAGAAGATCGCCACAGTAGTCTGACGGCCTGTATACTGGAGTGTTGTGTGACTCCATCTCCAGCTCCACCTGCTGTCCACAATCTCTTGTCTCCACGGGATGGTCTTCTCCACTGTGGCTCCCTTGCGCTTGTCCTGTGGCCTCCACGAGCTTCCCCCTGACCCACTGGACGTAGTCTACGGATGCTGTGTCCGTAACACAACAAGATCAGCATAACGAACAGTGCATTGTTTTTCGCAGCACCAGGTGAACAAGTGCAGAGTGCTGTGCCTGTTGTGCTGTGCTTCAGAACAGTGCTGTACACTTTTAGATCCACCAATTTCAGCCAAATCCAGGTTTTGCTGCCCATTACGTGCACACTGGATGCTCATTGAATCACATGTTTATGGGCATCGAGAGCTAACCACCACTGAATAATCTGCTGTGCCATTTCGCTGCGCGCCTCCATCAGGCGCTTGCATTGTTTGTCCCTGCAGCCCCGCACCACACCAGCCAACCCAAGCCAGCTCCTGCTCATCCCCATTGTGCCAGATCCAGAATCGACAAAGCAGCTGTGCCCAACAGCAGACGTCCCCAATCTGACGGAACGCACCAGGCCTCTCAGCAAACAGGCAACCCGGCGGCCAGGCGCCCGGTGAGAGGAACGGACGGCGACGCGCATCCGCACGGGCCTCAAGTCCCCTTGGGCCGCGACTCGCAGGTGTGGTGGCCTCCTTCTCCACACACCCATACTGTTGCCAAGTCTCAGGTTCGCCACACCTCTGCCTACGTGGAATCCCATGACTGCGCATTTTCTTGCAAACGCCGACGTTCATGCCGTTCCTCTGCTGCCGGAACAGCATCAGCGGCAGCAGAACACGGGACACGCGGCAATCGCGGCTTTTCACAATTCCCCACACCGTACCAAAACGAGACTGGCAGAGGCTCTCGACCACAAGGGGTTGCCCATTTTAGGACACGTTTCGTCTCAATGGGTAACACACTGTTCACCTTTGGATTCGTGCTGCTGTCTGTGGACCCATGTTCACAGTGTTCCTTGGTAATGTGGGGGGTCTTGCCAGTTGTTGCGAGTCATTGCAGACCGATAGCAGAGGGCGCTGTTTGACTATCTGAGTTCAGCAGAATCACGTGACGTGATCAGCGTGTCGATTTTTCACGTTGCCTGTCAGGATGTTCGTTCATTCACTCACCTTTGGATGCCTTGAGGCTGGCGTACTCCTTTGCGAGGCCCGCCAGGAGCGACGGGTCGGACAGGACGCTGACAGGGTCGACGCTCATGCCCGGCGGCGCGCGGCTCGGCCGTCGATCGCGGCCGAGGCGCAGCCTACGCGGCCCTCGGACGCAGCGGGGCCCCGGCGCGGGGAATCCGGACCTCCGGGGTTGTTCGCCAGGGAGGGGTTCGCTGCCATTGTACTTGGCGCACGGGGTGTAATGTGCAGCCAGCGTGGGCGCCAAAACCAGCAGAAGGAAGCTGGCGGATATCTGGGCCTCAGGGTAGCGCTTTCATCCTTCAAGGGGCCCCAAGGAACGAAGGAATGAAGGAATGAAATTCAGCCAACGTGAAAAATCGACACACTGGTGATGTCACGTGTCCCCGCTGAACTCAGGTAGTCAAATATCGTCCCTCTGCTGGCGGTCTGGCCCAAAGGAACAGCGGGAAAGCAGACATCTCACGGAGATATTTCATCGCTCACCATCACATATTTTAACATAACAAGGCAAGGAGGCAGCCGTCAGTTTCTTGTTTTGCCCAACCAAAGCGGTGTCCATAATCAGTTCACTGAAATCTAATGTACAACGCAAAATAGATATTTCCGATGTGGATATGTTTCAGTGGTGGAAAGTGTCCCATGTTGGGTGCAGCGGACCAGGGCCAAGGTGTTGAGCGCACGGCTGCCGCTCGTGGAGCTGGGCTGTCGGCCTGGCGTGGCCCCGCCTTATCCGTTTTCGCCGCGCGCTCCGCATCGATTGTTGTTGTTGTTGAATACCCCGGCGTCATCAGCCTGCAGCAAAAGCGCGCCGCCCAACCCTCACCAATCGTCCTTGGTCATCCACCGCTCATGGGCGCCAAGTCGGCGATGCCGAGGGCGCGGGGCGCCAGCTGTCGGCACCACCGGCGATCCCAGTCGCCAACTGCTACGAACAGGAGACAGCTCCAACTGCTCCTTCAGTGTTGTGGCTAGGGGGGCTCGCAGCGGTCTCAATGTTCAGCATGTTTGGGTTGCAGTTGACCATGGGCAAAGATCGAGGCGACCGCTGAGCGCCGACTGATGAGGAGGCCAGCAAGGGGCGCCCAAAGCGCCTTGGTGTGGTGCGGTGGGCGGAGGCACAGGGGACGAGATGGGATCCATGGACCCGCGGGCCCGCGTACCCAGTGCGTATGCGACGTAAAGTACTGCAGCCTGGGTTGGTGTCTTGCTGTATTCAAGTACATGACAACAAACCCTTGCAACTTTGCGCCCCCCACGCTTCGCAACAGAGACCATGCTCAAAATGGCCGGATTACCACCCACCCAAACCCATCGGCATTTCAGATCTGGAGCAGGTGCTTTTGCTTGAAACAAGGGTGCGTGGGTGCAGCTGTGAGCAGACAGCCGCCACACACACTGCAGTGATCTTCTCCTGGCATGAAAGATGCCACTCTTCGCAGCAATCAGCGATGTGAGCTGCTCCCAACACACCGTTAATTTCCAGCATCGTCGATTCCTGTGGTCAGCCAATCCCCCCCCAAACACTGCAGCGGTCGGCTGTCAACCTCACAACAGGGTGTTGCTGCGAAAACCAACGCCAGCCATTCGCAGACGTGTTCCTGAAATGCGGTGGCCCCCAACAGGTGCGGGGCTGCGCTGCCTTAAGGCTCTACCCAAGGCAATGCGCCACAGCAGCCACCCAAGCACCTTGTCGTTTGGCACCGTTTTCCCCAACAGAAGGAGGTTGACCAACGGGGATATGAGCATGTGAACAATGGCACTGGCAAAAAGGCATTTTTTGCATTGGTTCCGGGATGTTGCTCCGGTGGCCAATATTCCCAACATGGTACTAGGAAGGGTTCGAAGTCCTGAGTGTGCCCGTGGCATGGGATAGTCCCCGTTGTCGCTGTCTCTGTTGAGTCAGCGCTTGGTCGCTGCTTCGACAGCCAGCATTCCCAAAGGGAATTAGGAGGCATTCGATCCCTGAATGTGCTCAGGGCGGTGTCATAGTCCCAGTTGGCGTAGTTGCTCTTGTCCCCAACGGCGAGTCCGCTCTGCTCAGTCGCTTTTCCCGAATAGAATCTTCTTCAGGGAGTAGCCATCCCCAGCCACTCGCGCTTTGGCCCTCCTCTGGCCGAACTTCATGAGGAACCACCACATCAGCGATGGGCAGTATCGCATGGCATAGGCTGCACCACAAGTCAAGGGCAGAAATCATCAATTGCCACTGAGAAGATTTGGTTTGGGCATGGCTACAGCATGACTCAATCAGGGAATGGTATTCTCCCCAAAGCAGGGGGTGGTATTCTGTGTTACAGATGCAATAGATATTTACAATGCAGAGGCGCAATGCAAAAATCTCTGTAGCAATACTATACCAGTAGTAATTGTTGCTCCCCTCAACCCCACCCCACCGCCATTCCCACTCCACCCCTCCTGATAACAGCACCCTCCAAACTGGGCAACAGATGCTATGCTCGAGAACCATGAAAACGCAGTGTGGCCATGTTGCATCATGGCTTTCCAAAGTCATATGCCATCTTTGCTATGAGAATGTGCCCACACCACACCACATCCAGGAGGCCGTGACACTCTGTCATACTACCAGTATATGACAGCACATTGCAGCACAACAGAGTACAGCATAGCACAGTGAACGAAGCTGTACCACAGAACAGTGCAGGACAGTACGCAGTACGACCGCCATCGACTAATAGGTGCAAGGGTTCTGCCCTAATAAATGCTTGTGTCCTAACAAACGGAGTCTAGAAAATTAGTCAACAAGGTTAGCAATACCAGTACCGTTGGCTTTTAAAGCTTCCACATCGGAAAATTTTATTGACATGCGTCTTGCTCTGCATTTTGGTTTCAGAGTGGCACTTCTATTTTTTAGCTGCACCGGAAATTTTCTATGAAATGAGAGTTGTCTATTTTAATGTTTTCTCCAACAAAAAGGCCATGCATTACGTTACCATGCAGAAGGGTTTAATAACCAGCGGTACAGTGCTTCGGATGGATGCAAACGTCAGAAAGAAGCAAATGCCTTGTATTTGAAGACAAGCAGCACATTCGCACAGCCGACGCCAAGTTTCATCTGGCCATTGTGGGAGTCTGCCAGGGACCGGCCTGTCGTCAGCTACTCACGATACAGCAAAGTCGGATGTTTGGCTATCCAGCACTCCAGCACATGATAGTATCCAGCTGTCGCAACCAGTTCTGCGACCCTGTCTGCTGGCACAGCACTGCCGCTGGGTCTCAAGTTGTCTTGCTGCAGACCATCGGAACCAAAGAGGACACGTGGGGACTCGCCTTCCCCAGGGCCAATGGGGCCCGGGCAACAGATCGTTACACCAACCGGACTGGTGATACAACACAGCACAGATGAGTGTCAGTGAGAACGCACTTCAGCCGCATAAGCATTTGCAGGGCAACACAGCGTCCTTGTGCCTTGCTTGCAATATCAGTGTGTGTTTGCTCCCTGTTGGTACGACCTGTGGTGGAAATTGACTCTCAGCAAGTTGCAGGTGGTTTACATTATAGGCCTCAGTGCTTTTAGAGAGATCAGATGCATGCCTGACATTGCCTTGCAAGTGCAAGGGATGCGTCTTGACATTCTTCGACAAGGGCAATCAAAGGATGCACAGCCTGTTGGCACGTAGCACCTCAAAAAAGCACAAATGGCAGCTAAGAAGACATGAAGGAACATCACCGCCCATGATAAACATATGCCCCACAAAAGACTTTGACTGACAGCTAAACCTCCGATGTAAAATGGACTGGACAGCTTTTACCCTTGCACTGTGAAATTTTGGTTTGAACACTTTTGCCACCACATGGATTAACACTGCCCTTGCACCCCCAAGACAGTGAAAACGATGAGCAGCCCATACCTGTACCTACAAATCGTTTTGGCACTGTTTCCGCAGAGGATTCAGGATGATATCCAATGTCATTTTGCGGGTGCATCTGTTCTTCCTTTTTGTGGATGTGTATTATACCTGTCTAGTGTTATAATGTCAAGAACAGAAAATCCACAAGGAATCTTCCCCTTTTCAGTCCATGGCATTGCCAGAATCTGTAGCATGCCTGCTTTTTGGCATCTTACCTGTCAGCCAGTTCAGATGCCAGAGCACCAAAGTAGCCATTGAGTGCAAATTTCGATCCTGTCATGGCATACAAACTATCACATAGACATTTGTGAAATTTGCAAGGCGATACCAGCTTGGAGCATTCCCAGCACTGTTTGTAGGCGAGCCAGTTCAGCTAACATCCACAACGTGTGGAGTTCTGAAACTGCAAGCAGTCTGTAGTTTGTAATTGCAACAACTTTTGAGAGACAAGCGTGGGCAGTCACTGCATCAACATGATCAAGCCTCTATCACCCAATTGGACAGCCACCATAATCGAGTCTCCCCTTAGTTCCTTTTTCCAAGTCAGTGGCTGTTGGTTCTCAAACCTCAGGACAAACCTGTCAGTGCGGTTCCCAAATGCTGGAATGTGACGTCACCTGACAAGAAAAAAATCCAGCCCCAGAAACTGGGGCATACCCACACTGGCTGATGGTGACCCTCACCTGAATACACAGTCTGCCCTGGTGTTGGGATCTTTGCAGCAAGGCTGGATACAACGATGAAGCGGCCTCTCTTCTGCTCCATCATTTTTGGCAGAGCAAGCTGAGTGAGGACGATGGGCCCAACGGTGTTGGTGCGGAAGATCGGTTCCACAATTTCTGCGCGATTGCTCACAGCCAGCCCAGATTGACCAACCCCTACAAGGACAGGATCAAGTGCACATGCAGCCTGCTCAGTAAAATCTGTTGTTTTGCGAAGAACATGGGATGCAGGCATTATCTTGGGTTTCACATGCGATGCACTGACTCATCTCTGTGTGTACGTTTTGGTATGTGTTCCTGTCAGAGTACTACAGGGCTATCACTTCCCTCCTTTGGATTCTTTTCATTGCTTCAAATGGAAAATAAGGGCCCCAATCAGGAGTCGAGAATCGAGTTTGGGCGTGCTGGAGTTGTGCTAGCAAGGGATGCATGCACAAGATTTCCTTCTGTCGATGCTCCTTGTTCTCTGACCAGCAAAACAACGGCGTGGGAGTGCCCACTCGCCTGCGTTGTGAACTATGTAGTCCACTCCAGCACCTCCGAAGGCTGCAAAAGCGCTGTCCACGGCTTTGCTCAGCGCCTCGGCGCTGTCGCTGAGGTCAACCGGCAGGAGCACCGCGTCCGCCGCGTGGCTCCCTTCGCAGGCGGCCTTCACTTTCTGCACAAGCGGACGGCAGAATTCCCTTCGACAACAGTCGCCATTGCGGGAGAGAGCCATGCCCAAGCACTTTGGAGGCGATGGCGGTCAAAGACGAACTGCCATTGCCGTGTGTCGCCAAGGCACAATGCCCCATGCCTGGGCAGCGGATGCCGCAACTGCCAAGGGACCCCAAAGAAACATGTGACCCCGGCCTTGGGTGCAGACCATCGCGGGCGCAGCTCCGTAGCAGAGTGTCCCGTGACGGCGTTTGCCGAAACAGGGTGTCCTGTGCCAGTGCCAAAGGGCCCGGGATAGAAACAACGCATGCCCCGCATCGCAGGCAAGCCCTGGCAGATTGAGCAGCGCTACGCTCAAGGGCTCTCGCCCCCGACCTCCTCTGTGTTTATGCGCGGACCCCTGGCAGCGTCGACACTGTCTTAATCTGCGCTTCATCGTCCCCTCCGCACCTCCAGGGCCTCTATCTTCCTCGACGACAGGATCAGCTTGGCCCCCTGGCGCGCGTAGTACCTCGCCAGGGCCAGGCCCAACCCCCTGCTGGCGCCCGTTATCCACACCACCCTCCCGTCGAGCGCCCCCTCCCGCAGCCTGCCCAGCAGCAGGAGCCCAACGTTCGCATCCCCGCGCAGGAACAGCGCCAGCCTCCTCCCCACATACAGCGCAACGTACAGCGCCACCGGAAACCAAACGGCCGGCGGCAGAAACATCGCAATTGACGAATGGACAGTCAAGGCCTGCAGCTTTGCGCCAGCCTTGGGTGGCCTGCAAGAAGGCCTGTATGAGCCCACAAGAGGGTGGAGGCCTCTTCGAAGTCCCCTACAAAACAACAGATCTGCACCAGCCTTGGTTGGCTGGACGCCTTCAAGTCGGTGGAGGCCTAAAACTCCCTCGCAACAGCTGTCTTGTCTCCCGGGTCCCAGCCCGGGGTGCAAGCACACCGCGGTGTGACAGGTCGGGCCCCCGGTGTGACAGGCCGGCAGGCGGTTCAGAGCCGCTCGGGGTTGAGCGGGAGGAGCCGGGGCGCGAGCAAGGTGGTGGGCAAGGCGCCCATGCGGGGCATCCGGGGGGGATTTCTGGCGGCTTTGGCGGGGGGAGGGGCGGGATTGGGTTGGAAGGGGGAGAGGAGAGCAGCAGAGTAGGTGCATAAGGGGATGCCAGGCCCGAAGGGACGAACCCCTTTTAAGGGGTTGAGGCTGAGGACGACGGGGGAGGGGGGTGCTATCGGATAGGGTGTGGTTGATTGGGGGATTGGAGTCTGGTCCGGTTCTGCAAGGGCCCGACACGATCGAGGATGGGCCGGTGGGCGCCGGGAGACGCCGGGGTGCGGGTGCCCGGTTTTGGCGAGTCTGGGGGAGGACTGGAGGAGGCGATCTCGAAGCCTGTTGGCGCCTTGGAGGCTCGGGCCCCTGACAACGAATGGGCCTTGAGGCCCTCCTCGGGGCGTGTTCCTGGCTGTACTGCTTTGAGAATATATTACTCCTCCTTGTTTGCTGAGATTCGGTTCTTATTCCGCTGACAAGGCCAGTCCCGGTGCGTGGATCAGTAGTTGGGGCTTAGGGTGTCCGAAAACAAGAATCGAATCTAAGCAAACAAGAACGGGGAGTAATTTTATGCCTACTGCTTTGCTGCGACTTCTTCAAGCGCCCGTCCAAAAATTCGCAGTTTGTTTTTTGGATTATTTGCTGTCTCTTGGATACGCCATGGCGCAAGGCGGATCACGTTGCCCGCAGCATCCTCGATCGGCACAGCTCTGTCTGGAAGCAGCAGGTGGCGGAACGTGTCGCATTGTGCAGAGAACTGGAAAAGGACATTTGCAACGGACTGCGGACAGCAAAAGGTGGCGCAACGCTTGTCCGGCCCCCTGTGTGCGACACCGACAAACGGCGAGCCAAGAAAGAGCGCACAACTACATTAGTTTACAGGTCGTCGACCAGTGGAGGCCCCAAGGAGCACTGTCAACCCAACTTTGGAGCACCCCGGCCCTTGACGCCTTGCAACATTCAGGCCACCAATGTCCGCCAGCGCCGCCATGTGCGTCTCCCTGATCATGTACAAGGGGGCGTTCTACTAGGTGTGCCACGCACAACCGCCAGGTCAAAGGAAAATCCCTTCCAACGAACTCGATGGCCACGGACAGGAGAGTCCTCGGCCACCTTGGAAGATTCAAAAAGGATCTCTACGTTCAGAAACAGCTACTTGTGTACATCCCCCCCGCCTGCGAAAAATGGACTTGCCGTTGCACAAAAAAAGCTAAAGAGCGAAACAACAGAGATGATAAGCTCGAAACCTGCAAGCTGGAAAACTGTAATAGGAGACAGGTTGTCCGCCCAGCTAGCTCCAGCCACCAACGCCTCACGAGCTTGATCTCGTGCAAGGCAGGCTGCTCGGACGTCCCATCGATGCTGCCCGCCGCCATGCAAATGTGTGGCCATGGAAACCATGTGCACACATCAGCCCTCCAGAACAAGAGTCCCACAACCCAAACACCTTCTGCAACTGTAGTATGACGCCAAGCGCCCTCCCTAGACAACAATATTCTGTTTGTTATCTTGCACTGACGAACCATCTTCCGATGCACCGACAATGGATTGGCACACGCCCATGGACAGCGGCCCCATGTGGTCTTCCAGCCGGTTGGCTTCTGGGTTGGGTTCGCCAGAGGGCAGGAAGGGTATGGGCTTGAGGGGCTCGGGGAGCATCATGACATCCACCCCGCAGTCGATGGCAACAGCTGACGCCACAGCTAGGACGTCTGGCTTGGAGGGGTAAGCCTGGACCATCAGACGTGCAACCTGAATGGGCTTCAGAACCTGCGGTCAACCCACCAGAGCCAGCAATGATCAACTCGTCATGTTCGTCCTTCACAAACACAAGCAGGCAGGCAGGCATTACAGAAGCATACAGCACCCTGCATTCCCCAATATGTGCAACTGGCTGAACAGTCAACATCGGCACTTGTAGCCTAAGAAACTGTGGACCAGTAAACCAGACAAGTGGGCCTGACAATATGGACAAACTGGGGGATTCGTGCACTCCGGGTCTTCAGCAGGATAATCAGTAAATATATAGACCATGTGGACTGGACACACTGTGTCATGGATAGAGCATCATATCGCAACGAAGCCAAGACCACTCCGAACTCACACAAAGTACCAAAGGAGTGAGTGCCTCACAGGACGAGCAAGCCCACGCAAGTTTGCCATGTGCTCCACTCCTACCTTCTTGATAACTGTGCCCACAAAGTCGAGCATGGCATTGTGCTCGGAACGCAAGATCTCCTTCAGGCGGACGACGGCCTGGTTAGCCTTCAGGTACTCCAGGTCTATCCTGTGGCCTACGGTGGAGCTGGGCAACGTCGTCTGGATCGTCATATTCAGCTGCCGTCGCTCCTCCACCAACTGCTGCAGCTTCTGTAGCAGCATCTTCCTCAAGGCTACGATCTCCTGCTTCTGTGTCTTGTTCATGTCAAGAGTGGTCATGACCGACTGCCAGCGTTTGAGCTCCTCCGTCTCGGACAGGTGGTACTGCCGTGTGGTCCAGATCTTGCAGGAAACTGGGTTGAGCACAGAGAATCGCATACATAGCATGCACTGCAGGGCCAACGACGAAGTCAGCACATACAAGTCAACAGAACCACACCCTTTGGAGCAATCAAACGGTTCCCAACAGGACGCAAGACCCAGCATGGGAAGCACAGGAACAGCAGGTGCCTGCAGCCAGGCAATTAGCAGAGGCAATTGCCAGGTACAGTTAACAATATACTAAAACCTTGATTCAAAAATATGCAGGTAGATATGCTTGTGAATGAACTGCAACACTTTGCAACAGATAGACAACAAGGCAACACCTTGATGCCTCACAAACTGAACACATTTTCGGTGGCAAGATGTCCAAAGAAGGTTGCTGCTCATCAACTTGTGAACCATGGTTCTCTCTCAATGTGCCACTCAGTCTGTGCTGCTGGCTCCTGGCACGATAGCAACTCACCACTTCATTTATGAGTCTTTCGATCCGTGCTTCCGCCTCACTACTGACGTTGGCATCCACCAAAACGGACGATATTTCAGTGACATAGTCCTGAATCGCACAGCACACTCACACACTCAGTCCAATGCAACCCCTACAGTGCACACTGCTCTGGCACAGCTGACAACATTTGTGCCAGCAAAAGGGATGCAAGGAATTTCAAACGCAGCTGTGGCCCACAGGCCAATGCAGGGGTGCCCACGACACATGCATAGATGCCATCGACTGTGCATATGCATGAACACTGCGCGATCACCTAGTGCCTTCCCACCTGCCAAATCTTTATGACTTCTTCCGGCGTCATCTTTTTCAGCATGTCAGCTGTTATTCGCATCTCAGTGCCCTTGTGCAACTCCGACAGCGTCAATGTTGTTCGTGGCACCATCAACCCTTCGCCATCAGCATCTGGGCCTGTATCCAGTATCTGCATTGCGAACCCAAAGGACAACAGCACTGTAAGCAAAGACAGTGCATGCTGAGCCCAGTCAGTCCCCAATCATGCAACACATGTTGCACATACAAACAGCCCCAGGAAATCCAGTCACATCCATCACAAGCACGGTGACTTCTGCTCAGCTTGCAAGTGATGGGGATCGTAAGGCAATTATTTGTCGTCAAAAGTATAGTTGACCACACAGGCCAATGCAGCCTGAGTTCCCTGCTTCACTGAAAGGATAGTGTGTTGTTCTTCAGTGTGGCAAAAGGCCAAGAACTTGTTCACTTCCAGAGTTTGTGAACAGTCAGCATGTTCACTGCGATCAGGACACCTCACTCTGAGGCGTCTTGCAATGGAAATCTGTGCTGATAGAACGCCACTGTGCAAAGATGAGGTGGCCATTGTCACCTTACTGCTCTCCTGCATGACCCTGATCTGCTCATCCCTCATCGCCAACACCTTCTGCAGGATGCCGTTCTGGCTCTGCAGCGAACCGTTTTCCAGCTGCAGGTTGTCCACAGTGGCCTTGAGGTCGCTGATCTCCTTGTGCAGTCCCTGCACCTTCGACTGAAGGACAACAGACATCGTCAAGATCGGCCTCGTGCCACCCAAACGGTCCAAACAGACACCTCCATTCCTGCAATGATTGCATCCGACCTGAATGGGGCGCCGCTGCTTTCTACATGGGAGGTCTCATGGTACAGAAACGGCACATCCAGACGTCACCTTGCCTCGATAGGATTGCCGCATCCTGCCCAAATATTGGGCTAACCTACAGAATCGCGCGCCAGGGAGAGAGGAGTTGGGGTAAGTAACACGCGCACAAGGCGCAACCCGCCGTAGCAGCACAGCTCCCAGGGCAGCTTGCGCCCCACGCGCGCGTCTGTCGTCTGCTGGACGCAAGGCACAAGCCATCCGCGCAACACGGCGGCGTCCATTCTGCAGCGCCGGCGCGCGCAGTCCCGTGCGCGCGCACCGCGCCTCTGCACACCCGAAAGCGCCGCGCCTTTCCGCCGCGCCCGCCCGCACCGTCCCAATGCCACGGCGGGCCCCGACCTTCCAGAAGCTTCTACGCCACCTTCATTCCCACGTTTCCACGTCCCGACTCAGCAAATCACCAGCAATCCACGCCCCGCACCAGCGCCCCACCTTCTGCCTCTCCCTGAACCGCCTCTGCGCCATCCTGTTCTTCTCCTGCATCACTTGCTGCTTCTTCTCCGCGGACCCCTCCACCTCGGGGTCCTCCACCTCCCTTCGCTTCCGCTGCCTCCCTCTGCCCTCCCCGCCCGATCCCGACTCCGAACCCCCCTCCCTCACCCCCTGGCCCCCATCCCCCTCCCCGGTGAACACAAACTGCTTCCCGTCCTGCATCCTTGGGCTCGCGATCCCACTCTTGGCGCCAAACATCGGCCCGGACCCGCTCCTGGCCGGCCCGCCGGCGATCTGGCCGTCCTGTATCCCCTTTGATGCCCTCATGTGCGGGGCTGGCCCGTCCGCCGGGCCGAACGCGCCCGCCTCGGGGATGGGGTTGTCGCCCAGGGACGCCAGGTAGCTCTGTAGGGCGTCGTCCATGTCAAGGTAGTCGTCCACGGCGTTGAAGGCGGGCTGCTGCTGCTGCTGCTGCTGCTGGTGGCCGAATCCCAGGCCGGGATCCGCGAACTTACCCTCCGCGGTGGGCTCGGAGCGCCAGCCCTCCTTGTCCATGAGCGCGCCGGGCGGCCCTGCATCGCGCAGCGGGGATTGTCGCGTTGAGGAGGATGGCAGACGGGTTGCAGAAGTGGGTGCAATGGGCATCGTCCAGACGACGCGAATGATGCGTCTTTTCCCCTCGGACGGATGTTTTCGAGTCGCCGAGCCCTGAGGGAGGATCGCGAACGGCGGGGTGCGCGGGGCGACGCTCCGGGGACCTGTAGATCGACCATTGGACGGCTGGACGAGCGTATTCGGCCATTCGGCCCCATTTGGAGCAAGCATCGCAGGGAAAGGGTCGGGCCGTATCAACGGACGCCGCCCTGCGCACCGCTGCCGATGCAGCGCGTAAGGCATGCGGCATGTGGCCCTGACAGCAAGGGTTTTTAGTTCCCCTGGGGCCAAAGGGGCGCGCGCACGCACGCACCCACGGCGCCACACTTCCAAACGGGCCGCGCGCCTTCCCCCGCAGGTCGATGGCTCGGCCGCTCAAGGCCCGCCGCTGCCGTCGCCAGGGCGCGACCCGCAGGCGGCAGTACGGGGCTGATGGAATCTCGCAACCCCGGCCCCAACTCGCCCTGCGCCGCTAACGACACGAAAACACGCAGATGAGATCCCCTCTCACCGCTCCGTGCGAAAGGCGCCCGCCTCCGCCTCAACTGCTCGCCCGGATCCTCCCAGGCGGCCGGGCCCCGATCAACGCCTCCCCGCTCCCCCAAGCCCACGGCCACCCGCACAGTAATCCACCCACGCAAACGCCGGCGCCCGCGGGATGCCGCACGCGATCTTTCCGCCAAAGATCGCCAAGGTTATGCCTGGTGGCACGGTGCTCCGCTCAAGCCCGGGGGGCCGAAACGCCGTGGGCAAGGCGGTGGCGACGCGCAAAGGTGCGCCAGTGCCGGGCGGGGAGGCGTAAGGCCGTGTCCCGCTTCGGGCGTGCGTGGACCTTGCGCACACGTTCGGTTCACGTAACGCTGACGGATGGCTGACGGACGCCGGGTACAGGGGCGGGAAACGGTACAAATGCGGCACCGCTCGTGCCATCGCTCACCGCGGCCGCGCATCGCTCACCGCTCGGGGCCAAAAGTGCGGCATGACGCAAAGGGCATTCCATGCAGGTGGGTACCCTGGGGATGGGGGAGTCATCAAAAGAGTGCCTGCTTGGCTTTCCAAGCCGCCGCCGGCGAAGGTTCTGGGGGCCGGGAATGCTGGCCAACAGCTGACAGACCTGCGGGCGCAAAAGATGGGCACGCATTTTGGAAGACACTACAACTGGTTGGATTGAGGGTTGAGGCCCCAAACATTATTTCTTTGGTGCTCCAACCCTCAACCCAACCGGTTGGGCACCGACACAAAAAAATGTGTGCGGGATCCTGGGCTTCTCGTGGCCGCGGCCGTGGACTGTTCGGTGTTCGTTCCCTGTGAGCATGATTTGCAGCACAAGGGGTGAGCTGGCCAAGGTGGCTTTTGTGGGCAACGCCAACTGAAGAGAGTGCCGCCCCCACCTGCCATCCAACATAACTGGTGTTGTCCATGCGTTCCCCCATGCGTTTCAGTTCGTTGGTCAAAGCGTGCAACAGCAACCCAACATCCATCCGAACATGTTCACATGCACATCAGGTGGATGACATACACACAACACCTGCACAGTGCAAGTGGCCCCACGTCAGCAACTGCCAGAACTGAAGTCCTGGGGTCTACCTGGCTGCAGCTGCCACATCATAAACGCAAGCCACTGTCAGAAAGACAAGCAGCTAGGATAATTCGTCAGAGGCATTGTGCTGTAGCTGTGCATACATTCGCCTCACTCAACCTGCCAGTCGTGTGCTGGTCGGCACCCATTATTGTAGCTCTTCACGATTTGCCCTTCTTCACTTTATACCCAACGTTCCAGCCGTTCTCCCACACTGCGATGCTGGTCATTACTGTCTGTGTCGTCCACCCTCACAGCCATTTCTTCCTCTTGCTTGCCTCATACTATACTCCAGCCCCGCAGGCCACCAGTCACACCCACTAAACAACACCTACTCCATAGCAAAATGCCCTCTGTTACCAACGATACTACCAACGATACCTCCCCTACCAACAAACCTCCTCCCATCAACAAGCCCAAAATATACACATCCAGAGACGACCCGGGCCCAGCTTAAAAGATCATCCTGATGGTGCTGCAACTTTCATTCCCCTCCGCCTCTCCAGCACGCCCCTCCAAGCCTGTGCAGATTTCAGGACTCGATTCTGCAGGTGGCACGGATCCAACCAGGGACTCCTTCTCAAGCACAGGCAGGCCTGCCACACACAGAGTTGTGTGCCAGTGGCCACTTCAGTGTGTCTTGTTGGTGAACAGTGACAGAGTCCACGAAGGCACTGGGTACAACATGCTTAGAGAACCCAGTCACCAAGTGTTCACGAAGGCCGTGCATAAGGCTGATGGGTCACAAGGGGCAGTGCCACCCTCTGGGGGCTCAAACAGTCAGATTCCAGGCTGCATTCTTTGCTTCTGCTGGTTGGCTCAATTCTGCCATTGCTGCACCGCTGATGCCACAGCCAATATATCCGGCTTGGTGGGGTAGGATTGGACCATCAACCTTGCGACTTGGATGGGCGTCAGAATCTGTGCGATGCACACCGAGCACAAGCTGAAGCTCAGCAGGAGCTGGCCTATGAGACCAAAATGCAAAGACCAAAGCAGAGACAGGCCAGATGCTATCTCGAACTTGTATGGAACTGTGCACATGGGCCTACTTCTGCGACTGTGTTTCACACCCCAGAAGGAAGAATCGCCTTGCAAAGCAAAAGCTGGAACTAAGGCAATGAACTGTGCACACGCTTCCACGCTGACAGTTGTCTCTAACAGCCCAAAGACGAATAGCACATGGTGCACTGTGGGAAGTGAACACAGCAGCAAGAATAGACTAAGCTCTGCCGCGAGCTGGCGTGAAAAGACGATGATGATCCTGTGCAGGTGGCAAAGATATAGCATCAACTTCTGCAAAACTTATCTACTTCTTTAACGAAATGCAACACTTGGAGCAAGAAATACTTCCACCTTCCCACCTTCCGCAACATGGCACTGACAAAGTCAAGAAGAGCAGTGTGCTCAGATCGCAGGTTCTCCTTCAGTTGGATGACAGCCTCATTCGTCTTGATGTACTCTAAATGCAGCTTCTCACAGGCCATTGAGCTGGCAAGAGAAGGCTGAATGGCAGCAGTCAGCACACTACGCTCATCGAGCACCCGTTTCAACTTATCCAAAAGCATGGATCGGATGGCAACGATTTCTGCAATCTGGTCCTTGGAAAGACCCAAATGGGGGACGACAGCCAGCCATTTCCTGACTTCCTCATCATCAGAGCTGTAGGACTGCTTGGACCACATCATCAGCACAGGATTGAGTGCAGCAAAGCGCATCATGAGCATAAACTGCGAGAAATAATAGCAAACCTCAGCACAAGGTAGTGGGTGTGATGGTGGTTGATATGGCCAGCAAACACAAACAGTAGAATTCAGCAGAACAGGGTTGTGGGAAGTGCTTGCAGACAAGGTCAACCCAAGCCTTAAGCTCATTCCAAAGCAGGAACAAAAATACCCAGCAAAAAGCATTTATGCACATGAACAGTGCCCAAACTCCAACAATGGATGCAGGGGCCACGAATAGAGATGTTATTGTGATGACGCATCGATTGCGCCCGTCCATTTACTCAAGTGTGCTCCCCAGGAACAGGCAACTAAATGTGTTATTAAAAGTGCAATTGAAGCACCCACAATAGGGTGGTCTTGAGGAAAGCTGTTGACAGAATTTTTGCAGCAAAATGTACAGGCCACACACTGGACACGATGCCTACTTCAGTCCATGGCCAGGCAACACATATGGACATGGGATTCACATCATGGGCATCAACACAACAGCTGGTGACAAAATACAGCTTTGTGTTGAGCAAGCTCTTAGCAAGAAGACAACAGCAGGTGGCACTCACTGAGAATTGCCTGCAGCATACAGCATTTTTCAACAATCCAGTTTGCACCATCCCTGAAGTGCAAGACACCTCAGAACAGCCTCTTCCAATGTGATACACCACCACCAGGCCTCCACTTGGATGCCTTCACTGCCAATCACTACAAGCTGAGCAGGTTTGCCCGCACGAGTAACTTCAACTCAAGGCTCTTGTGCACCAGTGAACATTCAGAGCCATTTAAGAACTGACCAGCTCGTTGACAAGCTTCCCTACACGCTCCTCCGCTTGAGGGTTGGTATTAGCATCGACTAGCACAGCTGAGATTTCAGTCACATACTCCTGAAGTGCGCAGTACACAAGGTGATTTAACAACACACGCAATCCAGTGCATCCTGTTGACAACTGCAAAGCCGAATTATTGGATCGCCAGCTGCGAAGGGATGCCCCACCCAAACAACAAGACAAACACACACACATGCAAGACAACGAGAACAAAACACAAAAATGGCATGGGCATCCTCTTGAAATCTTATGGGCCATACATCACAGTTCAGCCTAGAAGAACGTCTTATATCCACTGTGTACATATCGATGTCTTATATCCCCTGTGTACATATCGATCGACAGTTGTCAAGAACAGTAGTGCGTCCACAAATATGCAAGAGCGTGCAGCAAACCAAAACACACGCTCTTCACTGCGTCATTATCTTGCAGCAACAGGCAATGTCTTCCTACCATCCAGTACTGCTTTATCTCTTCAGCCTGCATCGTCTTCAGCTTCTCAGCCGTCAGCCGCACCACACTGCCGATGTGCAACTCTGACAGGGTAACAGCCACATCGGACACCTGCTTGCCCGTGGAATCATTTTCCGAAATGTACTGCACAGCAAGGCAAGCACAATAGCAGCTCAGTCAGCATGATGCACCAGCATGTACAAAATTCCTTAAGCAGAACCCACAATCTAAGCCGGGGGCAGTGTTGCCTACAATACCCAAGCGCAATTTTGGTTGCATGCTATATGAAGCATATGGCTACTGCACACATAGGCAGCCCAGGCAACTCAAGACATACGAGGTTGAAAATTTAAGGAAGTGGGTTGTGCATCGGTTGCGTTCGGCATGTCGCTTGTTTGATGCCCAGCTGAAGATGGATTTGGCACAGACTAGCATCAGTATCATCAGCTTATACTAGCATGCCAACAACCCATATGCGTCTGCCCTGCACAGTGAATGTGCCCAGTTGAGCACATGTCCGCCCCTGCCCCCGGAATTGGGATTGGGGGGGTGAGAGGGTGGGGGGGGTGCAGGGTGGGGGTGGGGGTGGGGGGTGGGGGCAGCCACAGGGAGTGCTGCATTTGCTTTGCATGAATCGCTGCCCAAAGAAACCAGATGACAGAATGGGGGGCCAGCCTATCTGAGAAAAGTTCTACACGCACCAAGAAACAACACTGTTCAGAGTCGATTCTGCAGGCCACGAGTAGCAATCATGCATACTTTGGACACGCTACAGCCTACCCACACCTTTGCAGCCTCCTGCAGCATCTTGATTCGCTCATCCCGCATTGCAAGGACCTTGTGGAGGATGCCATTTTGACTCTGCAGTGCAGAATTTGCCTGCTGCATACTTTCCAGTGAGGCCTGCAGCTCTTCAATTTGCCTTTGCAGCCCGTTCATTTTCACCTAAACAGCAGTGGCAAGGCAACGTGAATCCACAGCCCAAGGACACAATGTGAGCGCCCACACTCCTACTCCAGAGGACAGGGCCAACCAAGCCCTGGTATGTCAAAATCAATCAGCAGAGCACATCGCTGGTGCTTTGTTTCATTGGAGAAGTACTTCACAGCAAACAGGCTGTGAAGAGTACAATCATGAGCTCGTAACCTAACTATGGGTGCATTTCAATGCTTGGCATACACTAGACGGCTACAGCATCAGCTGGCAGTCTTACACTGAATGATTCCATGGAGATCATTCACTGTAGACAATTCACAGGAAAATTTGCAATCCAGCCTTCATACAGAAATTGGATGCATGCAAACAGAAACTCCCAGCTTCCCGCGCCCACCCCACCCCGCACAAACACACACTGTTGCACGCCATTATGGTGCTGTCAGAGTCCTCTGCATAACCTCTTCAGCAGTGGGCAAGACTCTCACAAAGTCTGGCTTTGGATGCCCCCACCTACCCACCCACCCACTTACCATGCTTTCCCTTCTGTTGCAGAGGCAATTTCCGGCACGAGAAGCAACTGCATACAGGCCCGAACCGTGTTCAAACACTGGACACATTTGCGGTGCGGCAATTCCCACCAATCCTATCAACATCAACCACCACCACCTGTGACCTGTGCACACCGTGTTCCCTGATGCTGCAGGGATGGGTTTTCTGCCAATTATTGTCCCGTCACTGCAGACCGTTAGCAGAGGGATGCTGTTTCGACCATCTGAGTTCAGCAGAGACACGTGACATGGCCAGTGCGCCAATTTTTCACGCTGCCTGTGAGGATTTTTCACTCGTTCAAGGCCACCCACGACGAGATGCACCCAGCCACTGCCCACCTTCTGCCTCTCCCTGAACTGCTTCTGCGCAATCCTGTTCTTCTCCTGCGTCAGCTCCTTCTTGCCCGCGGGCGCCTCCGCCTCCCCGCCCCCCCGCCGCTTCTTCTGCCGCCCCTCCGCCGTCCCGTTCGTCCCGCTCTCCGACGACTTGCTCGTCATCTCGCCACCGCTCCCGCCCCCCTGCGCCGCCCTCTCGCCCGCATCCCGCTTGCCGTCGCTGCCCGACTCAGCTTGGAACGTGAATGCAAAATGGGCCCCCGCTTGCCCCCCTGCTGGCCCTCTCGTTTGGCCACTCGCATTCAATCCGCCCAACCCAGCAACTTGTGTTTCCCCACCGCTCTGCACGGCATGCCCGATTCCAGGCGCGGACATCTTCGCAGGGGCTTCGGTGCCGGGGCTCGCCAGCGGCGTCGCCGCGCTGTTAGCATTGTCTCCCGTGAAGCCAGTTCCGGTTGGTGTTGGGGAGTCCCAGATGGAGGTCAGGTAGTTGTGCAGGGCGGCGTCCATGTCCAGATAGTCCTCCGCCGCGTGGATGCCCCCCTGTAGATGCAATCCGTTGATGCGTTTTGTGCGCGCGACACACGCAACACGGGCAACGGCGCGTTGCAGACAGCAAAGACACGAAGCAGCATTTGAGGGCCGTGCCGAGCGCTGCTGCTCCGCTCGATCGCGTACCTGTGCGGTCTGCGGCGGCATGTGGGCGGCCACGCTCAGCGGTGCGCCCGGTAGACCGCCCGGCTGCCACGCGTGGTTGTCCATGCTACGCGGTGGCCGGGAAGGTGCCCCTGCGCCGCAGAAATTAGTAGAGTCGGCAAAAGAACCACTGCCCGTGATAGCGGGGGGCAGCTGAGCGATGGCGGAACCGCGGGGGACAGCGGGGAGCGCTCAACGCGCGCCAAAATGGGGTGGGTCGGGAGAGGCCTGCGTGGGGCTTCGCCGGGAGCGTATCGCACATCCCCACCAATGTGCATGTTATCATGGCCCCAGAAGCTATTCCTGGCCACCGGGAGACTAGCAGGAAGGAGCTTGGAGACGATCACGTCTCCAAACGGTGAGTTTGGGGCGCGTTGGAGAGGAGGGGGCGCCTTGGATGCAGTTGCTTTGGGCACCGGGCCTGGGAACGGCGGGGACCTGGTGCCCTGCAAGTGGTGCCGTTGGCGCCTTCTCCTCACCTGCCGCGATGGCCCCCTGCCTCCGCTCCGCGGCGGCGTCAGAGGCTGTTGGGAGCTCCCGCCGGTCGCCGCGGGGTGGCCTTGCTCAGGGGTTCACGTTGTGCTGTTACGGAAGGGGAGGGGGGTTGGGGTTGGCAGCTCCTTGGCCAGGGAAGGGGGAGGATGCCGCCAAGTCCAAATCGGGGCTCGGCGCAACCTGCTGTCCGCATCGCGCAGAGTGTTTTGCATAAGGGCATGGTGGATGTGTGCGCGAGAGGGATGTCACGTCAGAGATGTTCATTGTCCTAGGTGAGCTTGGAAACCCCTTTCCCTGGTCCCCGGCGCGCATCCAAAAATGCGTGGAACAGAGGTTTTCTCCAGAACTCGCCAGACGCTGTGTGCGTTGTATGCAACAAAAATTGCAGTGCATGATTTTGATTGGATTGCTGAATTGTACAAGGCTCACTGTATGCGGGTTGCCTGTATGATACAGGCTGTATCGTACCACTGAGCAGGTTCCGTCAAGTACCAGTGCTTTCTTGTAGAAGGCAAAGAAAAGGGAAAATGATTTGATAACATACAGAAATAGAATGAAAGTGAAAAAGGAACAAATACAGGACAAGAACTTCAAAAGGAGACAGCATTTACACAATTCCTGGATCAGACTGACTTCTCCAGGACCTAAAGACGATTTTTTTGTTTATCTTTCACTTGTGGTTCATGCTTCCTTGTGTGTCTCGTATTACAACTATGAATCGAACTTACGACGTAGGATTCATTTTGTGAGCTCTCGCCAACGGTGTTAACGTCAATTCAGCACATTTGATCTGTTTTCACCATCACAGTTCTCAGAAGCTGTTTGTTTGCTAGTTTTGGTCTTCCTCTAGTCAGACTGATGGCCTTCACGGCAAGATATATGACAGGATACACTCTTCGAGTTTCTACTGGTTAAAGAGAAGATGTTGTGCCTCTGCTGACCTTGGGAATTGCACCGCGATATGAACCCTAACCATATAGCAAGGCAATTCCGAAGACCAGAAGAACGATCCATTAAGCGCGTTGGTGGACGGGACGGGGCACTGCGGTGGTCCGTGGCAGGAGCTCAACCGGCCGGCCAGGAAGGGGGGTGACGCTTTGGAAAAATAGCTCGCGTCCATGGAGGGCCCGCACGGATTTCGAAATGTCTGTTTGGTTGGGAAAATTGACTTTAAACGGTAAAGAAGACAAGAAATTGGGTGCACCGATGGCATGGAAGGCCGCTTGTTTATGATCAAGAGTTGGCCTGCACATTTTAAATGAAGGTTAATGCTATTGTCTGAATCCAATTAAATGCCGATTATTGGCCCCATTTGCATGCTCATACACACTCCCCTCACTTCCCAGTCGCGAAGGGCGCAAATTTTCGATGCATTTTGTGAGCGATAAAGCGCCGTGCCGGCGGCTCCATCAACCGATAAGATAACGGCTGTGCGCAGGTGAACTCGTCGCCATTGTCGGTTGACATACAATGATATGCGCAGATATGAGCAACCGCATACGAATGAAGATGAATTTCTATTTTTCATGTTTGCATGACGGTGTTTAAATATCCAGTCAATCTTCGAATTCGTGAGCAATCCCCTGAATATGACTCGCCTTGCATGCACAGGTACAAATCTTAGAGTCCAGTGCACTGGATGATGGGTCGATATGTTTATCGGACACCGTATTGGATAATCGGACAACAAATCGCCTACCGGAGCTCAAAAACCGGTTGGAGGTGCACTTTGGGAATGCGAGGTTCGGGAAACTGCGCACGCAGCTATCGCGGAATACACACCTGATGTTCTGGGAAAGGAGTCCCTTTGCAGTCCATCCTGCATGTGACATGGCTTTAACAACACCGGATCTCAGGGATACTTGCAGAATCTGCATCGTTTGCTTGTGGCCCCTACGGGTATCTCTTCAATGTGCGCTGGCAGGCCCGCACCATTTTACCCGCGAATTTGAAGTGTGACTGTGCACCAACAGGCCAGTCATTGTTGATGTGAAGTTTTTCTGCACTGTCTCGGGGTTCCCAAGATCCTCACCGCGGGGCTGCGGCACTCACCACATCCTCCGGTACTTCCGTCGGGAATATACATATTGTGGAATGCCTCCATGCCTCGCTGTGGTGTCCATTGCCTCTCGTGACTGTGACTATTTTTTGTGATGTACTGATTACTCCAGTTGGGGATATTAGACGTCTGTTTTCAACTAACCAATGCCACGATCTGAGTATTCAGGCTGTTCCTCCCACAAATCAAGAAACTGCACCGCTGAAAGAGAAGGCACAGCATGCTTCAACTGGCTTTGTAGCACTCGCAACATGGAATCGTGTGCCCTGAAACAAACACATGCTACTAGATTTTTGTGCTTGAACTACGTGTGCGTCTTGCCAGTCGCCTGGCGCCACACCACATCTTCTCAAGGATGTCTCAAGCCCATCCACTGGTGTACTGGCCATCACGCAGCTCAACGTGGTCCACTGTATGCCCGCCCTCTTCTCTAAGGCGTGGCTGCATGCTACCGTAGAGCAGCTCGCATGCGATATGTGCACGAGAGATTAACCGCCGCAGCACCATATTACTGGCGACTGCACCACCGTTAATGCGGTCTTTTTATCAGCACAGAAAATGGCTGTATCTCCGAACGCTTCGCTTCACTGCGGAGCTCGCAGTTCATGTCGACTGTTCCGATTCATGCCTCCCTGTCGCGTAACTGCGCAGTATTTGGTATCGGCCGCCTCGCTGGAAAAGCACTTGAAGGACCCGCAGCAACTCTGCAGCAGTTTGCAGCGTTTGCGGTGCGTGTGCTGAAATACCTCACCACATGCAGATGCCTCTCATGATAATTCACGAACAACGCTTTTCGTCAGATGATGCAAAGCGAAAAGACTGGAGGCACGCGAGAGAATCGCAGCATTACATTCAGCAAAGCCTACATGCCTTCCACAAACCCGCTATATTGCCTACAACCTAAGGGCCGCAACAAGATCATTATTCACATGCCTGTAAATGTAAATCTTGGACCAAAATTGCGATTAGTGCTGAAAATTATGAATCCCTGTGACCCAGCACCTACATTGCGAACGGGAGAATTTCTCGCACATTATTTTCAAAACTGTTCCGGGAGCCTGCCCCCAGTTCATTCCTTCCATGCCCCTGCTCAACCCTGTCCATTGATAGCCCGCAACTGCGCACCGTTTGTCAGTAGCAAACTGCCCTATTGGCCAATTTTCATTATTCTGTCGATGCTGCACCCGCGGGTGTCCAGACCTGTTTCGGCTCTCGCATGAGTGACAGGCTGTTTTTTGCCATTGTATGACAAATGCAATCGATGAATCTAGATTTTCCATGGGTCACATCACCAAAGCGCGCCCACCGCTGCTGATGCACAATTCTCCCATGCCAACCAAAGGCTGTCCTGCTGTCACTTTGGGCCCACGACAATTATACGGGGGAGCGCATCCTCGATTCTGAACTCTGCCACTGGATCCACCTTCAAAGATGAAAAAAGAAAGGCGAATTCGCCATCCACCCGGTTGCAATCCGAAGGCCGCGGGGCCTCCGTGTCAGCTCCGCCCGAACTTGCATCAAGAGAGTTGACAGCCTCGGTTCTGTAAACCTGCAGCACACCGACCCCCGTGAATGTGTCAAACGAGCGGTCGAGCTGACCTGCTGTCGAATTATCAGACTACTGTCGTTGAGAGCAGCGGCTTGGCGCTGATTCTCATCACCAATTGGTGGGAGGAACGGGGAGTCATCAAACAGCCTTTAAGCGGTGATGAGCAGACCCAAAATGAGCCGGAAGTCAGAGCGCGTAATTTACCACGTGGCGTATTCTTCTACGTTCATTATGTCAAAGGAGTGCAGCCATTTTCGAGCCTGTCTGTCATGGGCAGACGCTGCCTAAATTGCCTTCGTGTCTGCACCTGTGTTTTTGTGCAAATACGTGGCTAGTATCGCCAGACAACAAAACGCGGACTACCTCTGTTGAGACCGTTTCCTCACAACTGCGCCGCAACCCCGGGCTCATTCAATGGTAAAAAAACGGCATGTCTGCGATGCCAACTGCGATGCTATTTTGACACAAAGTGTTGCCGTCACAGCGATTGCGATGGCGTATAAGTGGTTGTGATGGCATCAATTTGTGTCAAATGGCATCGCAAATAGGCTGTCTTCTACTGGTGATTCTTGAGCACGCCACAGAGGGGTTAATACCCTGAACGGATTTACTGTGTGGTGCTGTTCCATGGTAGTGGGGCGACACATGGGCGGCCCTGGACGTGGCCATGGTACATTCTGTTGGGTCATGCACTGCGGTTGTGCACGGAGGGTGACATGCACATCTTCGCCGTGACACCATATGTGGGAAATCTTCCAGAGAGGGTTTCGTCGCGCTGCCATTCGCGCAGTACACGGTACTCCTCAAACAGAGCTCCGGAATATCGCCGGTGGGATCCGATCCCCGCTCAGGGATACGCCCAGGGTGGCGCCCAAGACGCGCCAGCGGCGCCTGACTCACCTTGGGCTGCCACTTGGACTCCATGCTCTTCTTGCGCCTCCACGGCGGCACTGGCCGGTCGGTGGCGCGGAAGGCCACCCGCATCTCCGCGCAGACCAGCTCCAGCGCCGCCATCAGATCGTCCTCCCACCCCACGAACCACTCCGGCACCACCTCGAGCAGCCTCTCGTACTGCACCGTGGGATTCGTGATCGCGAACTGGTCGCGAAAGGCCGGTTCGACGATCAGGCTACCGGCTGGGGGAGAGTGCACGAGCATGTAGCTGTGGCGCAGGTTTTCGAAGGCCTGGGATGCGTGGAGGGTCCCCGAGTGGCCGCCGCCGGTCCTGCGTATCGTGACGGCGTGGCCGGCGGAAGACAGGTGCGCGGCGACATCCTGCACGGAGGCGCCGGGGTTTGTGCGCATGAAGTCGCCCACGTCCCTGGAGACCTGGAGGCGGGCGCGGGAGGGGGGTGAGTACCGGTTGGGGGTTGGGGGAGCGGTGAGAAGAGATTATGATCACAATCAAGCAAGATTGATCGCGCAACGGGTATGGTTGCGGGGGGAGGGGGGAGGGGGGGGGGGCCCGGGCCGAGAGAGCAACTCGGAGAGTGCGCAATCCGGCGATGTTGGAAAGTGGCTGGGATTTTCGCGGCGAGCTTTGGAGGGGTTGTTGGCGAGTTTTGTCGTCTGTTGAGCTGGGAGGGGTGGGACATGAATGGCGACTGGATGGCTTGCGGGGCGCGGCAGTTCGCGCGGTGAAAATTTGCCCTGCGGCGGCAACACAGAACGACCACAGCGACGCGGCGGCCGTGTGGCGCTCAAACGGCTCCGGGCATCACGGCATTGAGGTGCCACATTGACGACGTCCAGCGTCCGTCGATGCCCGTTTCCCAATTGCTTCCCCCTCCGATCGGCGTATACCTGCCTTGTTCAGGACCCGGGCTCACCTTCGCCGCCGGGGCGTCCTTCGGCTCGCACAGACGCATCAGCTTCCTGCGCACGGACTCGGGATCCCTGCCGGTCCCGGGCGCCGATGTACCGTCTCCCATCTGCACCACGTCAGTGTCCAAGCATGAGGCGTCCCATCTCCGACATCAACACGCGCCTCGCGCACCCCCCCGACAGCCGCGCCGTGAAACGGAAGCACACACAATCCACAATCGCTGACCATTGGCGACCATCAGCCAATGCTCACACCAATTCACCGCCGAGAGGCCCCGCGCGACATGCGCACCGCGGCCCACGCCCCCTCCCCCAAACTAGCCGCGATCCACCCTCCACTGCCCTCCCTGCCACGAACCAACACCGGGATCTCTACCCACGTTCCCCCCCAAACCAACCCACCTCGAGCTCGAACACGGATTCGTCCCCCCCGTCCATCGGCCACCCCGCACGCCGATGCACCGCCCCCTCGCGCCTCCCTCACACTCCGACGTCTTCTCACCCTTCTTCGCAACACCGACCACGACCTCCCGCGAGGCACCCCGCAGCCCGTGTGTGCGCGAGCACGAGCGCCGGGGTTGAAGGCGGTGCCCACGCGCCGGCGAGGCTGGCGCTGGCCCGGCGAATATGCTCGGGCCGGTGCCGGCATCCAGGCGCGCGGGGGCCCTGCGCCCGGCGCATGATTCGGTCTCCGCTTTTCTGTTTAGCGCACACGACGTGGAGCACGTGACCGGGGTGCGGTGTGGCGCGCGCGTGGAGCGGCGCGCGGCGCGCACCCTTGGCGATCCGTCCGCGGCGGTTGATATTTTTGATCCGTTCGAGTGATCGGATTCCGCCCGGGAATGCGGGCTGGGGGACGGTCCTGGGGGAAGGGGAGGCCGCCGTGGCGCCCAGGTCGACTCGACGTGGTTCCCTGAGGTGAATATGGGTCAGCGAGGAGGGAGGTGCGGAGCAGGCGCTGACGCGGGCAGGGGTGGTGGATGTACTGGAGGGTGGGGGGGGGCTCTGGCGGTCGACTGGAATGTCCGCGCCTCGCCTGGGGCTTCCGAGAATCTCCCTTTTCATTCTGGGTGGTGGTGCTTGATGCCGGGTGGATGTCCTTGATGGCTGTGCCGACCGACGGACCTGGTAGGAGGATTCCGGGGCGCGGCCACGTCCGCAACCTTGTGACACTGTCAAGAACCTGGCACCGGTGGGGACAATGTGCTGGTCCCTCTGTCTTTTCAGTGAGACTCGCCTTGGTTTAAGGTAGCAGTCCCGGCGTTCCTGTGGAGCCAGCGTTTGAGAAGCCCTCGTTGCTGCACGCGTGGCGGATGGCGGACCACCTGCCAGACATCCTTCCAGCTGTCCAAATTGCACAACTGATCTTCTCCCAGCTTTGCAACGGTACCGACATGTTACATTCACCGAAACGTCAGGTACAAGATTCGCACTTTCGATCATCCACTGCAACAAACAATGCTGACCCGGTTCCTTTAAATGTACAGCCCCCAGCATCACCTGCTTGGACAACAACCTCTGCTGCACTCCTAACTTGACAGTACAGAGGTGAACTTGCGTCCCTCGCAATTCGTATTCACTGCCTCAAAACACCCGCCCCATGAACCTGATTCAGGGATTGGCACTTGTCAGCCTTGGAAATCCTGACTGGTTGTCCTTGCGCCCAAAATGCTTTCGCCCGTTGCCAAAGAAATTACATCGCCCCCGGCAGGGACGTCCTCGGCCTGCGAGCCCATCGATACCGGGGCTGCCAGCGACGCACACAGGCTCACGCGCACACGTGCACAAGAAACTACAGCGCGGCGATACATACGTCAGTTGTGTTGCTGCGAGCTGAAGGCGCCTCTGCCACTTGTGTGCTCCACCGCGCCGCCATCAAAGGCGAAATTTCTTCTGGTTAAATGTGGTGCAAGAGTCACTACCTTACAGGGCTTGCCTGTACTACACGTTCTCGAAAGGGTGCCGGCGAATATCTGAAGCTTGCCTACTCTACCGCGCTGACATCGGTGGAGATATCACCAGGGGCGTCTGAGGCCTTTGTTCTACCCATGGCCAGGTCCCTCACTTCCTCAAACATGTCGTCGGCCGCAGCGTTCCCTGAGGCCAGCTTGTGATTCCGCCCTCCGATGGTGGCGCCGCATTCGGCGCACCGAGCCTCCTCCCACGCCCTCCCACACTCGCCGATGATGTACACGTGGCCGTTGGGGCACCGATACACGTGCCCCGAGCCGTATGTCGCGTTGGAAACGCGGGAGTCGGCGGAGATGACGGCCCATATGCATGCGGCCTGCTCTGCGCTGGGGCGTCCGGCCTTTTCGACTTCATTCCTCACCGTCTGTAGGGCTTCCATGTGCTGCTGCACTTCGCCAACACGCTTGTCGAAGTCCGGAATCTGCAACATGTGCAAACGCAAGTTGTGTCACTTTCTTTGTGAGCATCCAAAGCTATTTCTGTGTTGTTAATCAGGCATCATTAATTACGGCAATACTATTATTGGATTATAATCCTGTATTGTCGAGTATTAAGTCTGGCACTATCAATGATGCACATGATCTTCGGCAGTGATTGACATTTGTCATTCACGCACACGAGACGGCAGTTCCAAGCTTCCAGTTACCTTCTTTCGCAGTGCACGCACATTAGCTTTGCTTTTGATGCGCTATCTCGTTGAAAGGACCTTACTGGTATGCCATGGAAGACAGCTGCGCTGATGGCTGTGACCTTAGAAACAACTCACTGCTGCAATTGCATCACTGCGGATCACATATCAGCGACGCCGTTACCTTGTAATGTTCGGCGCCTATTTCTGCGTGGGTATACGCACCTTGGGTCCCTCGCGAGATTTCAGGTCGCTCAGGGCTTCCTTGGACATCCGGGTGGCTCGGTCCACCAGCAGCAGCTGCTTCCCGCGCGCTTCTCTCGGATAGTTGTTAAAAGGCAGGGCGTCTCCCACAATTCTCAGTTGCGATGTCGCTCCGATGTGATGGACCTTTTGAAGGGCGAGTTGCATGGTCGTTGTGAGGCAGTCCAGAATTGTGGCCAAGCTCACGGAATCGCGCGCGATTGCGTACGCTTCCTGCAGACTCCGCTCTCCGTTTCTGTGCACGACCAGAGCCTCTTCGACGAGCTATCGAATGGCCCGCTTGATCAGGACCTGCGGCGGAAAATGCAACGTTGAAATTCTCTTTTCGAATTCCGCATGCTCAGGAATGCTCGAACAACCGTGAAGTTTTCACTTGGCCTCCAAAATCAAAATTTTAGGACGCGAGGTGGCAGTGCATGTGGTACGAAATTCTGCAACATACATTGCCTCGTGGTAAATTCTCTTTGTTTTGCAGTCAGGCCAGAGCAGGAGAATGGCGGGCTGGCAATTCTTTAGCGATAAATAATTAATACTTCCTCCGTCCGGAAATAAATGAAACCGTTTGTTTAAGGGTCTATATTTATATCACGAACTTGTTATTTTTCCTTCAAAATTGGATCAAAGTACTGCCTACACATTTACTATGTGGTGCCAAATTTTTGCGGACAATGGATAAGTACCGGCCACATGGCAGTACTTTGAACCCTTGTGATTCAGGCCAGAAAATCGAGGTTTCTCAAGGTCTGGCCGAGCAGCCCTCAAAACAGGTCCTTGACCAGTTCGCCTTGCGACTGACGGTGCGCAGCCCAGAGTGGATATCTGTTGCTGCCGTCTTGGTGGCAGAACGACATCGTCCCTACCAAAGGAGGAAGAGCACGAAACCGGGTTTTGTACCGCTCGATCCTTGATCGCCACCGTGGTTTTGATGGCCTTATGAGGACAGCAGCTCCGGATCGGAGACCCAGAAATCTGCGAACCTCACAATCACGGCGTTTGTAGAAACGGCCCCCACCATGGGCGAGGACGCCATGGGTTCTAAGACCACCACGGAAGGTTTGGGAGATTGCGATCGTGCCCTCGCTGCGTGGCAGCCAGAAGATCGTTGAAACTGGCTGTGGTGGGCACGTGCCATGAGAAACACTTTGCCCTCCATTCACGCCACTTTCAAGGGTGCTGCTGCAACTAAGCTTCGCCCGTGCTATTGAAAGACATAAGAACGCCACCATAGCAACACGTGGGGTCTTCAATAGAGCTTCCAAACCCTCCATTGTTATGTTTGGCAGGGTTGAAACCTGTTTGGAAAGAGGGATTGCTTGCATCTGGAAGGCACTTAATCGGAGATCTATGCTAAACACAGAGCTCATGTTGCGCGCAAATATCCTGCGGCTAGTCTTTAGCCATTAGGAGACCTCTAGGCAGTGGGGGATCCCAGGAATATCGGTGTGCTGCTGTGGAAGATTGGGGGGATTTCGAGCGTCCATCGATGGCGGTACGCAGACATAGTGTGGTAATGTGGTAGCACCCCGTTGGTTTCTTGTTCTGCCGAGCGGAGCTCGGCCCGTCGCCAAAGTCGCGGAGGCCGTATGCGGAGCGAAGCGGAGCAGGCCGGAACGACTTGGGCGTAAGGGCCGAGCGTAGCGAGGCCTTTAGCCGGAAAACGGGTTTGGCCAAAATGGACATGCTTAATGAAAATGATGACTTTGATGATATGGCTGCCACATGTAAGAGCGCCCGGCGGCGGCGCCGATTGTAGTTCGATCGTTCTGGAAGACCTTGCCTCCCTGCCTCCTCGAGCGCAGCAGCCGCGCGCCTCGGACGGGACCGCACAGAGCGGCCGTCACCCACGGGCCAGAGAGAGCCCGGGACACGCCGTCCGGCCGAGGACGACCACGCTTCCACTAGAGAGGCCCTAGAGCGCGGGCCAGGGTACCTGGACGCGGCCAAGGGGGGACCGCGCCGACAAATAGGTGCCAATTCCGTCGATCGTGCGTTGCGAAGGTTGTCGATCTTTGGGCTAGAGCCCAAGCGCCAAGGCAACTCCACCCTTCTGTTACTTTGAAGACCACTGGAAAGGGCATCACTCGTGCGCCGCGCTTTCCTGGGTCTGGGGCGCTAGGTTTTGGTGGGGTGGGGACTGACTGCGAATGTTCAAATTCTGGTGCTGAGTCGCTTGGCTTCAAAGTACTACCATATGTCTGAATCTCATTTTCTGTCGATAAATTTTTAGCAGGATTGTCTAAACACATAGTAGATGCGGTGGTCCAATTTTGAAGGAAAAATAAAAAGAACGTGATAAAAATGTGGTCAGTCAACAAATTGTTTCATTTAATTCCGAAGTAATATTGAGGCATTACTAAAATTTCTTGGGAATACATCGCTAATGTGAATAATGCTGATCAGATAAGACCAGAGCCCCACAATTTCCACAGCACAATTGCTAATGTGTAAAGCCACACATTTTGGAAAAAGCTCCCATGGACTGCTCCAAAGCGCGTTTGCAATTGCAGGAAGCTTGGAGCCTTAGCGTAAATGAAATTTTGCACAGCTTGGAAGCCACAGTGCCAAGAAACATTCAACACTTTGATTACAATAATCTTTTGCGGAAGAACACGTACCCCATGCAGTGCCAGAGTCGCACAAAATGCTGTCGAAATGGCACGAATTGGTTCCATGTTCAAATGTTCTCAAGGGCATTTTTAGTACTGCTCTAACACAGTCAAACGTATATTGGGAAGTGGTTGCGAACTGTGTAAAATGGGAGACATTCTGGCCGGCGTTTGCAGTTTTGTACTGTATGCACTCTTATGTGTGACTACGTTTTTGACTCGCGATTTTGTATTTCAAGAAATCACCTAATTATAAGCTTCGCTGAAATCTGTGTGCCCGCAAACTTGGAAAGGTACACACTTCCAAGTCAGGGTAGCAAAAATGTTTTGCAGTTATTCTGCCCCGTATTCCATGAACAATATGCTAACGGCGCTGCATACCAGGGCATCAGATTGTGCGTAACAATTCGATGACATTCCAAACTGCAACGCTCACTTGCACTTTACTTTCTCTAGTCCTTGCCTAAAGCATGAATATTGACCACTCGAAGCTTTCAGCCACATCTCCCCCAAGCAGCTTACCTGCTTATTTCTCGAGGTCGCAGCCACCGGGTATTCAACCTCATCCTCAGAGCTGTCATCCTCAGTCTCTGCCTCACTTGCAGTTTCAGATCTCTCAGAGCCCTGTGCCTTCTGCTCCTGGTCCCCCCTTGGCCGCTGCCGATCATTCCTTTGGGAGCACACTTGGTCTGCGTCCGCATCACCCCCGCCAGTGGCCACCGCCGCCGTGTCGCTTATTTGCAGCGAATTGATCGCCAGCCAAGCTGCGGCAGATCTTCCAACTCCAATAAGGGCCCTGAGCGAAAATGCCATGAAAATGAGACATTTAATGGAGGGCCATCTGCACTCATTTGGCGACTATTCTACAGCATTCTGCGATTGTTCGGCCCCTGCAGGCCAATGAACACTCACCAAACTCTCTCGGAACTTGACAGAGGTGAACGTACAGAAGTACAGGCGAAAGCGGTGCAGAGTTCGTGTGAGTGTAGATGGCAAAAGAGGAGTCCGATGCACATTTTATTCATTGTTTCCTCAAAACAGGTCTGCGCGAATGAAAAGCATATAATATTCTGAGCTTACAGCTTGTTGAAATTTCCCGTACGTTGATCTTTCGATCAACATATAGTGGATTCTACCTTGCGTGCATGGTGAGGTCCGGCTTGTGGGTCCCAAAGACTTCGATCATGCGTTCGATGTCCTGCACGTTCTTGCCTTGTACGGCGCTCCATTCACGAACAGCAGTTCTCGACCTGCTGTAAAGTTGGAACTTCGGGGAACTGTGAAAGGAAGCCAAGCGTTACACAATTCATCTGTCCATTCTGGTGATCGCATATCAAAACAGGACTTCGATTCCTCTCATCTCCCAAACACCCATAAGATCCATTGTCAATATCCTCCATTCCAATTTCACTGAATCCGCATGTCAACCCATAAACCATTCTATATATGAAAGCGACGTCGGAAAAAAGTTGCATATCCTGGATATACATATCCAGGATATGGCTATATCCTAGGATATGGCCTCCTTATCCTGGGATATGGTGCCCATATCCAGGATATGCATATCCAGGATGTGGCCATATCCCTCCATATCCCTGGATATGGCTGCCATATCCTGGATATGCATATCCGGGATATGGCCATATCCCAGGATATGGGCTCCCATATCCTGGGATATGGCCATATCCTCGCCCTTATCCTCACCATATCCCGCGATATGGGCGCCCATATCCTGGATATGGCCATATCCTCGCCCTTATCCTCACCATATCCTGCGATATGGGCGCCCATATCCAGGGATACGGGCCATAGGAAATGGCAGCGTGATGGGGACGGACGCAATGCCAGCGATCGCCTCTGCAACGCTTGCCAACGCCAAAGCCAGGCCTTCCCAGGTGCGAAGGCCGTATTTGACGTGCAACTTTGACTGGTCTACAGCGCCGGCGCGGGCGCCCGTTACCAGTTCGAATTACTGTTTCAATCGGTCAATAACTGTCAGTCTGTGTACTTTGTGTACGCAAAATCATAAAATGATCATTACAACATCATTACATAATGATTACGGCAGTGCTGCGCCAATAGATAACGTCCGTTAGTTTGATCATTCTGGTTTCTGTCATTCCCGCCAAACCTGGCAACCCCGTGCTGTGCCACCAAGTTCGCGCGGCGTGGAGCAACGGCAGCCATCGGCCAGGCGAGACACGGCGCATAACGGCGGCGATGTCATGGCGCGGGTTGGAGGCCTGGTGGTGGGATGCGCTTGAAGGTGCGCGGCGGAATGGTGGGAGGGTGGCGTGGGGTGGGAGGCGTGCGCGGCCATTGGGCAGGTCGCTAGGCATTTGTAGTGGACGCGATGCTTCTCGCCTGTGTGTGCCTATGAGACCCCGCGCTCCAAGGACAGGCACGCGCGGCCAACGGCCCACGTCCGAGTCGCACGGCTCCCTCCCCGCCTAGCCGGCCAACAAGAAGCAGCGCACTGGGCAATCCAACGACGAGGTCCCGCCCCCCGCCCTTCCCGCCGCCCGCCTGGCCCGCCGTCCGCATCCGCATCGCTGCGTCGCGGTGCCGAGTGTTCTCACTTCTCGCTTCGCGGGTGGCAGAATGTGGATGATCAGCGGCTGCTGAGGACGAGCAGGGAGATCGCCCGGGTGAGGCTGCTGCTCACGACCGACCACTAGGCGTTCGTGTTTCCGGACAAGCCCTCACCGCCGTGCAGCCCGCCGAATGAGGTGCGCTCCCGGCCTCCCCTCGCTGCACCACCCAATCGAGGCACCCCTGCCGCCTGTGGCTGACGGTCGCCGCGTGTGGTCGCCCGTGACTGTGCAGGAATGGTACTACGTCTGCGAGCTCGGCGACAACCTGTCCTCACGATGTAAGTGCGAAAACTGGTGGTTTGTGTGCCTGGGAAGTGCTGCCCCTGCGGTTCTGGGCATGGGTTTATGAGTCGTGCCTTTGCCGTTTGGACGCAGGCAAGGTGCTTGCGAGGATCGGAGAAGGCAGGCGGTTGATTACCAGCTCACCGCCGACGAGGGCAACGGACTGCAGCTGCTCGCCTCGGCTGTGGATCCGCGCCGCTTCTGATTAGGGCGAGTTCCATTGAAGGGTCCTGGTTTGATTACCGAGGACATGTGTGCATGGTGAGTGTCCTTCTGCTGCTGTGTAGGAGGCTTGATGCATCCAGATTCCAGCAAGGTGTTCACTGTTGTTTACATTTCCTGCTGGAATGTGGAGGTTTGAGCATGATTTAGAAGTCAAAACACGTGGGGATGTTCGCTGGGGATGTTCGCTGTATTGCTGGTGGCATTGTTCAAAGTCATTGTGCTGTAGCCATGTGCCATTGCGATGGCACTGTGATCATATCCATGCACTGTTCGTCTGACGTTGCAAAAGGTTTTTCCCAGCACTTGTATTCATGCCACAAAGACTTGTGACACTTGCTTCCAGTCTGCACATGTCCATATGGGCAAGCTTGTCAGTTCATGGAGGGAAATGATCGAAAAGGTTTCCTCCATTCTGGCCTGCAACTATTGGAAGGGCTTGGAGCCAGCCTGTACGACTTCCTGCAGCAGAGTGACTACCGTCCAGTTTGCATTCCTGTGGTGCAGCTGTATGGTCGTCTGTTGCTGGAAGCCATTGCGTACATGGCAGTTTGGTGGATCTTTGGTGATATCAGAGTGTTTGGCAGTACTCAGCAAACGGCATGGTAAGATGGTATTCATGGCAATGTTGCACAGCTTGTTATGTGTCAGGGCAGGGTGCTGGTGTGTGCTGACACTGTGCAAGTGTGTGTGGCAGGTGGAGAGGCGGTGATGGCAAGGATGACGTGGTGATGTCGACAGAGGTGGTGACCACTCATGGGCTGCTGTTGGAGTGTTGCATGACGGTGCCTAGGCTCAATCGGGGTGGCAGTCTGGCAGGCATCGGTGCAAAGGAATGGTTAATTGGAGTTGTATTGTCACTGCATTCATGGTAGGTAGTTGCTTAAAGAACTAAGAGGTGGATGATTTGATGGGTAGTTTCTTGGCTAGAGATATGGACGCAAAATTGATTTGTAGTTGTTGTAAAATCTGTAAAACAATTCGTTTCATAGATTGCGTGTGCCTCTCGTTGGCGACCCTGTGCGCCCAGTATGAGCTCCACATATCCAGGATATGGACATATCCTCGTCCATATCCCTCCCATATCCTTGCCATATCCCAGGATATGGGCGCCCATATCCTGGGATATGGCCATATCCTCTTCCATATCCCTCCCATATCCTCGCCATATCCTAGGATATGGGCGCCCATATCCTGGGATATGGCCCATATCCTTGGCCATATCCTCACCATATCCCAGGATATGAGCGCCCATATCCTGGGATATGGCCCATATCCTTGGCCATATCCTCACCATATCCCAGGATATGGGCGCTCATATCCTGGGATATGGGCCGCCCATATCCAGGATATGCATATCCTCCCATATCATATTCGATATCCTGGATATGGGTGAGGATATGGGCGTTTCCATATCCTAGGATATGCAACTTTTTTCCGACGGACGGTACGTTTGCACATCATACATGCATATCGCGATTCGGCAGTGTCCCTTGACTCCCTTAACTGCCGTCTTTCATCATACAACGGTGAACCCACACACCACGCACAACAGCTTTTTGGAGTATCCAGCACCCATGGCAAGTCATCGTACCACAGCAGCGTGTCCATCCATTGTTTGTGGGCTTGCCAAGCCACCCACAACGTCGGCACACCATTTAGGCAAAGCTAAGTGAGTTTCTTATCCGCTTCCACCAAAGAACTTCCACAAATTCCTGGGCCGTCGACCCGCTTCTTTCCTGTTTGATTTCATCTAACATTGCATATGTACAAGACCCGCATTCGGGTCGCTCCGAAGCAACACAGTGCGTGCTGCTTTGTGCTTCTATGATTACATTGGTTAATTGTTGTCCAAAATAAATAAAGAAGACAGTGACGCAACGGGCGCTGATTGACACTCATACCTGATTTCTCGGCAATCGGCGTGGACCTTCTCGAAAGCTGCCGAGTTTTGAGCGATTTTGGCCTTCGTCTTGTTGATTTTCCTTTTGTCTTTGCCTCCTATGGCACCACAGAAAATACAGTAATGATACATGTTGAATATATGTGGCGTCGGTGGAGCACATTATTGAAGAAAAGACACAAACTCTCTCTCTAAACTGTGGGGCAAGTCGATTGTATGATGCAAGACTCTTCTACATGCAACCCACCAAATTCGACAGCAGCACAGCAGTCACGCCGTAGCACAGCTGGCACGGAATAATTGGCGAAAAATTATATCACTGGTACTTCCAACAGGGATAGAAAAAACGCAATTCCACTGTTAATGTAACCTCCTGATTTCCGCGGTAAAACAAAGTGATAAATGTTCAGGGCAGTGCGTGACTTTTAATCAGCCTGTTGGCTCCTCATCCACCTTTCGCAAAGTACCTTCGCAAATTCCTTTGACCTTTCCTTCTAGTTTTCTCAGTTCTTGCCATGCAGCACTGAGCCTTCTCTCGTACTGGTCGAAGAAAGCTCTTTCTGCGAGGTCGATGAGCTTCTGGTTGACCACCCTCCCATAGCGCCGGATGTGCATGATTGGGCGTTGGCACAAGGGGCATCCCTTCAGATTGGAGCCCAGTTCCATCTGCACAGGATGAATCCGCCTGCATGGACAATGCGTGCTCTTACGAATGATCAGCCATGAGTATCAGCTTTTCCGCGTGTGTTCAGCTGTAGGTGACGCCACTGAAAAGCTCTTTGCTCTGCATGTAATTTTGCTAGGATTTGCGAAGACATCCCTAGAAAAGGAGATTCCTTTCGCGAGACTGAAACCTCTGTGTGGTTGCACCAATGCACTGGTGCACATCCACCAGCTCCTTGGGTCCTCCGAATTCCGTTGAGCTATATTGCCTTCAATGCCGCCCACCTGCCGTTTCCATCCTTCCTATAAGCTTCGGAAAGCTCCATGTGCCCGTCCAGGAATGAAGTGACGAAAAGGTGGCCACAAGGAAGCACAACAATGGGGTCCCTATTCAACTGGCCTTCTGTGATGTCTCCGTACGTCGCACCCGTGCACCAATCTATCACCTGAGATATCATCACCATTACACATGTAGATTGCATAGCGTGGCCATTTTCCAATTCTCCGTGATGTCCACATAAAATCCCATCTCAACATGAACAGTTCAATAGAAAAGGTATGATGAATTGGACGTCTATGTGATGCATCTCCTTTTTTCTTTGGATATGTGCGTAAAGCACGTACATCTATAGTGCATGGATCACTTGAGTTTTCCCTTCAATACTTAAATCATGTTGTTTATTTTGAGAAATCCTTTTTCATCATAAAAATATCCCATTTTCCTCTGCGGCATATCCGCGAATTGATGCTCCATGGAACGGCAACATCATGTGGCTGTACATTCAACACATGGAAACGGCGCAAACCTAACCATGATTCCTGCAACGTCCGTTTCATCAGACATAGTATTCCACAAGCTTATCGTACATTTGTCCACTTTTAAAGTGCACCTGCCCCTTCCTTACCTCAATACGCTTATGCGCTCCTTCAAGGTGTGATTTCTCCAAATCCCTTTACCGTCGAAGTGCTGTTTTGGGGTATGAGACCATCAAATGGGTAAATATTAATGAGGTCATTGCACTTGCAATGGGATCTAGATATCCATTTCTCTCATACATAACGAGTACTTCATACTGATTAATAATTGCTTTTATTTTCAATGCGCTCAGGATATATGCTATTCAGTGATTCGCAGTACAATGACTTACCTGATTTTTCACCTTGGGAGAGGCGCAATTCAAACAGTGGCGACTGGAAGGGCATTCTTCCCCACACACACCTGGGCAGCGACACCCACAGGCCAATTTCTTTCTGCATCTTTGATCGCATGGAATCCTGCAAACGCGACGAAACGTGGGCAGTCAGAACCATTGAAGAAAACGTTCACTGAGTAAAGTGCCTTTGGCAATTTCTGCGCCACCGCTGGACCAGTTGCTTCATACTCGCTGATATCATGATGTTAAATGATGGTATTCCTGATTGAGCTCGAAATCACAGTTTCGCCAATAAGTACGAGATCTGAGGTAACAAAGGTCGAAAATCCGTAATTTTAACAACTGTTGTGTTCAAGTAAGTCGAAACCTCTTTTTCACGTCATTATACGTGTGTTCTGATGACCTTTTTCATCTTTAGCAGCCTGCATTCGCTTATCTTTCCCTGTGGTAAGGAGCATTGGCACCACGCGCTACGAATCCCCCCCTCCCCATATTCCGTGTGGAAAAAGCTCCGTGCCATTTGCCTATCAAACACATGCAATCTTCCCCCTTTTAGATTCCACGGCCATTGCATATGCTCAATTTTGTAGCATTGTAGCAACGTAGATGTTTCGGCATGTATGGCAATCCATTCCTCAAGGCACTAAATCAAATCATTAATAGCAATCTGTTTTATTACAGATGGTTGTTTTTCAGGCAGGTCCGCTGCCATAGAAGCCACGAACAGTACATTCCGCGAACCAACATTCGGCAACCAAAATTTCCGTATCAAGTCAGCATGATTGCGAACATCTCATTCGATTTCCGCACAGGCTCACAAAATCTGCGGATCAGACATCAATGCCGGTTCACCTTCACTTTCGGATAGGAGCCTCATTGAGGTCATTTGGGGGGTTGCGGCCATTATGTGTTTTTCGATTTCACATTGTAAGGTACCTAGCACGCTTCATGACCAAGGTCACTTGTGAAGGTTCACACCCAGAAATCTTCGGTGTCGGACAAACCTCCTCAGGCCAACAAACTCGTTGGTTACAATACCTTATGCAAGGAGCGCCGCACGGCACAGGACAGGCGCCTCTGTGGGTGCACTTCCACACACATTCGTGGACGCATGGAGGGCACGCGTCCTTGCAGGGTCTCTTGCAGGAGCTGTGGAAGCACTTCATTCCGCAGAGACTGCTACAGGGAGGACACACGGTCTTTGCATGGCCTGAACACACAGCAACACGGTCAACATGCTTGAAACTTCAAGTGATCCGGGGCCGCTGCGCAGAATAATTTTGGATGTCTGTAAATTAACAAAGATTGTATGGACATTCGTGCAAGCGCACATTAACCAAATATTCGGTTCCAATTTTGTGTTGAGGTATCTAGCGGCTTGTATCCAAAGTGATAAGCAGTGAATCCCAACATGCTAGTACTTGCGCAAATTCTGATCTGAATTTCTGGTGGGAGCTGCGCCACCGTGGGTAGCTTGCTTGAACAGAGAAAATCTCCCAATGCACTCATATGACGCTCTTGTAGATACGGCAGATTTGTTTCGTGCATTGCTCATTGAGCATTCCGCATCTTTCCTCCCGGACTTAACTGCATTGCTTTTGTATCCGATTGAAATCTCTGTCCATTGACCATGGCTGTCAGCTTCATGCGCTGGGTTCAATCGGTGCTCGCACACTGGTATTTTCACCTTTTTCGTCTTTGATCAGCTCGTGCTGATGGCACTCCGCCTTGCAATCATGACCACACGGCAGCTGTCGGGTGCACTTCCTTCCGCAACGCTTGTGTCCACCTGGGCGTGCGCTGCCAACGGCAGCCGCACGCCCAGTATCCGAATTCCCCGCAGCTTCCCGTCCTTGGCACTCTCCGCACCTCCCTTTGCACAAATCGCCGCAAGGAAGAACTGCAGCGCATTCGGCAGTGCACAGCGTTGGATCGGCCAAATATTCCTCGCGAGCGCCACATTTGATTTCGATGGTGTGACCGCACGCTCCATCCAGTGTGACCTTCTCGGGCACCGGGCACGTCTCCCCTCCGGACACGTAGCGTGCTGCGTCGCAGCAGTCGGTCGTTATCTTGTGCTTGCATTTGGGCATAATGGACTCCACCTTTTCCGTGCATGGTATTGCGCTCAACTCTCCAGACCTGCAGACAGGCGCGTTGGAAAAGGGGCTCATGAGTAAGCATCAAAGCGTCACCACAACTGTTGACACTCCTCTCCCGTTGTGACAAAACGCGTTCGCTTTGGGGGTTTCGGCTGTGCCCAGTGAAGGTGTGTTCGCAATCCGCAAAACACTTTCCAAATGATCCATTCATGACACGGAACGGCATTTCAGGTGGCACACAATTTGCCATATGAATTTCCGACGGCCCTCTACTTACATCCAGCACGGCACGTTGCGCTTTGAATGACCGCAGGGAAGCTTCACCTCCGGCACATTCCTCCTGCATTGTCCGCATTTCTCGTGGCACAGATTTTCGCAACTGTGCCCGCATGGCAGCTCCTTCCGGCATGGCTCATTGCAACAGGCCCGCTTGTGCTCAGCATCATCGGCGTGGCATGTCCTAATGCAATTCCCCTCCAGGTTAGGATGAATGCAGCGGCGCACTCAACAATGCAAACAAAAGCGAACGTCTGCTTTCTTTCATGCTCTGCTTACGTCCACAACGGAAGGCCAATGAAAATCTGTGATAGGCAGAAAAGCAAACTCTAAAAGTAGGATTAAAAAATCGTCCAAGGCGATGTAACTAGGAGTTTGAAAATTCACGGCATGGCGTTGACGTCGGGCAATCTTCAGGCGCTGCTCCTACCTCGGGCAGCTGTGTCCGCAGGCAAGCCGAAACTCGCAACTCTTGCCGCAACCCCCGTTTGGAATTCGCTCTTCAAAGTCCTTCCAATCGGCTATCCTTGCAACGTACTCTGGGTGGTTCGGGCAGACACACTGCAATGGAACATGCAAATGATCATCTTCGCAGAAGCAAATCCTATTTGAATAAGGGAAGCCACCATATTGGCATACATATTGCCAATAATTACGGCAATGATTACTTCCATCAGGTGCGGATTGCAGGAGAAGAATGAAGTTGGTCAGGAGTTGGTCAAGGATTGATGCAAGGAATGCTGTGTGCAGCTACCATGACCCCTAGAAGGCATGTGAAAATACATACTGGATTGGACATGAAATGCGGTCGGCCCCTGGTAGTGGCTGATAGCGCCGTGCTGGGGCTGCAGTCTTTTGAGGTCGCAATTAATGTAGCTGAATGCTTCGAAGGCCTTTTTCCGAACGGTCGGAACCATAAGACACTCGCCCTTCTCGTTTTTAGGACCCAAGAAATGACAATATTTCGAAAAGCCCTTTTGCCAAGATCTTGCAATAATGGCAGGGTTTCCGAGATTGCCTTAGTAGAGGATGTATGGAATACTCCCTTCTGTGGCTGAATGAATTTTCCTTGGATTCTACAAAATTCTTGAGGAATTCTTGTAAATGTAGCTCTTCATGACTCGACTTCACAATAATTTCAACAGCATCAGATGGCCCGGAGGAGTGGCTCGTTTTTGCTCTTCCCCTCGTCGTCTGAGGGGCCTTAAATGCCAATGAATCTGTGGGCAAAGCAGAATTCAATGCCAATAGATTCCCTTCGTTTGGAATTTCCCATCACAGCTCTTGTACATGTGGTATATACAATACTTGCTCAACGTTATATGCAAACACTAACGCAAGCTTCACAGAATATACACGTTATCACCCAAGGCTGACACGTGCTCTTTCCATTGTCGATACCATGGTAAGTTTCTAGGGCTACCCGTGAATGCACGCAAACAAGGGGGCAAAAGGTGATATTTGCATATGCGAATTTGCATCACGTTGCATCCCCAAAACACATTTAGATAATTGACGCTCGACATTCCGGTACCATCGAAGAATGCAGAACGCATCTATGGAGCATTCTGTGGCTCATTCAGTGCTGCCGCGCGCCACCGTGTATTGATTCCATGACTGCACTAGCGCACCTCGAGCTCCCGCCCCAGACAGCCGCCATCAGCCAACACATCGAGGACGCCATTCCACATGCCGTCCTCCCTGTAACTCCGCAGCGTTCGGGCGTTGCCAAGTATGTACATTCCCATCTTTGCTCTCGACAGCAGAACATTGGCCCGATGCTCGCTTTTGAGGAACCCGATCCTCCCATTGCGCACCAACGAAAGAATTACCACATTTGCTTCTTCCCCCTGAAGTGCAAATGCGTCCACACTTAATGGAAAACACTTCAGGATCAAATTCGTATCAGTTGGTAGGACACCCGTGCTTATCGGCTTTCGGGATGTGTTTCAATTTGCACCATGCCAGTTTCAGATGGTGGGGAAGGTCTGAATCCCTTGTATGCGTGCTTCTACCATGCGCAAAGGGGAACTTGACAAAAATTCAACTACTGATGGCCGCGGAATGGAGAGCGAGCAACATTTCTGCATTTTAGCAACATCGTTTTCCCATATCTCTCTTCAGCAACATATCATACTTCGCGAAGTATGACACTTCATGAATTACGAAATTTTCCACATGAATTAATGGTGTTTTATGCGTTTCCATCCATAAATTTTTGTGTCCCAGTCACGATTTGCGGTGGCACGAACGCCGTTCCCCAAATCTTCTTCTGCGGTAGAAGTCCTTCTTTCTTAATGTGTCACCTGGAAATTGTCGATCGTGGCGATTCGTATGCGCTCCTTCAGGCTATTCAGCACAAATGATTGTGGTAAACGACTGCCTTCAACCTCTTTTCCATTTCTTGCCCGTGGGCTGTGCGAGGAGTCCGCATCATTAGGGCCTTCATCTTCTCCTGCAATGAACAAAGAAACGACTTGCATGAAGCTCATGGTGACAAAGAATCTATCATGGCCAAACGTCGATGAGCAACAAAACCAAGGCACGTTGCTTACAATAGGAAAAAATGGCCAAATAACCCGTGTTCAAACGTGTACAAGTGTTCCGGTTTTGTGCTATTTCGTGTTTTTAGCATGCAGAACACTAATGAAATGCATACATATGTGTTCTCAAATCCGCTGAGATGGAGTCTTTGTATTTCCTTCATTCTGCAGGCAAGTTTGTCAACATAGGAGCGAGGGCGCAGCAACCAATTACTTACTGCTATCCTTATCAGGGTATCTTGGGAAAACGCTCTAGCCCAAAAGTGACGGTGATCGTAGTAAAGCCACAAATGCACCGCAACAGCAAACCGTGTTTGACTTCGTATCACCAGTGTAAAGGGACACTGCAGACAGACGCAGAGTCCAAAATGACGACACTTAAACAAAAGCAAGCTCAGGGCACTCATCAGCGAATCGACACAGGCGCCCTGCATTTCTGGTCGCATTTGAGAATATACAATATTTAGGGTTGCAATTCAAAAACGCAGATGCGCGTTCCTTGCCTTTGTCGAGATTCTTCAAATCTTCTGCATCGCGCTCATAGATGGCTTCCTTCAATTTAATGGCACGGAGCTGTTCCCTGATCAGATTTAGTTGACCAACGTATGGAGTGATTATGGCGATCTCACCTGCGGCCAAAACCATCATGTGTACTGAATGCAAAACTGCAAATGATGAAATCAGCACATTTCCAGCGCTGCAGGAAAGACTAGGACTGCCGGTCCTTCCCAAAATCCCTGGCACAGAAGCGCTTGAATTGGCATGCCTTTGGTGTAGTGGTGCACGTGTTCAATGATATATAAGCAGCGTGGCACTACTCCGCCTTCTTCAAGTTCCCAATTTTGAAAAGTTGGCAGAAATCTGCAGTTTCCTTGCAGATGTCGTAAGGTTTTCAAAAGCTATTTCTGGAGGGCGCAAACTTAAAAAGGGAAGAGATGCGCGCAAGCACGAATATCCAAGGAAAAACGTTGCGTACATATTTCTAATTGAAAATTTCTGCCCACAGAATTTCTAATCGGGAAGTTAAAGTTACGGTAAGTTGAAAATAGCGAAAATCAGACAAACAAAAGTAAGATTTCCAAGCTACTATGAGTATGAACAAGTTGGCGGCGTTTTTGTAAGCTTTGCGGTTTCGCTCGCAAGTTCGTCGCCTTATTGCGATGTTCACGGCGATTTATTGATCGGGGAACGCAAACGCCAGAACGAACTCGCATACTGCGAGGACGCACAAGAAAAAAATGTTTTCCACGATATTTGCAAGAGAACATTCGCCATTGCTCCGGAGGCATAACTGACTATGTCTTGGTAGAAAAACACGCTACAAGTTGGCAATTTCGCCACACTGCTCCCCAGCTGAAATACAATCATCCCCTCAACCATTATGCGCATACGCGCGTCGAGGCCTTGCTTGATTCAAAGAGTGAGTTGTTTTTTTGGCGTGTATCTTTTGTGCCGGAAGCATTTTCTGTTGTGCCACTACCAAGAGCAAAGATCTCGCCGTCGTCAACTCGATGCTTGTGTCAGTCTACCTTCATATGAACGATGGTGGTGGCGAAGCTGGATAGAACATAACAAGCCCAGCAGGTAGCTGTCAGCTTCCTATTCTGCCAGATCAAGCAGTGCCCATGATCATTTTATGGAAATCTAATGTGTACCGCATGCCAAATCCAGAAATCCATCAATTCCTATTGCTAAATATGCACTGCAGGTCTACGGTGCAGGTCTACGGTTTTCAGGGCATCCACGACATGGATTTCGCACGTCACCTGTTCCGTAGGCTTCCTGAAGATATAGGTGCTGCGCAAGACGCACTGCGTATTTAGCCTCCCAAAGGTTTTTAATCGACCTCCCATGCTCATGGCTAGATTCGCGGTGGTCGTGGTCGACAAAGAAGACGTTCTTTTTCATGCCGGCGACGTTAGGGTAGCTCTTCACCGCCTCGTGGTCAGAAAGATCGCGGTACACTGTGCCCTTTATAAGCCTGATAGATGAAACAAAATCCACATCAAGTTACTGCTTTCAGGTGAACAGAATAGAAAATTATGATTCTCCAGGGCTGCGTGGGTGAACTCACCTGATCGTACTCAATTGTTTTTTACCTCGTTATCCACCTGCGACTTCATTCACGTCTCCCATGACGTCGAGGTACATGAATTACAAAACTCTGTGGTATATAACGTGTTCAGTTCCATGGACGAAAACACGCATATCCGGAATGTATGACACTTCATATCCTGAATAAGCCAAGTATATCTCTAGGGCAGCCGAATGTACATCTCTCCTTGTGGCTCAGGCAACCGCCCATATCCAGTATGTGAGGATATGCATATTTCCCATCACGCTTTTTCCCCATATGGAGAGCATGGAATGCTTTGCCGAGATATTCGGCGAAGTTCTCCTGGAATTCGTTTACCGGTGCATGACATAGGGCGGCCGCCCATTATGCATAACGACCTGATATTTTGTCCAGCCAGTTGACAGATTTCGTGGTCCCACCCGTACACAGTTCACCTGGGTGAAGCGGGCAACACGGCAGTGCAAGATAAAATTGCATTTGGCGGGCCATTGATAACAAATTGTCACATTCATAACGATCACATTTGATGGCTCTACGAAGGAGCCCAAAACGAGCGGTGAAATAGCGGCACCTTCTAACGAGGTTGTGTTCAGAGATTTTCAGGTCAATGTCATGGTCCTTACTCTGAAATTTCTAGCCGCATTCTCCTCTGCTCCCTCAGAGTCACACATGGGAGGTTCATTGAAACCACCAGCCGCTCAAAGATGGACATGTCCAGGTTGAGCCCCATCTCCGAATCAACTTCCATGTCGTAGAGTTGCACCTTGGGCCGCAGCTGCTTGTGGTCCCCGATGAGTATGAGGTGTTCGGTTGAAGCAGACAGGCTCGTCAGCACGTGCGACTCCAAAACTTCCGCCGCCTCCTCCACGATCACCACCTGCAACGTCGGTTGCAATGTGTTACCGATTTGGAACAAGAACTTATATCCACTGGGAGGGCCCACCTGCGAGGTTGTGCAATACGAAGATACAGCACAAACACAGTGCAAAATAACTCAAAAGTAAGCGCCATAAAAAGCAAAGCTGATCTGATAGATGGGCATGTGTGCGTAGGAAGTATTAGCAACATTGGAAAAACTGACTTCGCTGACTCCGATGACTCCGATGACTGAAGGGCAGTTTTCATTGCCGTTTGGAAACAAGCAAATTTCGTTTTTGTTACAGCCACGCTTCGGTGCATGCCATTCACTGAATCGATCATGCAACACGCTAGTGAAGCAACTGCGGAAATACATCATTGTGGTGCAAACAGCAAGCAGCACACTAACACCTGGAAAGTTGGCCAATGGCTAGCATCTGACCAAGTCACTGGATTTTTCAGATGCTGCGGCGTTTTTGAAGAGCATTTGCTTCCGAAAAGAAAAAATTGCACCGCAAGCGAATCCGTGGATTTCCGCTTCAGCCGAATTGCGTCTGGGTGTGTACAAGATATCCCTGCGTTGGCGCAAAACTTTGCTTTCCCTTAAGGGAAATCGGGCTTTTCATTTCATTGCACTACGATGTGGTCACACAATTGGTATGCACTGACACATCTGCGTATATTACCCCTATGCAAGTGTTGTGCAGCGCTGTGAGGTCATTTTGCAAATTTGGTACACATGTTCGTAGTTTTGAATAGTTTGTTCGAATATTTCTCCTCAAGCGGTGCGGGTATGTACGCACAGGTGGCTTTTTTTTCACTGACGTGACCACCAGTGGCAATACGAATTTCCGTCCTATATTGCCATATCGGCATCCACCCTGGTGCGAACATCGAATCTGCAGATGCCATGCAGCATATTTAGCCTTTCTGGTATGGCACCAGCCAGATTACCACGGAAACTACTTTGGTGGAATTTAAGATGCACGAAATGCTGAATTGATTGCGCAATGTTGATAATGTTGAATCACAAGCTGTGCACAATTGAAAGCGTTACTGTGGATCACCTGGACGCCGGAATGATTCCCCTTCAACTGCATAGCAAGAGGCTGCAGAAACACTCACCTTTGGACTGAGTGCAGCGATGAGATTTTGGTGCGCAGCCACCTTAGACGTAGTCATGCCAACGACGTCTGCCCTCCTCATCATTGAGAGATAGATTGCCTCATCTATATTGCGCAAGGGCTCTATCAAATCTTCGTTGCACCAGATGTATGCCTGCAGCTCGTTCATCAGTTCTTCCATTCTCTGCTCCTTCAGGTAGCGCATGACCACTTGCCTCTCATTTCTATTTGGAACAGACACAGTCTCAGTATTGGCGAATTTCGTCTTGTACGTTTGCTATGCATACGGACTGGCGGCGTTCTGCGATCAACCTTTTCTTAGACCCTAACGCTTTTTTCAATGAGCTGAAACAACCAGAATTAATATAACAAGCGCATGTGTTTCCTTGCCATTTCTATGCAGATTCGTGTGGAGTTGTGCGCCTATCAGTGACAGCCAACGAACCGGAGAGCGTCAATTTCAGCATGTTGATCAACTTCAATCTTCTTCTGAGTGGGGCACCTGCTCATGGACCATGCGTCGTCGCATTCCAGAAGTTCAGCCAACTGCCTGTCGGCGTCCCCATCTGTGCGTCTTCGGCTTGATTCTTTTCCCCGTTTCGGTCCCGGGCGGCTCCTCGTCGACAACTGGTGCATCCACGACGCCAAAGTGTCGGGCTTTTCCTCAGATAGGACTTCAAACACATTGGAAGTCTCGGCTCCACCTGATCCCACAGCAGAACATGCGACCGTGCACATTAGGAACAGGCCGCTGTTACTGTTAATTGACAATATTGGAGCAATCTATTCTGTATAAGCCTTAGGGAGGGGATCAATGCCTTTGCGGAGAATATTCGCATCATCAAGTATGATGAAGTGCTGATGTAGTGCTACTGGACAGAAGAAATTAACTGGTATATAAAAGTTACAATATATAGCCAGAATGTTTTCAAAAACAATGTGGTCGGCTGTCCAAGGGCCGTTTTTGTTTAGAGTTCCCTGTCGCATCACCGTTGTATTTAAAGTGCTTAAGAATTTTGATGCGCACTCGATCCCACACAGCACAAATATTGCCAATAACTATGCGCCGCTCTGATGGCATTGATTCGCGAATTTCGCGTTCATTGCAGCTGAAATACTTGTTTGGAATCAATTTCACTGTTCAGGCAACAGCACGTGGTTCCCAGATTTTTGAATCTGTAACATCGCGAGCAGAATTCAGAGGCAGAGGTTTCCGAGGAATTTCCTTAGCAGTCCGCCCATCGAATCGCTAACTCTGGTGTGCTGAATGATAACAATCGTGTTACACGTTGTCTTCATGAATCGCGCTATTTCGCGAGCGAATATTTCGTACATTTGGTGTTTTAGTTCTTGGTACTGAAACTGGAACAAGCATCTTCAATCTAGGATGCCCACCTTGTGTATCCATCTTCACCTCTGCAAATCCAAAGCCTTTGCTTTCCTCTAGCCCCTCACACCAGTGCACCCACGGTCCCAAGTCATCGTCGCCGTTTTCAGGACACCACCAGAAGTCATCCTCATCATCCTTGTTGCCCACAAGGGAGCCATATAAATCAGGTGCGTCCATTTTCAGGATGGCTTCTACGTCTCTGAATCTCAGCCTTTTAGCCCTGCGGATTTAACGACCCTGAAATCAGCGTCTGTTTTAGATTAAAGTCAATCTCATTTTGCATTCATGGTTGCTTTCACGAATTGACGTAAATTCCTGTATGATTTGGCCCTTTTGGTGACTTCTGGGCAACGGAACCTACTGGACTAAGCATCTCAAACGGCGGCTTTATTGCTTACCAAGATGTATTATTCTTCCAAACATGCTTGGTGTTTATGTATACCGCACACCAATTTTACGCTTAAATAAACGTAAACATAGAAGCGGCCATTGTCGCGGCTATGTTTACCTTTTTTAGGGCCCGCTGAGCCAACCAAGTTACATGGCGATGTCGCAAACGGTGATCAGTCTCGACCTCTCTATTATCTGCAACACAGCGTCCACCTCGCCCTCGGCAAGAGCTACATCGTCCCCAAACAAAAGGCCGTTTTATGCCCACTTCCGCGCGTCTAGCTGCCGCTCCACGGATTTCATGGGTCTTCATGTAATGTCTTAATGTACACAGGACCTGTATTTACCTATGTTCATGCGCTTTTACGCTTGAAAACACAGATACTGTTGTGCCAGTAAATGCACATAAACCAGCCTGTTTGCACCGTCAAGGCCAATCATGCTGGCAAGTGAAGGTAAAACAATGAATTTTTTGCGCCCTTGCAAACAACCGCAAACAAAATCAGTATTGGGCCATCTGGACTACAACTGCCAGGTGGTTAGCCTAAAGTAAGACAGCAGCTTCCTTGCAGTCAACCCTGCTTCATCAGAATTCCGCTCGGCAAATATTTTGAAGCGGTCTCAGTTCCTGGCTCAAACTGATTATACGATGTCAATTGGCCTCTGGAAGCGCAGCTGCTATGAGAACTTTAGGCCGATGTCACGCAGCTCATACGATAATCAAGTGATAGCCATAAATTCGCTCACCTCTGCAAGCTCCTGATGGTTCTGATCTTCTCTTCGAGGGCACACGAAGTGTTTTGGATACTTCGATAGGTCACTGATCTGTCGTAGAGGAGAGAGGAAATGTCGGGGCACTTGCGGCTCTTCGTTTTCACATTCAGTTCTTTCATTTCCTCGCGGCGAACTTGCCCGCCCAGCCGCAGAACATTCCTTACACCGCTTTCTATGAGCCCCGCCAGGAGTTGATCCAATGCGTGGTTCGTTAGGCTGACACACAATAACGGTGTGTGGCCACTGTCCTCACCGGCTGGCTGTCCTGGTGCTTTAGAAGCCTTGGAATTGGCCACCAAAACCCTCACGATTTGGATTCCCAGGTACGTTTTCCCTGATTCAGCACAAAGAACCAGGCCAGTACGGTGGCAATTCTGCGACGACATTCCAGCGTCATGCAAGTTCAGTTAGCTCAGGTATCGTACAAACACGACAACTGAGCTAAATGAGCGGATTGGCTACAATCAATGCGTCGAGCCAGCATTTGGTGGAATTCTATGCGCCAGAACATAGGGCGAGCATGCCCAGCATGAAACAGCACACACGCCAGATATGCAAGTCCCCTCGTATACTCCATGTATCTACTTGGCAGCACAAAACAGGCTCGACCTAGTCAAAATTAGGGTTTAAACTAGTCTAGTTCGGTGGAGCGCAGATGTTTGATGCCGTCCACTCTAGGACATGATGGTTATGGAGGCCTTTTGAGTGTTTCTTTTTACGTTTCAGGTCTGGGAGTGTAGGCTTCAATTTTCCTGTTTGTAGGGCCGAACCTCAATTGAACTAAGTTTAACCTTTACACCCTAATGGCAGTGATTCACTGCATTTGGATTAGGAATGGACTATTGTACTATCGGGATATGCATGCGCGTCATTTGGCAAAGGCTCAGACATTGATGCAATGATGTGCTGTAGTATCGTTGATGCGATACCGAATTGTGTCGTACAGTTCCAGTATATTGGGCAATCGCACCAAAACTTGACACATGGGAATTTGCTGAAGCGTTGCTGGGCATTGCGTCAATGCAAATGCAGCCACAGAACTGCATCAACGTCCTCACTTTTTCAGGTGGCAAGTATACACGCCTACCCATCAGGTCGTCTGAAATGCTGAGCTTCATATTTCCACACTTCCACCCTCCCATATTAATTGTCATCTATTATTTTGAGACTTATTTCTCCATCTCACCTACGTCAATTTTCAATAAATTTTACCCCAAAGTTGTGTTTGGGAGGTTGGAGTGTACTATCAAAATTTCAAGTCGATCCATTAACTTTGAGGATTTGGTCGTACTTTGTAACAAGGGTCCTTTGGCCAGAACAGGGTCGTTTTTGGACGTTGGGCCGAGAAACAGCCGTTTTTGCCTGTTTTGAGGAGCACTCTTTCTCGGCAGTGAAACAAACCCATCCTTGCAAAACTACTCACACCGTTCAGAGTGGAGGTCGCTAGGGTGCTTGCAAAGAGATACGGCTATAGGAAAGGCACTTCGAATGAATTGATCGTCAAACTCGCCATCGCTTGCAGCGTCAATTCGTGCTTGATCTGTGGATCGGAGCGATGTTCGGGACCCGGATGTTTTTGGCCAGGGCTTTTCGAGCTCCTTCACCACCGTCAAGGCAACTGAGGAAGGTCTCCCAATCCTTTTAACAGGGAGCCAGGGATGGTGATGGCTATCACTCCGATATAGCACAAACAATTAGTAAACTGGCGGTGGCCACGGGAGTGGAGATTTTTCCTTGTTTCAAAACTTCAGAGGATGGGGTGCAAGGATGATGGCCACAAAGGTGAATTCGGGTCTTTTGGAGCGACGGAGTCTTGCTAGGTTCCAACGGATTGTGCACCGCGCACAAGCGTAGGCCATGTATCCACAAACAATGACAATTTTTGGCCTTCCAGCTTAGGGTTCCACTCAAGCCCTGACTAAAGTGACAGAATGACAGCACACACTGAGCCCAGGCTTCTTCAAGGTTGTATACATTGGCCTTTCCGCTCGTTGGAGATCCGCCCATCGGAGATCGAGAAAAGCAGCGATTTCTGGCATCGTCAACGCTGCAATGATGGCAGCCTAAGACAAGGATAAATGCACGTTTGAGTGTGTTCGGCAAGTGCTATGACACGTGCCGGACCCCATCCTTTACGCAACATTGGCAACCACTGGCGCTGCAATTCCCATGCACGGGAGCGCTCCCAAACCAGCGGATTCTGCTACACCGCGTAAAGTGAACGCGCATTTTTTGGACGTGTCAGAGCAATTTTGGGGAGCAGCTCACAGGGGTGAGGACAAAATGTTGTTTCTTCGAAATTCGAGCCTAAGTGCTTTGAAAACCAACCTTTCCGATTCTGCCTCAATTCCAATCTAGATGCTATTTTCGTGACGAGATTTGTCTCCCAAATAGACGACAATTAATATGGGACGGAGGAAGTAAGTTGCAATGTGAAATAGCTCAATTGTTGCTATTGCGGGAGCGATGAGTATCAAAACTTTGCGTCTTTGATACCCAAATGAAGATGGTCTGTTTCCCACAAAATTTGAATAGCATTGCTTCTGGTGTAAGGCAAACATGCATCATGCTCATATGCGCATTGTCTCGTCCAAATGCGTATCCATGCATTTCACTGCGTTCCAGCACCGCGGCGTTATGGTACCTGTGCCAGGGGGGCCCTGTATCAACGCAACCTCTCTCGTCAACGCCGCTTTCAGGGCTCTTATCTGGGCGACATCGAGGGTGCTCTCTTGCGTAAGCAAAGATTCGGGGAAGTCTTCCGGTGACGACAGGTCGACATTCATCAATCCCTCAATGCGCCTGCAACCACAACCGCAGAGATGAGAACCGACCATGTGTTTACTTGGCGAATACAGCATTGTATGCGACATTGCACATCTGTGTCCTACCATCATATGCCAACATTTGATGGATTCTTGATCATTTACATGCCATTAAAAGCCCGTAGACTTGCATTCATGCGTGATAATCGTCACTACGCAGACACCGCAATCATGTGTACAATCAATCTTGCTGACGTTGGGCAATCTCGGCGACGTAACACGTCAGTCACAACTGGTAACGGTTGCGCGTATGTGCCCAACGGCGCTTACCACTCGCCCCCGCAAAGGGGGCCACGAGGCATTCGAACAAGCAGTCGTTCTTTACTAATGCTAGCGCATCCGCCTGCCGATGCCCATATCCCTGACGCTGATAGCGCTGACGCCCACCAGCAGGCAAAATCGGCATTGTTCGTCGAACATATGGATACAGAAGTAGCGGCGTTTGTACTGGCGACCTGCGATGTCCTAAAAATGTTCAGCTGCCTGCCCCTGGTCGCCATGGTAAAAATCTCATGCCAGCGATTACTGTTATTGATTATGATGGTGAATGTTACTGCCAATAAAGTAAAATGAAGCAGGCTGACGTTGCAAGCCATTGGGGAGCAGTTGCGCACGATATATCGACCATACATAATGCACGAACAGCAACCCATAGTACCTACATAACACTTTTGATCATTCGCATCATCGCAGTTACCACTACAGACAAAACCAGTGACCGGCTAAGGCATACCTCATGGATCCATCTTCTCCCGGAGTTGCAAGACAAGAAAGATCGAATCCTTTCCTGCAAATGTACGCGGGAGGCGGAACCACCATCTGCGACGAAGTGCACTCTACATTCGGCTTCGACGTGATGTAATCTGCGAATGGAATAGGGGCAGTCTTGAGAGCCTTCAGAATTGGCTCGTATCCAAAAAAACTTCCTCCTCCTGTTTGAATCAATACGGCCTCCCCTCCAGTTTCTAATCCCAAGGATCTGGAAATGATGCTTCTGCCAGGGCGCCCCTCAGTGAACCTACGTTTGCACAACTCGGCTTTCTGTTGCCACCCAATTGTACTGAGTTGCTCGCATGTCATTAGAATTTTTCTGCTGTTGCACTTTAGCGTGGGATTCCATGCCAAGGCTCACAACAGTGTGCAAATGAAACAGAGCAATCTTGAAATTTGCATGAGAATATTGCTCGAATTCAACAATATTTCTGAAATTCTGAACTCCCTCAGTTACTGTACTCTTCTTGAGGAAACTGTCGCAACTGGTGTCTGTGCACGACAGTGCAGTCGCTGGGCTGGCGTCAGCTAAGATGGAGTGGTGGTGTGCCGCCGGGATGTGCCGAGCGTCGGGCGGAAGAAATGCACAAATGCATTTTATGTGCATGCTGCTCGAGCTTAGGTGCGAGAAGGAGGTGGGTGCTCTCATGCTCGTGGGCGGAGAGTGCACTACGGGATGTTCAACGACACTGCCGCTACAGTGGAGATGGCGGGAGAGGGCGCCGTGAAGCGAACGAGTAAGGAAAGAGACTGACTGAATTTCCATGTTGTTGAGACTGCAATACAGTATCCAACTGCTGCAGAAGATATAAATGGCGAAATATTTGCAGTCTGCTTTAGGCATTTCAAGGGATCAATAGGATTTATGAGAAACCGCCCACAATTTCCATTCTCATTACAATTTAGCTCTGTATTAGCATCCTGCTAAAGGCCTGATGCATTACGAAAATAACAGCTGCACAAAGAGTGGCTTTAGAAATCTTAGAGCCACTGCCACACATCAATACTCAGGTGCCTCACCTGATTCCTATCGAGGCTCTCCGCGGCCTCTTGGGTGCCAAGAGATCTGTGTTTCTTTCACAAATTACACCCAAGAGAGGCTGCGGAGTCGCCGAGTCTCCGGGCTTAGTTGCCTGCCCTTCTTCTTCATACCAGAGGCACACCAGCGTCCCGTGCTGCAGCCTTTTTGTATTATCCCACCACGCCGCGCGCCTCTTTTGGTTCAAGTTCTGCACGGTTGGAATGTCATCGAACTCCACCTGCAAATCCAAAGGTTTTCTCATCTTAATCCCCAAACTATGCGCTCGATGTCATTGTGCCCGAGCCCCGCGTTCGCCATTCTCCAAGTCGTGCCGCCCTTGCGCGAGAACGCCAGAATCACTCAGAGATTCTGCATTTGTGTTTGCATGTTTCGATGCGATGCGGTGGTGTTCGCGGCAGATGGTGATCAAGGTGGCTCGGGGCAGTACCCCCCTCAGAAAGGCCGACACAAGCCAAAAAGTGGTGGGGTGGGGTGGGGGTGGGGGGTGTAAGGCGATCGGATAGCAAAGATCGCAAAATGAGTGTACAAAAACGAATATTGGCCATGTCAGACGCGTGGGTCCAGGCGGGGCGTTACCCGAAAGATTGGTGGACATCCGGTTCCCGAAGGGGGCAATCAGGAAACAAAATGGCAAAAAAAGTTATTCGCGGTGCACCAAACTGTCCTGAAATTCATGCATTTTGGCGGCTGGCATAGGGTGCACGAATCGAATGCGATGTTGTCTGATCGCCAAGGGGCCTGTCAATTGCGCTGATACGGTAGTCCAACAGGCACAGGGCTAGTGGATGCAACTTTCGATGGGCAATGAGTGCAATGGGTAATTTCCATTGTTCCAAAGCGTCCCGCCAAGGTTTCCACATGGCATGGAGCCGCCACTACAGCCAAATAGTAAAGAAATACCCACAGGTGGATCACAAACGCGTCGTGCGTCGAACGGCCATGGGTGTGCAGTTCCCACATATTTCGGAAAATGTACAATATAATGTGCGTTTCGGGGATTTAATCGGGTCCGTTTGACCGGATGTACCCTTTTTTTGCGTTGTACCTGTGTTCACTAATCATTGCCGCGAAAATGCTCGCGATCTACTTGGCACCTATACTGCTATGTATGGCGCATCTGAGCTTACCAGAAAATGGATTCCTGACCGGTGGTTTGAATCAATGCCTCTTGATCTGGCGTTCGTGTACACGTCCAAATCAACATGGTGAGAGCCTTTTCCGCCATCTCCTTCTACAGTCCGGTATATCTTCCTCAGATTCCTGCTCTTATTCTGCAACACAAGAAGGTGGGATTCTTCATGGCAAGCATGCACTCATGTTTAAATTTCGCATTTAATCTAACATTACATGAAATTGCACGTGAATTTTCACTTAACATGGAATACATCTGTGCGCAAGATGCAATTTGTAGCCCTTGATCAATCACAGCGACTCTAATCTGCTACGCAGACCCTGCATTTGCAGCTCAGTTAACCGGCGCCACGTCACGCCATTCACATGACGTAATATCGTAGTCTAGTGCACATTTGGTCGCATTGCGCTATAACTTATACCACACCATTGCCTTGCATTGCATCCCATTGAACTGATGAACTAGACTACGATTGCTGAACATAATCAACACACTAGATTCGCCTCTTGCGCTGTCTCTTCTCCTTATAGGCTTGTTTGCGATATATTGCTGGCGTCTGTGGCGGTCTTAAATACCTTTTTACGCGACTGGCATCAGTTCAGCTCAGCAGACATCAGTAATAACAGTTCTGTTGATCTTGACGTACACATGCGACACAATGGACCATGATCTCAGGATCTGATGTTACGCTACTGATTTTGTGTTTTATTTCGAATATCGAAGCATTAAATTTGCGGAACAGTTACTTCAACACTTTTGAAGCTATTTAATCCGATTTTTTCAGTGGAGCGAGATAAGAAAGAAATACTTGAAACGGCACACTACCAATGCACATTTAGTCTTGAGCCCTTCTGCGGCGCATGCGATCTGCTTCATTGAAATCAGACAGATGACATTAATTTATCACCTTGAAACCTTTGATGCCTCCGTTCCTTTCGAATGCTGAAATTGCGTATTGGACTTCAGCCACCATGTCGTGGCGCGTCAGACGGTAATGCATGTCGCGATGGGCCTCTCGCGGATTCGAGAAGAACCTCAGCCCTCCAGGCCTGCAGAAGCACATTCTTGCACTGTTTGTTTTCATTCATTAAGCATTGTGAGGTTTTACCACATAAACTATTTCAAGCAGATGTCAGCGGATGGAGAGGAGCGAGGAGATTCCAAATTTTGAGCTACCATGTCAGTCCCGACGTGTTCCGAAATTTCTGGAAGACGAGTTCCCGCATGACAGTGGTGCAAATTTTCGTATCAGCAGCGTAATTGGAATACCAGCCTACCAATTGCTCTAGCGTAAATTTTTGAGAATCATTTTGGATTTCCGAATACCGGTAGACGCGCCACGGTCCCTGGAGATTTTGATATTAATGCCAGCTCACTGCATTTCATGGGACAATAAGGTCTGCCGACATGGAGCCATGAATAATCGATTCCGAACATCCATCATCACCTACCAGGTGCACGGGCTGTGTTTTGTCATTTTGTGACAAATGCAATTCATGGATTTTGATGGTGATACTGGTAGACTGTCATGGATATTAGAATTTCAGCAACACTTCACAGCCACAATGTATTGGCACACTGTGCAGTACGTGCAGTATGCATATAACATGTTCTACGACGGTTGTTGGATTTGAATGATTCGCAACTTAATTCCGTTGTATTTCTACAGCATTGCATTCTAATCAGATCGTTGCTGCCGAGTAAGCCAAGCTAGGGATTTTATGAACTATTGTTTCCGATAACTTTTCTCATGTTTCGCTCCATAGCATTGCTGAAGCAATGGCGCATGCAACCGCCGCCAGATATTTCCAAACGAAATAAAGTCCGATGGGAGGCACGTTGCCTGAGGTCACAAAGGAGACGAAAATTTCGCGTTGCACGCCATCAAAAGTGGCAAGGGAATGGATTCCTGGGAGAAAACGTTGCGAATGCAGATAAACTTAATTTCATATTTTTACCTGATATCTTGACACATTAACATCAGCAATCTCCTGAACTTTGGAACTTAAAAATTCCATTTCATTTCATTTGGATCTGTTCTTTCAGTCTAACAATACATGCAAGAAGGCAATACTTGCAATTCAATGATCCCAGAAGCGTTGAAAGGGGAACCTGGCGCGACCCGAAACTGTTTTCACAATAATTGAAGAAGATTGATAGCCTTCACCTGTTTGCTGGAAGGTAGGGCTGTACACGACAGAGCACCTCTTCAGGAGTCGGGGCAACGATAATCTTTTCGATCTCCACGTGATCATTATCGTGTCTTGGTCCCTCTTTCCGCAGCTTCCCTGAGGCAATCAAAACAATGGGTTTTTTATACTACTAGAATATTCACTTTCTTTCCGTACGTATTGCTACTTCAAATCATTAGGGGAACTAATATATTTGCTAAGAATCATATCGTTTCCTGTGCATATACTTCTCTTGTTCAGTTCTGGATATATTCCGTGAATTTCTTTTCTTCTGTCAAACGAAATTGCCTGCCTGTTGGCAACACTCACAATATAGCTTTTCAGTTACACGCATTCAGGCGCAGTTTCGTCTTCTACAATTTTGTGCTGGAAATGCAGAAAATGAGCTGCCACATAGAGCTGATGCTCAACCTCATCAGAGTTCCTGGAAAGTAGACACCGAGAAAGCTGGAGTGTGCTAAGGACGAAATGCTGCTCAACGGCGTTGCAATGTCGTGGCTGACGCGTCACTGAGGCTGCCGGAGAAGACAGCCAAGTGGACAATGGCTGGAGGCAATGTGTCACATGGCCGCCCAGGCTTAATGCAAAATGGCTAAATATGGGCGTCAGTATGGAGATCCAACTCTCTTCACGTATCTGTGCTCCAAGAAACACCCTATGTTAGCATTAAACATGAAACCAATTCTATTTAAAGCCGCAGATCCGAAGCTCTAAATCTTATCATGGTGATGCAAGCAGCTCTATTCAATTGTGCTCCTAGCTCTGCTTTCCACTTTGAAAACTGTACCTGGGGGCTCGCCTATCTCTCCGGGATTTTTTGGAAACAATTTTCTAAATTCCGCCTCGTAATCTTCTTTGCGCTTCTGCAGCTGCAGTATCGCCTTCCCTCGATCGTATTGACCGATCTTGCTCTCCACCAGGCTGCATGAAAGAACGAACAACGCTATGCAAAACAAATGAAAATACAACAACGCAGCAGCGCCACGAGGTGTATCGATTTCGGCATTTTATCAGGATGTTGAAAACAGTGAAACGAAGTGTGTGTCACCCTCGTTTCGATTGCATTTTTCACATGACAAGCGAAAGCCGTTGATTGCACCGAGCTGGCGATGTCGTGCAAAGGTCCCATGCACATGTCTTTGTTTGAGTCCACAATGTTGGTTCAAGAACAGGGCCAGCAAGTCCAGCACGCCACTGGGAAGCCAAAGCAAAAAGATACAGCAAGAACGGAACCCAAGGGTCCAATCCGAACAAGCAATGCCGTGCATGCCGCAATGCTGTGCGCCGCTCACCACTGCGCATGAATGTTGATGAAATGGAAAATGATGAAGAATGATGAAACAACGGAAAGAAACTTCCCATGGGCGTTGCAAAGAAAACAAAGGATTCCCGCCCGGCAGCTCAACTCAAAGCTCCTAAATTAGATTACAAGGGAAGTTAGAGAGAAACGTTGCAATGCACATAGCGGATGCCGCTGCGAGATTCGACATGAATACAACTTACGTTAGTGCGATAGCATGTGTGTTCTAGATCTGTCGCGCAAACTGTACTTTGTCTTGTGATGAAAATGGCAATAGCGCATGTTGATCTGGGGTATCATGCGCCTTCAGGCGTGTTCGGATCAAAACTTGGCCTTGCAAAACAACAGGATAAATCCAAGCGATTTACACACCGTTTGGAATTTCCTTTGATATTTGCAAGGCTGTTCCTTATAACAGCCTGGAAAATTGTCTCACACGACAGCATGAGTATTTTCATGTAACAAATAATACCACTGGATAACAAATTTTGGCGAAGCCAACTGCGATGCTATTTGACACCAATTGGAGCCATCGCAGTCACTTTGGTGCCATCGAAAACACTGCGATGGTGCCAGCAAATGCCAAATTGGCATCACAGTGGGCATTGCCAAATCAGTGCTTTCTGCCAGTGAATGTATCTCACACTCGCCTGTCCACGTATTCCATTTGGCGTTCGGCCTCCTTGCACAATTCATTTCTCCCCTCGGAAGTTGAGAACTTGGACTCCAGATTCCTCAGTTGCTCCTGAATTTCTCGAACGCCCTTGGCAACTCTTTCTTCATCCTCATGGAATCGCTTCAGAATTTCATGGCAATACTTCGCGACGGGAAGCGCCACATCCTGCCATGAAGACGGCTCCCAGCATTTGGACTCCACATCCTGCAAAATACACCAGCCGAATAGCACTCAACAGCAGAACGGCTTGGAAGTCCAAAATCTAATTCGGGCGTGCAATTTTCGTCCGAACATGGCAGTTTCATGCATCTTTGCATTCGGTTGAGATACAATGACCAATGCAGAAGCATTCAAAACAGAACCGCAAAAAATGACGAGGTCCAATCCACATTAAACTTGCCGCATTTGGCCATCATTAACTACATCCAAATTAATCGTTGCACCATGGACATTAACATGTCCTCACATGTCTTCCAGTTTCGAACATGTATGTCTAGCATCTTGGTTTTCGACGCCAGTTGCCAAAAGTCGACATCTTTGCGCAAATCAGAAATGTAGAAAAGACGTTTCCCAGGATATTTGCACTTTCCTTATGATCGTTAATCCTTCTTCACTGCTGGAGAAGCACCAACTTCCACTGCAGGTTCTCATCTCCGTTTCTGTGTGTGTGTGTGTGTGTGTGTATCCAAACTTGTTATTTATGGGGTAAGTGAGGCTATTTTATGCATATTTACATGCACAATAGTTCTTATAGTTATGCTGTGTTGTGGGTGGTCGAGGGGGCAGCGGGCTAGTCATTGTTTACGACTTGACGTGTAATCTGAATGACTCAAGACGCCGCAAAAAGGCGTAAAGATGGCAAAAAATGGGCGTTTCTCTATTCACACACAATTGCGCGTGAAAGCGTAAACGCCAGAATGATGCCGTAATGTGCAGATAAAGAGTAGAGGAGATACAACGCCACGCGGCGTAGACGCTCATAGATCGGTCGATCGTGATTCCATCCCGCAGTACGGCGGGCCCTGCCTGAGTATTCACTATTATCCTGATACTGTAACAGTCTCGCAGTGTCTGCCACACATATTTTGCCTCACATTTCTCTTCTGACCGCTCGCAGTGGCCTTGATCGTCTCCGATATCGCAAGTTCCTTCACACCGGCCGCGATCCTTTCAAGGTTGAGACAATGCATGATGCACAGAAGGAAGGGGTTCGTGTACTGCATGAGGGTCCCCTTTGCAATGCCGTCGCAGCTGGCGAGCCGCAGCAGTGGGAGGACAATTAACCGGAAGGGAGCCTGTTGGGAAGCGGCACAAAGCGCCTCAGGGGCAGCACTGTGTAAAGGGGGACGATTCAACAAGAGGCGATTAGAAAACAAGGTTGCTGGATGAGCTGTGGGAAATGTCAAGGTTTCTGGGACGTATTGCACCGTTGCCCATCACGGTGTCCTGTCATGTAATTTATCGGGGTTCTTTCTTGATGGAATAGTTAAAATTTCAAGGAATCCTCTAATGGCGTGCCAATGATTTTCTTTTCGATGCAGCAAATATCTCCAAAAGACCATTTTAAAAAGACCATTTTAAGCACGTTCTGCTGCGAAAACAACAGTGTTATATGCAAATATAGTGGCAATTACTGGCATTACTGAGGTCAAAGACAAGCAGCATACAAATTGGAGATTCTCTAGCTACAGCGCATCAAGCAATTGCTGGCTAATATGCATCTGGAATGCACGCACATTGGATCTGGAAGACGCAACTGCCCACAGTCATGGTGAAATGAATCGACTATTTGCGCCAGATGAAATGACACTGCTTGCACGAAAGTATGGAATGCACACATGGTACCAGAAAGTTGGCTAGTTCAATACTCTGCTAGCGGGCCCTGATGGCAATAAATGGTAGCCTTTGAATTCCATTTGAATTGTTTGTTGCAACAACAAAATACAATCATCGGATTCCAGTTATGCTGTTTTCTGCTCATTCCATTTCGCCACGCACCTCCTTTTCCATGCAGATGTCTGCTACCCTCCCAATCCCATCGTAGGATGCATCCTTGCCCGCAAGAATTCGCAGGCACTCATTTCCAGATTTCGACTGGCAACAATCCCACGCTGCCTGCAGAAACATCCTCATTTCGTGCTCCGTTTTAAACTCACTCCGGGACAGTCGCCTGTGACGCAACATCATCTCTTGTTGAGATGGGACTTATGTGCAACGTTCCAAACAATAAATGTCTGTGGCACAGCAAGCCACAATTCCACGTTTGTAGATCATTGGACACAATGATAGTCGCTGTTAGGAGGCTGCAGAACAGGGCCAACGCAACATGCACGAGATATCCTGAAGGATTGTGCGACCTAAACTTGAGGAATCCTAAACTTGAGATGCCTGGGGACTGTGCGACCTGAACTTCTGCACCCACTTGAATGTACGCCACGCTTCTTCTGTTAGGTCTGCCCCCCTTGACGGGGCCGACCTGGCGTCCACCTCTTCGTGTGCCCCCTTCTCACGGGGCCTGCCTTGCCCGTCCGACGGATGATCATACCTGCAGCCCCGGTGCGCCCCAGTCCCGTATCTCACAACGTGCTCACTGGGCGGCGCACCCAAACTCCTGGTGTGCTCCGTCTCCGGCGGACGTTCTCCGCGCGATGAACTCTCCTGGTGGGCAGACACGCTGCCCTCTGCCGGTGGGTGATCGTACCGACATTGGAATCCGAATCTACGAGTATCGTGTCTCTGAAAGTCCCTACATGGCGACGTTGAACGCCGGCGGGCCGTCCCCCGCGACTCCCGATGTGCTCTCGAGGAACTCTCCTCGGGCACAGACAAGCTGGCCTCTCCCACCCTATGACCGTACCGACAGTCAGAGGCGTATCTCCAGGCTCCGTGTCTCGGAAAGTCCCTGCAGGCAGGTGCCCTTGAATCCCGAGCCCCCCCCGGCTGCCAAGTTTGGTCGCCCAAAGAGGAGCTTTGCTCAGAGCCGGACGCCCTGCCCCCTTTGGGCGGATGATCAAACTTGCAGCCGCGGCCGAATTGGCAAGTCCCGTGCGTCAAAAACTCCCAGCAAGGGGGCGCCCTGGAACTCCCGGGCCCCCCAGACTGCTGCGGACGGCCTTCCCACAAGGAGCTTCCCCCAGGTTCAGACAAGCGCCCCCGCCGCGGTCGATGTTCATGCTGGCACTCGGCTCCGCAACTGAAGGTCCCGGACCTCTGGAACTGCCTGCACACGGGCAACCCCGCACGCCCCGACTGATCTCGGTCCCTTGAACCTTCGCCGCGGCCGTCACGCCCGCGCCGGGCACCGCCGGCTGCCCTGCGCCGCTTTCGGGCCTCCTTCCGGGAATGCCGGCGATCCATTCCGCAGCTGCCACGACACGAAGACACAGGAGCGGCGTCGAGATGCCGCACATGGAATCCATTGACATTTCCCTTGGCCCGGCCTCCCTCTCCTCCCGCCCTCCCCCCTGCACCCTTTCTGGATCGAGGCCGCTCTGGACAAAAAGGCCGGTTTCGGCGATGATGCGTTTGGGAACACAAGTGCCGTTGTGCGTGCGGGGGAGTGGGATCGCGGCGACCTTGGGGGTGTGAGCTGGGCGAGGGAAGCCGGCCAATTGGCAAGGCGCAGGGCGGAGCAACGGGCAAGTCGCTGCGGCAGCCGTGTCCCGGCAAATGCAACCCCGAAACATCGGACCGTTCTAGAGACCTCCGACCGCGGCAAGGGCTGGCAACAGGCGTCGCGCCGACGAGGACCGTTCAAGCTGTGGGATGCGCGGGGGAATCTATTCAGCGGAGCGTGAGGGGCATTCGGATTGCGCCGCCAGGGAATGGAGCAATTTCGGAATACGACGGAAGGACGCCGGGGGGGAACGAGGAGCTCCGCCGTGGATCTCAGGTTCGCGCAAAACTGTGGATGGAGCTTTGTTCCAAAATCGAATCGACAGCCGCGCGCAGCTCCGGAGTGGGACGGGCGCAACCATTCAACGGGATCGGCGCGAGGACAGGCCGCGAGCTGCACAGCACATCTCGAAACGCGTCCTGGCACGGGGCCGGCCCTGCACCATCCCTCGTGTCAAGGGAACCGCCATCGCGGCGTCGGCATTTCCGACTCAGCACTTTGGGAACAGGCGACGGGTGTCCTTACCTGCGGCCTTCCTGCTCTTTCGGAGGGCGGCGAGGCTGGCACGGCTGCTCCTCCCATCAGCTTCGCGCTGGACACCCCGCATCCATAGGTGCTTAAGTGCCTGCCCGCGGCATGACAAAAGTGACGACTCTCGCGGCCACGTGAGCTTTCGTCCACCGGGATTGGTAAGGATTGAGGGAGACAGGTGTTATGCACAAGGGACAAACGCTTCGGTCAACCCCACCACAAGTTGAGTTGGCAGTGCTTTCCCCCCTTCCGACAGGTTACGACACTGCCGAATATCATTTGGCCAAATTGCCACTGAGCAGGCACGAACACTGTCGCGGCACCGAAAGATGCGCGGGGTGGAAAGGAAGAGAGGGGGAACTTGGGGTCAACCGCCCTGCTCGCGCGACAGGCAGCGGCTCATGAGCCGGGACATCACCGGATGCACTGAGCCATCACGGTGGCCGCAAAGCTGTACTCTACTGCGCTGAACCATACTCCACTAAGAAGGTCGCTCACGCGCCCAGAGCACAGCACGCCAGCAATGTAGGGCAGCCGTGCTGGGAAGCCAAAGACGCAGTACGATGTACGGTTAGTGCCTCACACCGGTGTGAGTCGGTTGTGTCTCACCAGTAGAAAACAGACTATTGGCGATGCCAATTGCGGTGCCATTTGACACAAATTGATGCCATCGCAGCCGCTTTTATGCCATCGCAATCACTGTGACGGCATCATTTTGTGTCAAAATGGCATCGCAGTTGGCATCACAAACATGCCGTTTTCTCCCAGTGTCTGTTGCGTCTGGTGTGTGTCTGTGTGTTGCGGGTCTAGCCGTTGTGGTCACTAAGGCCGCGGCGTCAACCCTTGCATGTGCAAATAACGTTATTTAATTTAAGGTTAACCTTACGCACATGAAAGTGCATCGGACCAACGGTCAATTGCAGGTGTTGTTAACCGCGACCTCCCCTGCCGAACAGCCGCCCAACGGCGCCAAAATATGTTGCGACGCCCGCGACCTGGCTGCAAACTCCGATCGGCGCCGGCGCTGCTACCAGCCTCGCTTCCTGCGTGCAGTTTTTCAGATTGCGAATGACCTCCTCGTTCTTCCACCAATATGCCATCTGATATCATGCCTGAACTCATTCGCATGCTTCGCTGAGGGCCCTGCCGCTGGTGGCCGCATGTGCAGCCTCCGATATCATTGCGAATGACCTCCTCGCTCTTCCACCAATATGCCATCTGATATCATGTCTGAACTCATTCGCATGCTTCGCTGAGGGCCCTGCCGCTGGTGGCCGCATGTGCAGCCTCCGATATCATCTTCACATCCTCGGGTAAGGACTCACTCCCCTTGCATTGCTCTGTCCCGGCTGCGCCTCCCGAAATGCTTCCCAGCGACTCCCCCTCATCGTGTCTCCCCTCGCCAGCGGCACCGCACCCCTTGCCCTGCTGATCCGCATCTATTAATGATTCTCCTGTGGAGTCGGCTGACATGCCGTTCCGATGAGCGGACCCTGTTGCAACATCGCTGGACTGTGCCAACATCTGGACGCACCCCGAAGTCCGATTGTCAGCTTGCGTGAAAACGCCGCCAGAGTCAGTGCCCTCCCCGCCAGTGGTGTTTCCGTGGAGGGAGATTCTGTTGCCTTCTACGATATTCTCTTCGCGTTCTCCAAGGGAATGTTTGCAGCATCGGAGCCACCGCAATTCCCGCTGCTGGCCTTCAGCGACTGAGAGCCACTGTCCATCTTCCAGTGTCTGCAGCAGCGTTTTGGGCGGTGGGGTGCATCCGCGACGGCGTGCAAATCACTAGGAAAAAAAGGGCCAAATAACACTTTTGCGAACACACATAAAACACATTTCATCAAAGCCCTGGACGCCGAGAACACAAAAATAACACAAACCCGTCAACTTTGTACATGTTTGAACACGTGTTATTTGGCCCTTTTTTCCCTAGTGAATTCTGCCTACGATACTAGCTCCGCATTCAATGCAATTCGATACTTGATTTGCGCGGTCGTGCACCGCTGTGATGCGCACATGACCGTTGCGGCAGTGGCACGCCTGACCGCGACAGCTCTCAGTGATGTTGAATCTGCAGTCAGCCTCAATGAGCTCCCACATTCTGTGAGCGTCGAGGGGCTGGTACGTGACCTCACTGATTTCGGTTTCCAGTTTGAGAATATGCTCAACCGGTTGGGTGAACACGCACCTGGACTTCTTGAGCGCATACAGGAGGCCTATCCCTGCAACTAGACAACAAGGAAAGATGATAGATAAGCACACAATTTTCAACCCATCCATGTTACGACTTCCAGTCTTCCATTGTCTTGAAATTGGCACGCTGCTTTCGAAACCGGGGAAAGTTGCAGCACCCAAAGGATCTGGTGAGCCCAACGGTTGGAATGGCACATCGCTAAGATCGACCGCCAGCGGACTCGCCGCATCTCGGCTGCACCCACCAAGAACTCAGTTGACCTGCCGCTGTGTTAGATCTGCTTAGGCCGCTGCGCTCCGTGGCCCTCTTTCGCCACACTGTTCTGCTGTGCCGCGTTCGGGCTCTCGACGAGGAGTTGCCTTCGGCGCCGCAATGGCAGAATGGCAGCCTCAAATTTTAGGGCGCAGGGGCGGCTTCCGTGTCCAAGGCGGACATCTTCGAAGCGCCTTATCTTCGCTTGACGTTCCACCTCCCCGGGTAGGGCACAGGTGACGATGATATGTTTCCGCAGCCGTGCGCGCTGTTCAGGGTCTGGGAGCTGTCATGCAGGTCCGCAAGACACATCTGCAGCCTCGTGGTCTTTGCGCAACCGCTGTATGTGGCGCCTGCCAGCAAATTCATGTTGGGTTGCGTAACCCTCATTGATTTCAGTTGGATGCAAGAGAACATGACAAATCACAACCCCATCGCATGTTGGACGATGCTGGACGTTCTGGTGCTCATCTGCAATTCTGAAATGGGCGTCGTCTCCTTGGGGGGCTGTCAAGTTTGGAACTGTCACAATCCAAGGGCTTGACGTGGCGCCAGTGGCAGCGGCAGTCGTAAAAACTTGTGCCACAAGGGGCTGGGGCATTGGCTAAGAATCCGCCATCTGTACAGAGTTGATCCCACGTGATCGCATGCGGCTCCTTGAAGAATTTCGACTTAACAGTCTGGGCGCCAGCAATAAGTTTAGGCTGTTCTGTCATTCAACAACGGCGAGTCCATTGGCAAAGGAATTAAACGCAACTTGAGTGATTTCGGTTTCTAGCTGAAGCATCCGACTGTCGCATTCAAGACGTTATGTGTATGAAGTTGTGCCTTGGGTTCCTGCGGGGGTGTGGGTGCGGTGCTTGTCACCTTTCGACAAACGCAGTCAATGGATTCACGTTAGGGCGCTTGTGGACTGTAATCGTAGTTGAATCGATCAATTAGACGCCGGCACAGCGACGCACCCGACTGGCATCCCCCGAAGTGGACGGGCAAAAACGGAAGATGTTGGGCGTTGCAGGTCGGTGGCGACAGTGTGTCCATCAGCCTCCCAAGTGTCCTAAACCACGTTTTTAGGTACATATGGTTGATTGTGTCCATTGCGTGTGCCCCACACCTACAGCGCCGCAGCAAGGTAACAGAGACCGTATATTGTGAGGAGTGAGAATACGATGCACGCCCATCCACAACGACGCTTTACTCGCGCAGCGTTGGGTCCCTGCGTTCCCCACGCAGACTCCTCCGGCCGGCGAGCATGGTGAACACGGCCGCAGCGCCCCAAGACGGGGCGGTCCTTGTGGACCTCGTGCGGTCCCTGGACCTCAGGAAGTCCGGCCAGGTGCAGGGCAAGACGCCGGGCGCCATCAGCTGCATGTGCTTCCATCCCTCCCAGCCCGTCCTCTGCGTCGTCGTCGCCCAGGAAGCCTTCTCCGCCCTCACCCTATACGATGTGGTGTCTGGCGGCAAGCTGGGAGGCGTGGAGGTCAGGGCCAGCATCCTGACGGTGAAATTCACTCCGGATGGCGCCCAGTTGGTTTTCGCGTGCCGCGACTGGAGCATCCAGCTGCTGCGGCCCACGGCGTCGTCCTGGCACAGGTCCCTGCTGCTCAGGAGGAAGGACGCCAAGCCGGCGGAGAACATAGTGATCGCCGTCGCTCGCGGTACCAAGCCCACGGTGTTCTTCGCGGCCGTGGGGCAGCAGAGGCTCACAGTGGTGTTCGGCGCGCGCCACGCCAGCAAGGGCAAGGACAACAAGCCGTTCGAGGTGTTCAAGCTGGAGAAGGCGGCCATCGTGGGGCTGGCCAGCCATCCGGTCGACCCGCACCAGGTGCTGTTGCTATCAATCCGGAAGTTCTGTGCGCACAGGCGAGAGGTTATCCGCGCACCGCCGATTTTCGCCTGTGAAATCGGCATCCGCTGAGGGTGCAATCAACAGCCCTGGCTTTCAAACGCGCAGTGATCTGGTGTGTTTGTGGTTCAGGTGCTGGTTCAGTTCGGCGACGGGGTGGTGGGGGGCTATCTGGTGGAACCCCAGGGTGTGAAGAGGCTGTACTACCTGGGAGATCCTCTGAACAAGGACGTGGCCTTGACCCACAGCACACTCCAAGTGGTGCCCCACCCGCATCTGCCGGGCTCGATCCTCATCTTGGCCGCCTCCACCGCGTGGGTGGGAATGTGGCAGGGTGTGGGCCGAGGCGAGGCACGCAAAGTGGATGCCTTTGCGCTGGGGGATCTCCACCAATTGGTGGGTCTGGGCCTGGACAAGGCATCGGGGCTGCTGCTGCTGATCGGAGAGAATCAGGGGCAGCAGCTGGAGACGTGGGCGGCGAAGGTGATGGGTGGCGCCTCCGGCGGAATGAGCCTCCTGCCAGTGCCCTCCCAGCTGATGCGGGCAGCACTGGACCCCTCCCTGGGATCGCTGCCTGTGGCTGCCCCTACCGGTCCCACTACTGGCACCAGCAGCTTGATGCTGGACCTCTGGGACGCTCCTCCGCGATGGACACAGGCAACCCAGAAGTCGATGGCCCCACCAAAGGTGCATGTGACAGAGATGCTGATCCATCCGGTGCTGGGATCCATAGCCTGCCGTTTGCCACCCCCCATGGTGCAGCGTGTGGGATACCAAGTGCCACTTTGGCGTGCGGTGGATGGCTCCCATCCCCAGTGGGGGTTCCCGGCAGCCATGTTGTCCCCACTACACACTTCCTTGCAGTTTTGGGCAGGCAACAAGCGCGATGCTGAGGGGGGTTATCTTGGGCTTCAATTTCCACCATACATGCATTTCTGCCAGGACAGCAGGATGATGTCGTACGGACTAACAACTGGGAAGGTCACAGACTTTGTGTCTTTTGCACAAGCAGCCGATGGGCATCCACCCACTGCAGAGTTCCAAGTCCACAGCGAAAGGCAGCAAATGTGGCTAGTGTTCCTTCGGCAGTTGGGCCAGTCAGCTTCTGATGCAGCAGAAAGCGGGAACCAGAACTGGCGCTTCACTCTTGTTCGAGAGAACGAAGTTTCTAAGGCGTCCAGTAAATGGAGCATGCCAGGAATATCAGGTGCCTTCATAGGTCCACAAGATGCCCACATCGCAATTCTGTCGCCCAAGCTGGATAGGGTACACATCTATGCGACGAAAGGAAAGTTTCCTGGTCAGGCTGCAAGGCTGAATTTGGATGTGCCAGCAATGGGACTCAGGTTCCCAGCTGTGTACCCTGGTCCCCCTACCACCCGCATTCCGCATTGGGACTCTCCAGAAGGATCTCAAAACCTCATGGATCGAGAGCCGACTGCAGAGGAGGGTGACGTTGACCAGGATGGATCATATGGGGTCATTCTGTGGGTGACAAAGAACCAAAACCTGGTGATGAAAAGGGCATGGGGTGTGAAGATCAGCCAAGCATTGTCTCGGGACATGGACACTGCGTCGGTTGCAGACACCGTGAACATGGCGACGTTGGGTGAGGGTGAGGTGGTAGTACAGGTCGCGTGGCAGAGGCTGGAGGACAACCTTAGCTCTGGCTACCCGAACTCTGCAGTGTGCGCGGTCCTCACTAATCGGCGGGTGATGATGTTCATGGCTGACGGCAGCCTGGTAGCATCTCACCCTGGAACCAAGTCGAGCCCTGCGGCCTGTGCACCTCCAGTGTCGTGCCTTTGGGTGGGCCCAGCCCTGCTATTTTCGACCATTGCTGGCCAGATAGTGCAGCTGATGTGGGATGGCAGCACTGCTCTCATCTGTGGGGCCCCGTCGCCAACAGGGATGGTCATTCTTGGCGGGGCATTGGCAGATAGACTGCTGCTTGTCACACGAGATGCCGACATGTGGGGTTGGAAGGTGATTGTACGATGGACATCGATGGCCCAGCCACTGCTGATGGGCTGGGCTACGCTGGCAGCCTCGGCTGTTGTGTCTGCCCCATGGGCCGATTCATACGCCATCCCGCATTTAAAGCTTGTTGTGGAGAACTTTGACACTTCGATCGTGGCGGTGCCTCTCGTGCGAACTTTGGTTAGGAGTGGTTTCCCTGCCATTGCACGTGTGATCGCAGACAGCTGGCCAACGCAGATGGAGAAGGTCAAGGTGGCATGCCGTGTGGCTGCTGGCGAGTGGGAGGCTGCAAAGAACAGCCTCCTCAACGAACACCAAAGGTCGGTCTACCACCCAGGTTCTCCACCAAAGGGGAGCGACCTGTGGCATCGGCTTGTCAGCACTGCACTGGGTGCTGTGAGCCAGGGCCACTGGGAGGATGCTGCCAAGCTGCTTGAAGCTGCTGGTGAATGGGAGCAGTCGCTTGCGTTCTCGGCCATGGCTCTGGATTCGGACCATATTGGGGGCACAGCTGCAGCTGCAAGGGAGAACACTGCACTGTCACAGGCTCGCAAAGAAGAGCTCTTCCAGTTGTCCCTCCGTCTCGGGGATGCATGCCGCCATTCTCAGGGCCCGTCACCACTGTCAAAGCTCGATGGCGCTGGGACCTTTGTGTCCAAGGGGCCCAAGGACTGGTCTCTGGCGGCCAAGGGCAGTGTGCCCTCTATGGAGGCCGTTGCAGACGGTCCTGGTGCAGGACAGGTGCCTGCATCTGATGTTGGGACAATAACCCCATTGCACCAGGATGACATGCGTGGGTATGTGCCAGGCGCCGATGCCAACGTAAGGATCCTCAGTGCTCAGGCTATTGAGAAGCAGGACATGGATTTGGCGGATGATGCGGCTTTTGCCGGGTCAGCACCTGACATTGTGCCAGAGACAGGGCCAGACAGTGACGATGATCGGAAGGGGGCGGCATCAGGGGCGGCATCGGTTGCAGCTGCCTTCAAAGATCAGCTGGATGATGACGACTTCTTCAGTTCGGACGAAGAAGACACGGACAGCTCTGTGGGAGGCCCTGCAGGCTCAGTGGCTTCGTCCTCATGGAGCCGGAAGTTCAAGATCGAGATCAAGGGGAAGGATGCAGGAGGCACTGCAGGAGGTGCCGATCAGCTGCGAGAGGCTGCCAAAAACCTGCGTATTGGTGGCCTGGGCCTTGGACCAAGCATGGCTGGTGCTGGTGGATTCCAGGCTGCACTGAAAGGCAGTCTCACACGACAGGACAGCATGTCGTCAGTGTCATCATCGGGCACATCTCGCGAGCCGCATGCTGCTGCACCATCTGGTGATGGAATGTTTGGTGACATGTCTTCGCTTGCCCCTGCCCCTGGGGCCCCAGGTCATGGCATCCGTGGCATCGGCACTTCAAAAGGTGGAAGTTCAGATTCGTTCCCCTCCTTTGCCACAAATTTCGGTGCAACTCCAGCACCAGCTGCACAACCAGTAATCCCCAAGGCAACTAGGCCTCAGAGCATCAGCGATGCAGATTTCTTTTCAGGATTGGGATTGCCAATGGGCACGGGCACGTCGGCAGCTGCGCCTTCAGTGCCTTCTGCCCCTCCGGCTGCCTTGGGCACCGGGGTTGGTGGGTCGGATCCGCTAGACTTTTTCGCTTCTTTTGCTCAACCAGCAGCTGAAGATGGAGAGGCCCTGTTCAAGAAGGGTATGGAGGCCATGGAATCTGGGAGGTGGGCTGATGCCGATGAAGCGCTGTCCAAGAGTCTGACAACCCCAGCTTCAGCATCCGGGCCAGGGTCTGCAAAGATCGTCCAGTATCTCGCAGCAGTAAAATTGATGAAGGGAAGGGATGGCGCACCACAGAGTCGCTCTGCTCGACTGCTTCGGTACGCTGCAGCTCTGAAAATCGACGAGAGGCACAAAGCAGCACTGGCACAGAGCGCCGTCACAGAGAACATGCAGATCGGCAATTATGGCTACGCGGCTGGCCTCCTTGACCAGCTGATCACTGCATCGGTGGGGTCTGCATCAACAGACTACATGTCCAGACTTCAGGGCCAGCTAAACGAATGCGACCGTAAGGGTGCAGGAAACCAAGACATTCCAAACGACGAGGATACAGCCATTTTCGCAGAGATCGTAGGTTCTGCAGGGAAGCCAGAGGAGGTCGAGAACATGGTGCAGCCGATGGTCGTGGGATGATTGGAGGGGTTGCCTGGCAGGGGCCGATTGGCGTCAAGACTCAAACTAATCTTTTGGCTTCAGGTTGTTGTGGAGAGTGGAGAGTTTCTACTTTTTTGCCGTCTGGCGCATTCCTTGTTTGTACTCTATTTAAGCCGCTGAATTGCTTTGGTCTCTGGACTGTTTCCTGCTTTTGCATGGTGCAGCGAGATGCGCATAACATCCTCGGTGATTTTTCTGTCGTTGTTCAGATGCAGTGCGTACCCAAGCGCTCTGTGGTACAGATTTTCTTCGCAAACGTGAATTCGAAGCTGCTATTGGTAATGTGATGTAGACAGTGCGCTGCAATCCACATTTGCGAGCTAATGATTATGACGACGAGGCATTCACAATCCAAGGTTGCTGCGCTCTTGGCACCTCTTGCAAAGTATTCTTTCAGAAAAGCAAGATGCATGTCAAAAAGCCTAGTGACGGCGATTGCCGCGAGGGAAGCGCGAAACGGCCTGCAACAACGGCGAGGACTTTTTCGCTAGTACCAGGTGTTTTTTCTTCCGACCAACCCCTCAGTGCCCCACCACGGAGGCCCAGCCCTGTTGGCTGACCGCCCATTCGGCGACTGAGCAGGGGCCCGCCCTGGCAGCACTTCCCCACGCGGCTCCTGCGGCTGTGCGCGACGCAACTCACGGGACGCCATGCTGAAGGCCAGCTAGAGCGTCGAAATGGTGGAGGCGCCGGCGGACACGCGCGCCAGCTGGCTGCAGGCGCGCGTGCTGTCGTCGTTGAAAGTCAAAGATGATGTGTTCCAGAGGATGCTGCAGGGGGAGGCCAGGTAGGTGGAGAGGGCGGGCGCCGCGTCTCCCTGCCGCGGGCGTGTTCCCCGGCACCAGTCTGGGGCCTCCTTGCGGGTCTGCCGGCTGTGGGGATGTCAGAGTCGTCGCAACGACGTCACCCACAGGCTGGGCTCCGTTCGCCGCGTTTTGGACTTCTGTGGCCCTCGAGTCTGTGACGTATCTGTTGAAATGGGTTCGAAGTAGGTGCTGATATTCGGCGTAGAAAAATGGATGCAAGAACCTGTTCTGGAGGAGGAGGAAAGCGGGGTTGTGCCAGTGAATCCCACCAAGCCTGCCTTTGAAACTGGGCTTCAATCCCTGTTTTTGTGCCCTCTCCCACTTGTCTCACCGCTGCGCCATGCCTAGTTGGACTGCCAGACAGGCAAGCCTGCTGCTCTTAGGGTGGGGAGTGGACGAAAGTCACCTTGCCTTTGGCAAAATGCTCAGGGAGGGGAGCATCCTAGAAATAGGACGGGGAGACGAGTGGACGTAATGGCGGTTTGGTGCGCTTGGCGTTCGTCTTCCACCCACCTTGCTGGTGAATTACGCCCACGTGTACTGAGCATTCAGTGCTTGTGTGTGTTCCTTTGCCCCTGTCAACTTGTTGGAGTGGTTTTGATCCTCTGGTTGCGCCTCTGTTCTTTGGCAGAATCTAAAAAGCACGATAGTAGCTACCAGCACCAACAGGCTCGAGAATGGAGTCCATCCATTTTGACTGTCAGGTTGCCAGATTCGAGGCAATTGCCAGTCAAGTCATTGTTCAGCGTCCTGGTGCAAGCCCTCACATTAATGTCACATTGACAGCTTGATTGTTGGCACATTGCAAGGCAGAAAAGGAGTGTGGGCTCTAGAGGACCTCAAGATGGGCCTTGTTTTGCATCCACATTGCTGCTATATCTTGGCAATTGTCCTCAGCAGTCCCTTCACAACTGCCACGTAACACGTTGCTTGTGAACGAAACTTGCTATGTTGGGTGGTACTTCTGAGGCTGTTGCTGGCTTTGGATTTTCAGCTGAATCAGGATATACCAAAGCAGGACAATGGCTGCCTTGGCCAAGATTGCACAAATGTTCTCGGGTAGTAGTTTTGGCATTCCATTCCATCAATCGTGCTAAAGTCAAAGTGCACTTGGAGGATGTTGGACACTCCATCTTGTAGCAACTTCCTATCCACAAGGCATTGCCTTATCCCTAATGAACCCCAGAACTGAAAAGTGCAATCCTCCTCCGTACAGGGCTGCAGTCATGGCATTCTTGGATGATCCAGCAACCAAGAGACTTCTTGTGGTGCCAGATGGCAAAGAACTCAAGGCGGTACTTGCAACGACAACGCCATGCTATTAAATAATATTTGCCATGTAGCTCCCCACTATTCCAGCCTTGCACCAGACCTGCACAAATGCCTACAGCCAAACCATGCACTCTTGGAGAGTTGTACTCTCACTTGCCCCAAATATTGTCCTTTTGACTACATTAACCAAAAATACAGAAGACAGCCGTTGGTGCACCAATTTCACCAATTCATAATTCTTGTATTGATCGAAGTTGACATTGCATATTATATTGACATTGCATATATTCCATTTTGCAACAATGAACACTGTGATCTTGCCAAATTTTTAATATTGGTGTGCAACTCTGCAAGAGCCTTCACTGATGAAATCTCTGCTGTGCTGCATGCGACATGCTTGATGGGCAACTTTGGAACACTGTTGAAAAGTTTCCTGTGTTTTGGATCTTCTGCCTGCTCTGCATCTGAAGGAAGGCTCATGGGTATCTATGTCATGGCTAATTACCTGTGGTTTGTGTTGTAGGTCAACGATCCGCCAGGAAAATATCGAAACAAAGCAATGTATTTTGTCAAGAAGAATGAAGTCAAATTGGAGAACACAACCATGGGTGAACAGGTACACACAGAGGCTTTCTCCTAGTAGGTTGCTGCTGGAGTTTGTAACTCAGCACAGCCATCGTCAAGACGTCATCTTCACAATATCCCTCATGCAGTATCTACTGATAGGACACACAACATAGCCAAAGCATGACAATGCGGTCTCAACTACCAAAGTCACAAACATCAAAACCGCTCACAGTGTGTGTGTGGGGGCCCTTACACCATTTGATTTTGATATCAAGTCCCTGTTCTTGCAGCTGACAGTGGCTTGGCAGAAGATCACAGCATCTGCCAGTGGTGATATGGTGCACCTGCATTGGTTACAGCCTGCTTTGTGTCGATTGGCTCCGCCAGGTCATGTGTGGTGATATTGGAGATGCCCCCCTGGAGCACCTCTCGGCAGTGGCACAGGACGTGTTCCTGCCGCTGCTAACTAACTCTCAAAACCAATGTGGATGGCCTGAAGTCGTCTCTAAAGAAGTGACGAAAAGCATGCACCAGTTTGTTGCAAATGGTAGGTCCTAGAAATGAAAGATTCACTACGAGAATGCACAAATACTCTTAATATTGTAGATTTGTTCTAATTTTGTTGCTCAGGAATGTATATCTCCTCCCAGGAATATGCAGAGAGGCTTCAGCGAATGCAGTGAGAGAGGTTGCATATTCTTGAGGGCAACTACGAATGTGACCATAGCTTTTGCATTTGGTTGAAACATAATATGCGAAATCATGACTCTCAACACGTCACTACAGGTGCTGCTCTACCAAATGTAGACCACCACCAGCACCCTGCTGATGTCCAGAGAACAAAAGAACTGGGCTGCCATGTTGTTAGATACGTTTGCAAGGTGGTATGTCAGTGACAGACTTGCCTGAATGGATGCCGAGGGTCGCAGTATGCTTTTGTGTCCAGTGCTGGTGCTGATTGGGCAGTCCAAAGGGCAGACTGTCCTGCCACTGCCACAGTCAGCTTTCCAGGAGGACAAAAGCATGAAACTGAAGGACAAAGTTCACATCCTTGAAAGCGCGGCAGTGACGTGGGCTCAGCAAATTAAGAATGTTCTAAATGCAGACCCCGAAGCTGCCCTCAAGGTAAGGCCATGCTGCAGATATGTCTGCCCCTTCAGTTAAGCAGGGCCGAATTTCTGGTTGTGCTGGTTAGCGTCTTGCAATGCTATCGGCCCTTTGTCACCGGACCAACCAAATGAGTTCAGAGATTGATGTGCATGGCCACGCTGTAGAATGTGTCTGTTGGTACCATGGATGGTACAGGTTCAGTTGCTTGCAGTGTGTTTGGCATGGTGGTGTGCCACTGTCAGCATGGACTTAAAGCACTGGACGGTTTCATAGCTCATTTGCCTGAGTTGTCTTCACTTTCAGATGTCCTGACTGGTATTCATACCGCTTATCTGCCTAGTTGTAATTTCCCGAGATCTTCACGTTACGGCTTCGAATTGATGGTCTTGTTGAGTTTGTTTACAGGCGGCAACATACTTTATTCCGGCCGCAAATCACAACTCACAGCATTATTTTATACCAGCTGCTGTTTGAGAAATGGAGGCCCGTCTTTGCCTTTCGTGCAGGAACCAGGCGCTTATCCTGGGCCCCTCGTGGAGCTTGACTTCTGGACCGAAAGGGCCGAAAACTTGAACTCCCTCCACAGGCAACTCACGAGCGACAAAATTCAAAAAGTCGTGAACTTTCTGGAAAAGGTGAAGTCCACGTACCACCCCGCCTTCAAGCGGCTGATAGATGAGCTGGAATTGGCGCAGCAGGAGGCCGGTGACAACGTCAAGTTCCTGTCGCCCCTTCGTGCAAATTTGGACAAGTTAAATTTGATGGACGACTTCCCGGGTCTGGCTGACTTGTTCAAGCCACTGATGCACATGATCATGCTCATTTGGAAGCATTCAAAATATTACAACAAGGCTGCCAGAGTGGTGACACTGATGAGGGAGATTTGCAACGACCTCATCATGCAGGTGCGCCAGGCAACCAACATCGACCTGCCCAATCCACCTGCAGTGTTTTGTCCACCTCAGTCTCTTGTATTGCAATGCTTGCTGTGGCTTCAACACTGTGCTTGGTTGCCCAGCAATTTGCTTAGTTGGAGGAGTGCCAAATTGACAATTGAGACTGCCATGGTCAAGCCCACACCCAAAGCGATTTATGCTCTAATTCATAAATACTCACGGCAATTAAGTTTGCGATGACTCAGTGAATTTTAGCTAAGTGATTTGAACTGTAAATTGTGGCAACTAGTTCATACACGGATTTGTTTGAACTGAAACCTCCAAGTACTTTGGGGCATTGTGGCAACGGTAGATTCGCTTTTCTCGAAAACCCTGTGTCCCACGCAGATGCCTTTTTTTCTGGATGCAGGCTCGGAAGTTCCTTCCAGGAGAGGAACTGATTCAAATGGAGCCAAACGAGGCCATCGAAAAACTACGACTGATGCTTAAGGTTCTTGGGACTTTCAAGTCGCACTACTTTGACTACAAAGTAAGTGCCGCATTCCTTCCAATTGCATTTCTTATTTTCCCTTGATTTGGTTGGAGCAAGAATGTGCGGCAAACAGGATATCTGCTCTGAAATGCACAAACGAATGCCCAAGCATTTTTTGGCTGTTTCTGCTTTCGAGCTGAGAAAAATCCCACTTGATGGGGTGAAAGGGTGAATCAACGGTTGGTGTTCTCTGCAGGCTCGAACGTCAACAGAGACGCCTGAAAACCCTTGGAAGTTTCAGAACAGTGCCTTGTTCTCAAGGCTGGATGCCTTTTTAGAGCGTTGCCATGACATGCTGGATGTGCAGTCCACGTGCCTTCAGGTGTGCGTGTGGGCTTGTTTGTACCATAACCTAAATTATGCTTGGGTGATTGACGTGCACCATCTCCATGCAAGAACCGAGGACCAGTGTCGAAAAGTTGCCAGTGAATGCGCAGCCCAATGGAACACTTGTACATGTGTGCGGCATAGAGGAGTGGCGAATTTTGCATGCTCCCCGTTTGTTCGAAAAGAGTGGCGAGATCGGGGCACGCAAAATTTTTGCTGGTGACGGTGCTGTCTTCTGCATCTTTTTTTGTTTATGTTTAGCGATGCGCGCGCATTCAAGCTCTTCAGACTGATTATGTTTGAGTAGCATTGGTTTATGCTGTGGGAATTGCTGATGACGCCCTGTTGGCCTCTGTCTAGTTTGGGAAACTGGAGCGTGTGGAGATTGGAGGAACCAAAGGGAGAATTCTGACGGCCGGAGTGAAGCAGATTCACGCAGACTTCCTTGTGGCTGTCGAGAAATTCCAAGGAGTGCAATACGATGTTTTGGATGTCGACGAAAAGCAGTTCGCCAAGGACTTCTATCAGTTCAGATCATCCATCAAGGAGCTTGAGCGCCGCCTTGGGGCTATTATCCTGCAGGTCGATTTTTAGAAATGGGGAAGCACACTGCATTGTCTGACAGTGGTCCGCCTAGTGAATTATGCACGCCGTGTGTTGTGCACTTGCAGGGAGTGCTCAGCACATGATGTATTCAAATCCAGATAGGTGCTGAGCCATCGCAACACGCCCGTCCAGTTGACGGGCTGCAGTGAAACGCAAACCGTTTGACCGTATTTGCAGTGCAGATCCACGGAGACATCGCAATACCGCCGTCGTTTGCAAATGGGAGGGTGCGCAGCACAGTCAATATTGCTGGTACCACAGCATCTTGGCAAGACACATAATCGCAATGCTGCAATGCACATTTTGTATTTTGTAAACCACTTGACAACGAAATTGGTTTCTGGCAATCGCGCGATTCCCTGCTCTGATTTCCCAGGCCTTCGATGAAAGTTGCACAGTCAGCGCCACTTTCAAGCTGCTGGAGAGTTTTGAGGGCCTGCTGGAGCGCGAATCCATTGCCTGCACTCTGGAAAAGAAAAACGTGGAGCTGCTGCTGGGCTTTGGCAGAGATCTTGAAGAGGCAAGCTCTTGACAGCATTGCTGGTGGTGCCATCCGCCGCTTCTGTCAGTGATTTGTTTAATATTGTCCACTCCCATGTTGAAGTGCATCAAGAGTGTGAAGTGAATAAATAACTATACAATGTAAATGTATACTTTGGTACACATATGCTTTTCTGTAAATTTTGCTTTGCTCATTTGTCGACTAATCCACTTCTTCAGTTTTTCATCTATTCACCACCTCAAGATAGCCGGTACTCAACCGAGATACGCAGTTTTCTAGATTCACGATTTGCTTCTCACCTCTTGGCCAAGAGTGCATCGATGCTGCCTGCGCGTGCACTTGCACCTGACAGGTCACACACAGTTGGCTTTGTGCTCCAACCGCTGAGCAATTTTATGCTCTGTCCAGGTCAGCGATATATTCTATCGCAATAATCGTGCCCCTCCTGTGAACAAGAACGCCGCTCCCAAATCGGGCGCCGTTGCTTGGGTGCGAGGCCTGGTGGAGAGGGTGGAGGAGCCAATGGCGAAGCTCAGGAACATGAACAAGGTGCACCTCGCAGGCAGACGCACAATTGATGGAGAATGGGCCGATTAGGATCCAGACAAGTGTGGACGAGTTGCTGAAGAGTGGCTGTTGCCCGCATTGTTCAAAAGCGTCTGACGACTCTGCGATGAGTGCTTTGCTGCATGCATTGCAGAATGCAGCTGGACTTTCCATTTTGGCGAAATAGAGCCATTGAAAAGAAAGAAATTGTAGAGCAGCCCTTATGGACTAGGAAACCCTGCCTGCAGGACAAGCTGCAAAAAGCAATGTGGCTGTGAGTCTCCCGCCGTTTTGCATCCTGCCGGTTGACAACCGTTGGAGTTTTGTTATTCCAGGCGGTTCTTGACACGGAAGAGGCCAAGCAAATTCAAAAATCATACAGCTCGCTCATGGCGGCAATGGCGGACTACGAACGAGTCAACACAGAGGATTGGTGCAAACAGGTGAGTTCAACGATATGTGTGCTTGAATTCCCAATGTGCCATCCCAATGCACTGGCAAAAGCTTGCTATGTCTCAGCCTTTCGTTGCGCGGCTATGGAGCCCAGTGTTTCCCGTTGATTTCCTCAGTTGAGTAGTGAGCTCCAAATGGAATCATTGCTGGTATCTGGAATCATGCTGGTTTGGTCTGCGGTTGTTCAGGTGACATCAACATCTGCTGAAAAGCTCAACCAGCCTCTGCTGCAATTTGAGGACACGGAAATTGGCCAGAAGCTGGGACTCTTAGCTGTGAATTTCGATCCGGATTTGGTCCGTCTGCTCAGGGAGACAAAGTACTTCTTGCTGCTGAAAGTTTCGTCCATCCCTGAATCTGCCTTGAAGATATTTGAACAGGTGGGTGCTGACAGTAGTGCCAGAGCCGCCTGGCAAAAACCATGGTTCTTTTCGTGGAATATTTGAGACCATTTCTGGCACTGCACAATTGCAGTTAATGATAGACAGGGACAGCGCCCAGGTTCAATGTCTCCAATTAGAAAACAGAGTGCGATTCGAATCTAAATGTTGTAATGATGTAGGATTTGGGGGGCCAACGCGTCTGTACAAACGATCTCTTGCTCTAAATGCAGGGAGACATATTTAGACAGCAAATTGGGAATTTGGACTTGATTGTTGGCATTCATAACAAGATCCAGAAGACACTATTGCCTGTGGAGAAGCCGCTGATTCAAACCAAGCTGGATGCGGTGGATGCGGCTCTGAAGAAGGGCCTGCAGATATTGACATGGAACTCCCCTAACATTGATGATTACATTCATGAGGTAGGTATTGTATATGCGGGCTGACTGCACCAAGGTTCCGGTGCCTTTGGGGCGATGCTCGCAGATAACATGAGAGCTTGCAACTCTCAAAATCTGCAGAGCGAGTACTTACGAGACGCTGCTCAATGCTACATTTTGTGATTGAGACCGTCGAATTGGAATTAGCGGCAAAACTCAACACCTCAGCCGATTGGAGCTGCAGCCGTTTCTGCAGTGTTTCGTGCAGTGTGGCCCTGTGAGTGCGCTGCCTTCGAACGCAAGACATGTGTGGTATTGTCTACTCATCAAATGGCGTGTAGCCATGGGGTGTGTTTGAAGGACCCCAAATGCGACGTGGAGGATGAGCAAGCGCTTGGTGCCGAGCATGTGCAGTGGCTGACTAGCGATGCATTAATGAAATCCATATTTGATGGTGAATCATGGACTCTGGCTAATATTTGTTCAATGGCTAACTGAACAGCTCAACTGCATCTTGCAAATTTACCTTGCGTTTGCATCTGCTTCTGAAAATTGTGCCATGTGACATGTTTTCCCGATAGGTGATGGAGCTTGTGAAGGAGGTGGAGAGCATGCTGAGCACAATAAAAGACAATGTGAAGGAGACTAAGCAAATACTCAAGACCTGGGAAACCAACCTCATGTTCGACCGAAAGGAAGGGCGTGTGTACACCTTCGAAGAGCTCAAAGATTCCTGCAAACAGCTCATTCAGCAACGCAATTCGCAGATACAGGAAGACGGCAAAAAAATCATCAAACTGCTGTCCAACTCGAATCGCACGCTCAAGGTGGGGAAGGCGTCCCCGAGCTGGAAGGCGTACGTGAATTTCGTTAGTGAAATTGTGATCGACGGATTTGCGGCGGCGATTATTGCTACGGTGCGATACCTTCGCGACCAAATCGACCCCGACCTCATGGCCAAGAATGAAACGTCGCCGCTTCTGGAAATCAAGCTCGAGCTGGTGGCGCCGGACATTCTGTGGCAGCCAGACTTGGGCGATGACGGGGTCCGGAGGATGTTCAACACGTGGCTGAACGGATTCATGAGCATCGGGACACTGATGAAGAGGCTGGACATTGGCGAAGGTGAGTCATATGCCTATCTGTCGTAAACGGGTCGAGTAAAGGGATGGATTTAGCGATGAACGTCTTTGGAGCTTAGCTGGAACCGTGCCCGCCACTGGCTTGGCGGTGCGATGCTCTGGCTCGCTGCTTTTCGGCAGAGATAATCAAAGCGACGGCAAAATGGGGGGGGGGGGGCATGGTGAGTTAGCAACTGTCGGCCCTGTTCATGCAGGAACCTATCTTAAGGAACTCGAGGAAGATTACGAGGTGTACAATGAAATGAGCTGCGTGCACGAGATCGTCCTTGCCAACGAGGCCAAATGCAACGACTTCAAGGAGCACTACGTTAAATACAGCTATCTGTGGACGAAGGATCTTCCAACGGCTCTCAAGGTTGGAACCAAGGCACTCAAACTGGTTTCTTTGGCACATAACACAATGCAGTGCAGTATTGCTGTTTTTTGTTTTGTCATATTGGTCATATTGATTAATTTGTATTTTGGATTGTTTGTTTACACGCAGTTTAATTGTTCATTTGTCTATATTTGTCTGCATGTATTCGTTCGTTTGGCTTCAGAAGTTACAACCAATTTCTGCTATCCATCTAATTCTTTGGCATCCAGCATTCTCTATCTGCCTGCGTTTTGCAAATTTAACTGAGATGATGGTATGAACAACCAATTGGGACAAAGCACTTGCCTGAATTGTACGTATTGCGTCAGCACGGGTGTTTGCTATTACTCAGTGTGAAGTGGCAATGAGATTACTGCAGAATTCAAATATTTGTTTGTGTTCCAAGGAGAGTGTCTTCCATTTGCGCCTTTGAGTCATATAGCTGTGTTGCCTTAGGAATTTGTGGAGGAGGAGGGCGAGCAGTTGGAAGACGGCACCAAAGACGATCCTCCCTTGGCAAAATTTGAAGAGCAGATTGCCAAGTACAAGGGAATCGAAAAGGAAATACAGGCTCTCCCCACAAATTCCAATTTAGGATGGATAAAGGTAAAGTCCATACCAATTTTTGGTCAACTCTGTGGCAGCTTCATCCATTGCAGTGTCTGCAGTGGCGAATTACTCACACGTTGCCAGTGTTTGCGGGGAATCTGCAGAGCCGTCTGGAGTGGTGATCCATCAATGCCCATTCGACTTTCTTTTGGTGGTCACTCTGTTATTACATATTTCGTGTTGGCCAGGTGGATGCAAAGCCGCTAAAACAAGCTCTTAGCACGTGGGCTTCCAAATGGGTCTACTTGTACACACACTACCTGCAGGACAAAGTTGTAAACAGCATGGGAGACTTATACCAATTCATGAACACGACGAATTCCACCCTGGATATCAAGGTAGGCAAGGAAGGAAGGAAATTTTGGGGTACCAAAAATAGCATTCAGGATTAGTTCACCACCTGTCGTCACTGAGCTGTCAGCACAAGGCTTGTCTTTGAATGAAAGATGAATCGAACGTCAAAGTGCCATTGCGACAGGGAACGATTTTGCCACTGTCACTGTGGACTTGGAGCTAACAAACGAGTTTTCATCATGGGTGTCACCTCTGCAGCCATTAAGACAAAGACAGTGAATGGGAGAGTGATCGACTGATGGATGAGTAGATGCATAGACGGGGGTGCATAATTTCCACATTTATCGCCATATTGGTTCTTTGCGAGACATTGCCTAGCAAAGTGCTGTCAGTGAGCCTTGCTCATTGGACCACCTTGGGATCCTAAACGTTTGGTCCACATCAGGTTGGCAAGGAGGAACAAGCGGAAGAAGAGGAAGAGGGCCATGAGGAGCCACCAGTGGTGGAAGACGATCCTGAAACTGCCGCAGAGGCGAAGAAAGCCCGCGAGGAAGAAACCCGGCGCACACTGTATGGCATCATGTCTTGTATGAGAGACATTCGGAAGCGGACGGATCGCACAGACACGATGTTCGAACCACTGAAAGACACAGTCGCTGCCCTCCAGAACTTTGGAATCAATCTTGGTGATCAGGTGGGCCTGCATGCACAGGAAATCGGCCGACCCTCAATCAAAGGCCATGAGCAGTTTGCAGGAACTGCAAAGTGGATGGTTGCCTGAGGGGGGGCTCTGCTCCTGCCTCGGTCCCATGGCACACTGGCTCCTGACAGGATTGGTGCACCTGTGGTGCTTGCAGGTGTTAAAGCAGCTGGAGGAATCCCCTTTGGCATGGAAAGCGCTCAAGAAGAAGATGTTCCAGCGCCGCGAGCAGCTGGCACCCTTGCAGCAGGCAGAGGCCATTGAGGTCCGACGCCGCAGCGATGCCTTCGCTGAAAAGGTGAATCGAGATCCAAAGCGGTGGAAACGAAACAGGCACTTGTGTGAGTCGTTGGAATATGTGCATGATAGAAGAAAGGCCTTGCTGGGACTAACTCTTCAGGCTTTGGGTTCCAGGCATACCGAATATCCTGCTTTCTCAGCGAGGATGTAGGGTCTCAGTTTTGTAGCCTTGCGTTGTTCTCAAGTGCATGGAATGCCTATCCCCAACATGTGCTCCACCTGGTGGAGCCTGGTCCAGGCGGTGATGTTGAAAAGCATGCGTATTGGTACATTGCTGTCATGGAAAGCAGCCATACCTGGTGGAGCCTGGTCCAGGCGGTGATGTTGAAAAGCATGCGTATTGGTACATTGCTGTCATGGAAAGCAGCCATACATGGCCACACGCCCCGGTGTTTGTACGCAACCAAATTCAATAAACTCAAGAACTGAAAACATTCAATACACATTGCTGTTTTGCCCTGCACAGGTTGAGGATTTCCGAAAGTTTTTCATGAAGACTGCGCCATTTTTTGTGAACGATGAAGAAATCAAACTGGAACATGTGGCACCTGCGTATAAGATATTAGACCAATTTCACCATGGGTCCGTCCAAAAGACGCTCGAGGATGGCTCAGTGGTGATGTATGAGTCTGTGTCTGCAATCCGGGCAGAATCCAAGCAGCTACAGGAGTTTCAGGATCTCTTTGAGTTGTGAGTAACCATTTGTTGTCAAATTGGGATGCCAACACTAAGCTTGCTCTTTTGACTTGCCGCTGCTAATGCCAATGCCGCTGCTCCTGGACACATTGCTGCTTGCGTTGTGCGGCGTTTATGGCAGTGCATGTTCAGTGGGGCTTTTTCAAATGACATCTACTTGTTTCTACACCGGCGGCAGTGCAGTATACACGTTAACAGTCAGGTACCCTAATCAGCCCTGCTCATCTAGGCTTTGCCGTCATGCAGTTCGTTGTTTCGGCTTGACATTCTGGGCAGTTTCCGTATGTTGTTGTCTCCATGATTGCAGCAATCATACATTGGTTGAGAGTGCTATATGAATATTTGCTCGTATGTCTTGGCATCACGTCAATACTGTAGTCTACTGTGCACCTTGTGTTCAGCAGCAACACGGGAATCCCCACGCCCCTCGTATCAATGAGCTTACATTGGCACATGCTATGTTTGCTCTTCAGATACGTTTCGGATTACATAATGTTGCAGCGATGCGGTGAGGAGCTCCAGCACCTGAAAGCATTGTGGGACACGGTGGGGACCATCATGTTCACTTTCAGCGACTGGTACAAAACACCCTGGGACAAAATCGATGTGGAGTTCTTGGTGGAAGAAACCAAGAAGCTGGCAAAAGAAGTGAAGCTTCTGAACAAGGCGGTCAGAAACTATGATGTATTTCGAATGCTGGAGGAAGCCTTGAAGGCTATGCTCACCTCTCTGCCGCTGGTCCAGGTGCGGAGAACAGGCACACGTGTTTAGCGGTTCCTTGTGTGCTGTATTGTTCGTCTCTTCTGTCACTCTTTGGATTGCTGGTACTGGTCCACTTGAGACAAGCAATATAGATGCTGCGGTGCTGTAAACGTTGACAGCTTGGCTTGCAGTCTCTGCCGGTTGATGGGCTTGTCGGCTGTGGGAACACTGCAGTATGAATACAATGTTGGAAAAGGTCACAAAAGAAGATACAAGTGAAGATCGAAACCTGGGCAGCCCTGCGTCACAGTCAGTTGTGATTGTCTGATCAAGCCTTTCAAGTTCTTTCGTGTCAGTCAATGCTGAAGACGACTGCGATGATGTGGTGTCATGCAAGCATTGTGTCAGGCGCAATTTCCAGACTTCTGCTGCCAGTGCCTGTTGGACTTTGGAATCGCAAGAGCGGCAATCCCACCGTGTGTGTTGCCTACACTGATCCTGGCTGCTTGCAACCCAGGACCTTCATCACCCAGCGATGAGGGACCGCCACTGGAAGCAGCTTATGCAGGCCACTGGCAAACAGTTTGTGATGGACGAGAAATTCTGCCTTGGTGACCTCATTGCTCTGGAGCTCCACAACTTTGTAGATGCCTGCTCTGAGATTGTGGACCGAGCACAGAAGGAGCTCATCATAGAGAAAGCTCTCAAGAAAATTGACGAGACGTGGGCGGGACTGAAGCTAGAGTTTCCTCCCTATCAGGACACGGAAATCGTGCAGCTCCAGGTGCCAGCCTTTCATACTCACCAAGTTTGGTGCATGAGTGGGAATACAGTGTGGAGTGACTATCAGTTCTTGTAGGCGTGGAGGCATGTTATGCCGACGTCACGTTGAGCTGGAGCATTCAATTTTGGCAGTGTTGGTGCTCCAGGCAGTTGTGGCAGACCTCTTCCTTACCTCACGCTGATTGTGGCTGTACGGCAATAGCGATGGCTGTGCAGAAACTGTTGCCGACGGGATGCATGCTGAAAAGTGTACAAACCGACTGCTGAGAGTGGCAGCTAGCTGGATTTCAAGTCACCTGTCCCCTCTGCAGGTGGATGACGCCATTACTGAAGCACTGGAAACCGACAATCTGGCACTTCAGAACATGTCGGGTGGAAAGTATGTACAAGGAAATCCCAAATTTCTGGAGATGGTCACAAATTGGCAAAAGAAACTGGGCACTGTGGATGTGGTGCTGTCGACCTGGCAGGATGTGCAGAAGAAATGGCAGGCCCTTGAATCCATTTTTGTGGGTTCTGCCGACATTCGGGTCCAGCTGCCTGAGGATTCCAAACGGTTTGATGGCGTGAACGCGGACTTCCAAGATCTGATGAGGGGAGCCGCAGATATCACGAACACGGTGGAAGCCTGCAACTTGGAGGGTCGCCAGGTGGGTCTGCCATCCTGTGCACCAAGCATAATAATGTGGACCACAATCTTGTTGCAAAATTGCGACCCGCATGTGGTAGTATGGAAGGGCATATCTTCAATCGTTGATATTCTTTCAGTTATTGTAGTTGGCATTGTTTCTGTTGTTTTGCGCACGTGTTTTTGCATTGTTGTTTTACCACATGTTGACAGAAAAGCACCTACGTTCTGTGTCTAGGAACGCCTGGATGGCATGTTGGAGCAGCTGGAAATGTGCGAAAAGGCGCTCCAGGACTATTTGGAAACCAAGAGAATTGCGTTTCCACGGTTCTACTTTGTGGCGCCTGCTGACCTGCTGGACATTCTGTCGAAGGGCAGCAACCCTCAGCTGATCATCCGTCATCTGCCAAAGAACTTTGACAATGTGCACAATTTGGAATTCAAGAAAGACGAGGCCGGAGATCCCACCAAAGTAAGTCAATGATCTAACCCGGATCGTGGCGTTCAGCTGGGCGCATGCCTGTGGGACTGAGATATATAACCAACAATCAGAAACCCAGGTACTGATTTGTGTCTTAATTGGTTGAAGCAGGAGGGTGCGATTTACCTCCACGAATGATTTTTGGGCGAAATACGCAAACCCATGAGAGACATGTTCTTGTGAGGTTCGTACTATGTGCTTGTTTTAGAAGGTATTTGCAGTGCGCCGGACATCACAGGCTACAGCAAGCTCCAGATCCAACAACAGGCTACCGAATTGCCTTCGAACCGTGAGAAATGCAGCTCCAGTTGCAACCATGTCCATTGGGATGGGTGTAGAAAGTGTCAGTGCCTGACTTGTCTTTAATGCGATGGCCATGATTCACAGATCGCGATTGGTATGTATTCTGGAGAGAAGGAGTTTGTAAAATTTGACGGCGACTGCGTTTGCGACGGTCCAGTGGAGACCTGGCTCCAAACTGTCGTGGACTCGATGAAGGCAGCCCTAATTGCAGAATTCAAAGCTGCAATCCCTCCGTACGATGAAATGCCGAGGACAAAGTGGCTGTTCAACTGGTCAGCTCAAAACACCATTGTCGTGACTCGCACGTTCTTCACACAGGTATGTGAATGCATCAGAGCATAGCCGGAAGATATGCCACCGCTGAGAGTTGTACATCTCATGCCGCCTGGAACATCTTTCTTGAGTAGTGCCCTGTCCTATTTCCCCAAGCTGTGGGGATCGACGACTCCCATTCCTAAGTATTGTTTCTTGAGCTTTGGAGAATTACGGCATGGCGCTCGCTCAACTCGAGAGTCCGTTGTGTAATGACATGTGTCGCGCTGTGCCAATGAAGGAAGTGAACGAGGCTTTTGACGAGCTTGAAGAAGGGAATGAAGACGCCCTGAAAGCCGAGTGGGATAAGCAGGTGTCGCAGCTGGCTGATTTGATCGTCCTGATCAATGGAGAGCTCACTGGTCTGGAGAGAAAGAAGTTGATCACTTTATGTACTATTGATGTGCATGCTCGTGATGTGGTCCAACGGCTCATCGACGAGAGAGTCGAAGACGGGACCTGCTTTCAATGGCAGTCTCAGCTGCGATACTTCCAGAATGAGAAAACTAAGACCTGTCAGGTGGGAATTCCGTACCTACCTGCGGCTGTCTTGATTCAGCACTGGGCTAGAATAGCTGATATTGGCATATTCTGTCCTCGTGAAAAAACTGGGCTTGCGGACGCGGGGTTAACGGAGGTGTCGTGAGTGCAAATTAAATTTCAAAAATTACCAATCTAGAAGTCGCTAAAACCTACTTCTAAATGCCCTCTACACGCCCGCTTCCAGCTTAGATCTCTTGTGCGTATTGCCACAGAGTTGACTACTTAAAGTGCTGGTGTTGGGATTTTAACGGCGGATTAAATAAAGGCCCACTTGCGCACTTGCTGTGCGGCGCAGGTGAACATTTGTGACGCAGAAATCATGTACAACTACGAGTACATTGGCAATTGCGGCTGTCTTTGCATTACCCCATTGACGGATCGATGTTACATCACCCTGACGCAAGCGCAGAGGCTTGTCCTTGGTGGAGCTCCTGCAGGACCCGCGGGCACGGGCAAGACTGAAACCACCAAGGTAGGCATGCCCTGACTGGTGCTTGGGCAACGAAATCGCCGGGGCAAAATTACCTATTTCAGGCATTCTGCATTGTAAGAAATTCATACTGAGGATGCAAATTCGAAAAGTTCACATCTGCTTTCAAATCTGTCATTCTTATTTTGAATTTAGCAGCACATTGGGATGCACAGGTGCCACCTCCATTCACTGCAAAAATGATGGACATGTTCATTATATAAGGCGATCTGCATTGTGGACGGTGAATGTATTTGTTACGTAACAAAATCTCATCTGTTGTCATTGTGAAGTAGATTGAACATTTTCATGTGCCTGGTTGGGAAGCTTGCTGGAAGCATATCTCAACCTGGATCCTAATGCACCAGATGCCAAAACCACAATCTCGTTGATCAATTGTCTCAGCAGCACCAATGTTGTCTCTTTGTGCAGGATCTCGCTCGCGCCCTTGGCATCCAGTGTTATGTTTTCAATTGTTCCGATCAAATGGACTACAAGGCAATGGGTCAGATCTACAAAGGGCTGGCCCAAACGGGTGCATGGGGATGCTTCGATGAGTTCAACAGAATCCCCGTGGCTGTGCTGTCAGTCTGCAGCACACAATACAAGACGGTCCTCGATGCCATCCGAGCAAGAAAGGAGAAGTTCCTGTTTGAGGAAGTGGAGATAGGCTTGAAGCACACGGTCATGGCGTTCATCACCATGAACCCTGGTTACCCAGGACGTGCAGAGCTGCCAGAGTCGCTCAAAGCCCTGTTCCGACCTGTCTCTATGGTGCGAACTGCAACATTCCCCTCTGTGCTCTGCGCTCAGCGGCAGAGATGCCACACCCGCACACCATGCACATTGGGCTGAAACGAACAGCCCATGCCTGAGGTGGTATCTTGTGAATTTTGGGCCAAATATTCCCATTGCGCCAGAGGGAATATCGTGATCTGTTGGTATGAATTTTAGCCGCAGCTTGTCTTACAACAGGCGCGCATGGATTGAAAAGATAAGTACACAACTCAAGTGCGGATGGGTGCTTGTAGATGGTAAATAATACACATGCAAACGTATCATTTAAAATCATTTCAGGCGCCCCCGCTGTGGTGTAGCCGTTGCAATGCACTGCCTTGCTTGTTGCCTCTGACCGTGTGCCTGTCATCTGCGTTCACAGGTGTTGCCAGACCTAGGGCTCATTTGTGAAATCATGTTGATGGCCGAGGGCTTCCAGCAATCGAAGCTTTTGTCGAGGAAATTCGTGATCCTCTACAAATTGTGCGAGGATTTGCTGTCGAAAGCGAGACATTATGACTGGAAGTTGAGAGCAATCAAAACCACGCTGTACGTGGCAGGGGGGATGAAACGAGATGCCCCGGAGCTCTCTGAAGACAAGGTGAAATGCTTGCTAGAATGTCACAACCAGACTATGAAGTAATGTGTGCAAGGCACCCTTATGCTTTGATACAATACTGCAGCTATAGCCAACTCCCTTCATGGGTGTTGCCCGTATTTGGCGGACGAGTAAGAGGGGTTTCACAGACTTGGATCGTTGGGCATCATGAGTTCCCCTTGCTTGAAAATTGTTCTCTTTTAGCCCAATCCTTGCTAGAGACCGCTGCTTCGTGGCACTGGACTGCGGGGTCGAGCAGCTTGCGCTGTGACTTCATTGCTGTGTGACATTTTGCTGAATTTTGAGCTTCCTCGTCAGCTTCCACTTGGTGGACAAGAATCACAAGATCCTATGCTAGCAGATGGTTCATGTATGCCTCATGTATGGCCCTCCAGAATCATATTTTCTGTCCAAGAATGAGGCAGTGCAAAGTGCTAAGGACGCGCTTGAAGTCGCGTTCTCTTGCTGACTCCATGGCACCGTGTTCGACCCTCAGGTCCTCCTCCGTGCGCTAAGAGATTTTAACCTGGGAAAGTTGACGGCTGACGATACGGGCATCTTCATGGGTTTGCTTAACGATCTCTTTCCAAAGACACTGGATCAAGTGCCTCGAGCAGTAGACATGAATTTCGAAAAGAAGGTGCGTTAGATGGCTCCAGGATGGCTTCTATTCTGGTGCGTTTGCGATGCCGAACAGTTGAACCTGTGAACGCCGCGCGAATTCTGTTGAAATCGTTTTGTTTGCCGAGTTTGGCGTTCACTCAGTTTCATACCGGATACTGTCAATCTGATGCCCGCGAGGCGGCTCTGTGTAAGAACGCGGGCCCTCTAATATCAAAACTCTAAGCCCTCTAAACTCTTAGTCGAACTGCATGTATGAATTCGGGCCTGACAGCTTGTGTTCTGTGCGCATTGAAGACATTGGCTGCACGCTGTGCTTTTGAGGTGCAGTTGCTGAGTTTGCCTTCTGATACTTGTTTCAGGTGAAGGAAGCAGCTGTGGAGATGGGATGTCAGCCTGACGAAACCTTCTGTCTCAAGATATCTCAACTCCGCGAAATTCTGGTGGTGCGCTGGTCGGTCTTTCTGCTGGGCCCTGCGGGTTGTGGCAAGACGGCCATTTGGAAGACGCTGATGCGCGCCACAAATAACAACGGAGAAAAGGCAATTTACAAGCCCATCAATCCGAAATCTGTGACGAGGAACGAGTTGTATGGGTTGCTGCACCCGTCCACACGTGAGTGGAAGGAGGGTTTGATGTCCGTCACGTTCCGTGACATGGCCAACAACCTCACCAACAAGCATCAATGGATCGTCCTGGATGGCGACATTGACGCGGAATGGATTGAAAGCATGAACACGGTATGTGGAAGCACGATTTCGCATGCTGTGCGCGTGTTCGTGCTTGTTCCATTTGAACACAACCAGTTGAAAATACTTGTATACTCTGCACGAGCATCTTTTTTCCGGTCACTGGCTCCCCTGCAAGGAATGTCAGTTCAACATCTTGGTGTAGACCAAGTATATTAACATATGCCAGTAGCCATGGAGTACCGCTGCTCCAATTCGCAGTCTACATGAGCTACTCTTCATGTTGTGCATTTTGCAGATCCACTGCGTCCCTGTCAACATTGTACGCTGATGCTTGTTTGCGCTTGCGGTGTTGCCTGAATCATGCCTGTAATACGGTACTGAACTCAGGTGATGGACGACAACAAAATGCTCACCCTGGCAAGCAACGAGCGGATTCCCCTGACGCCTTCGATGCGGCTTCTGCTCGAAATCAATCACATGAACCACTGCTCTCCAGCAACAGTGTCCAGAGGGGGTGTCATTTTCGTTAATGCCGAGGATGTGGGGTGGAAGCCAGTAGTGGACAGCTGGATCGAGACGCTGGAGGTGATTTAAATCGCCAACCGTGACTAACACCAGTCAACCGAATTCGCTGGGTTCATTGCCCTGCTCAGTGACTGATAATGTGTTTTGATTGGAGAGTTGTTGTACTTCAGATACCTGCTCGTGCCATCGCTGACAGTCTTGAGGGTTTTCATTCGGACATGTTGAGCACCAATCCGATGTGCCTGGTTCGCCTGTAGGCACGATAGTTCCCTGTAGAAGGCATCGCCACTGAAGCCCTTTCCCGGCATCTACATGTGTGCCACATGCCGCGTCCCGTGTTGCACATGGACAAAAGCGCCGTTCCTCTGTCTGAGCTTTCTGCTTACTTCAAATCAGCCACAGTTGCGCTTCATCTTATGCTTCGCAGCGCCCCCCACCAGATGTGGAACGCGTGCTTCAAAGTTCCAGAAGGGTACAGCACCGAAAAGCATCGTTTATATCTTGAACTCTGCCAAGGTAGCAAAGTTGCCTGAAACAATGCTTCTGGCGATTGAACAGCTCCTTTTTGCTTGCAGGCCACGGAATACCGACCCCTGCTGACGACGCTGTTCTCCCGGTACGTCGACAAGTCGATGGAGCACTGCCGCCGCAACTTCAAGTCCGTGGTTCAATTGCCTGCTGTGAGCCAGGCCATGACCATCTGCAAGATCTTGGAGGGGATATTGCCCCAGGAGTCAGTGAGAGGAGCGCCGCCGCCGGACAAGAAAGTCCTGGAGTACCATTTTGTCTTCGCCTGCGTGTGGGCGTTTGGAAGCTGCATGCTTGTTGACAAAGTGTCAGACTACCGCACGCAATTTTCGAAATGGTGAGCAACGGGATGCGCACTTCACGCAACCTGGAACTTCTTCCGGCTTATTGGAAGTTTTGGCGTGTCGCCGCTGAACACCGCTGATGTTGAGCTGGCAGCCATTCGCTTTATGCATACCCCTGGGGTTCGCAACTTCCACAGAGGGTAGTCAGGCAGTTGAGTAGAAAAATGCTTGCATTGCGTGCTTTACCAATTGAATTTAGTAATCCAAATGGACTCCGCCATCAGCGTGACTTTATTTCGACTCCCTGCAGGTGGGTTTCTGAATGGAAGAATGTGCAGTTTCCTGAAAAAGGCCTTGTCTTCGACTACTATGTCGACGATTCTCAGTGCCTCATGGTCCCCTGGGATGACAAAGTCGAGCCTTTCACATATACCCCAGGAATGGATTTCAATAGCGTTTTCGTCCCCACTGTCGAGACGACGCGACTGACTTATTTCCTGGACAGCCTGGTGGGAAACAAGCATTACGTGATGTTTGTGGGAAACACTGGCACCGGCAAGAGTGCAATAATGAAGAACAAACTGAGGAACATGGATCCCGAAACGATGTGCTCGTACACCATCAACATGAATTCGTTCTCGGATGCTCCATCCTTGCAGGTGAGTCTCAACTCCATATGCTGCTTTTCACTTGGATTGAAGGTGACGGCGTCGTGTTTCGTTTGACTGACGTGCACGCTAGCCAATTCCGTTTGACGAAGAACAACTGCAACTATGTGTGAGTTTAATTTACAAGGCAGCCAAAGCGCTGACTAGATCTAGCTGTCCTAATGGAAAAATTGAACTCCACCATTTTCCCCACTTCACCACATGTTTGTCACCACAGCGGAACCGCAAAATGTATGCATGGTGCGTTCTGCTGTGGCTACTACTCCGAACTGATGGCAGCCAACAATGCTTATATTTCTGGCTTGTTCATGTACTTGGCAGGTTATCATGGAGCAGCCCCTGGAAAAGAAGTCTGGGGTGAGGTTTGGTCCCCCAGGGTCACGACGCATGGTGTACTTTATCGACGATATGAACATGCCGTTCGTCGATAAGTATGATACACAGTCAGCCATTGAGTTGGCTCGGCAATTCGTGGACTATAGGGGTTGGTGAGTGATCCTTCTACTGATTTCGCCAATACCTGCCAGATGATGTGCTGTACATATTCATCTCATTTGGTCTGTAAAACAATGGATCAGCCAATGCGCTTCCAAACGTCGCTTTCATTGAGAGTCTAAACAGCCAAAGTGATGGGTATTGCCACTGGAATGTGTTCTATTTGCGATTCTTCAGGCACGTTACCACTCTCGAATGGTTTGCATCTATTGCCTTTTCCCGTGAGCGGATACCTGCCAGTGCTGATGAAAAGTGGCTGGTAGTATGAATTCAGACTGCGCAATACAGCCTGGCCGCTTCAGTTTATTTGCTGCGTTTTCGGGTGCCGGCAGGTATGACAAGATCAAGATCGTCCTCAAGGAGATCATAAGCTGTCAGTACTGCGCCTGCATGAACCCGACAGCTGGTTCGTTTCAGATCACTCCAAGGATGCAACGCCACTTTGTGACGTTTGCGGTACAGATGCCTGGCGTGGATATCGTGAGATCCATTTACATTCAGGTTGTGGAAGGGCACCTTGCCAGCTTCGACCCAGATGTGGCCAAGATGGGAGTGAAGCTCGTGGACGCCACGATCGAGCTGCACGGACAAGTCATGAACAACTTCTTGCCATCTGCGGTCAAGTTTCATTATCAGTTCAATCTCCGAGAACTATCGAATATCACGCAAGGGTTAACGAGAATGACGAAGGAGTATTTCAAGGTGGGGAGCAGAACTCACAACAGCCAGAAGAGTTCCCGGTTTTGCGAAACGAGGAAAACGGCCTGTGGATGATAGAAATGGTATATTTCTGTTGGCGTTTGTTGGCGTTTCGCGGTGGTTTCGTTAACTTATGAGAGGGCACACACAATGCCACTCGGCAGACTGCATTTCTGCATTGCCGCATCTTGAATGCCGCTTCACGTTAATACTGTCGTCTAAACAGCGACATCCTTGCTGCAAAACGGCGCACAGCGTCACATGCCTCCGGCTCTAAGCTGTCTAGCGAAAAAACACTAGCAGCCACGCACAGCACAAGAAAACCGTGATGAGTCTCTGAAAGAAAGATAATTTCACAGCCTTGTTGATTTCATCGCGTTGTCGGGAATGATGGGTTCTGTGGTGCTTGGCGGCTGGCAGAGCCATTCATGTTGAAAAAGAACCACGGATCTCCGCACGCAATCTGAAAAGTTTCTGAGGCGGTTTGGCGTCGCGGCCCGTATCGGTTTCGGCTAACTTTCGGCTAACTGCCGTACAGGGAACTGCCCGTAGGGCAACTCGGTAACCTGCCCCATCTCGTAGGTTGTCGAAAAAGATTTGGCCGAGGATATACATATCCACGATGCAGGCAGCCTGTATCCAATATATTGTGCTAAGCGAAGTTCATGTCATAGCACATCCTTGGTAATATTTGGGGTCTACATCCAGGGATATGGGGGATTTCATGGTGGTTTATTCTTGTGCTATCTGGATGACAGCGCAACTGGCGCATGTTGTGCGGGGGTGACCTTTTTGTATGCTAACAGTCCCCACACATTGGGATGCTTTTTAAACAAGATTTGTTACCTGCAGAGCCCGCTGAAAGTGGCACGGCTCTGGAACTGCGAATGCGAGAGATCCCTGAAGGACCGAATGATCAGCGCCAATGACATGAGCGTGTTCGATGGCTTCAGAGAAGCAGTGTCCAAGAAGTATTTCAACGACTTGGGATTTGAAGCCGTTGAGGCTCAGCCAAGGCTGTTTGCATCTTTCACGACAGTCTCGGCAGACGACACCCCCATCTACAACGAGGTGGAAGGATTCGAGTCTCTCAAGAAGACGCTGGACGACAAACTTGTGGAATACAACGAAACGAATGCCGTCATGGAATTGGTGCTCTTCCAACAGGCCATTGAGCATATCTGCAGGTATGGGATTCTGACACCGACATGACTATGTGTGAGGAACGTGGTGTTCTGGGGTGAGACAGGTGCCCCGACTCCCTGCCTTTCGTACCAGCATTCCCGACTAACCTATGCTCTGTGCATTAGGGGAGTTTGCAAGGGCGTGCTGACAACCAGCGCACCTCTGATATTGGTGCAGGACGTGAGTGTCTCCGGTGTTAACCTCTCCAAATTCGCCAACAGCAGATAAGGTTAGCACTTGCTTGATATGCAGGATCACTCGGATCATCGATCTGCCTTGCGGCAACGCTATGCTGGTCGGCGTCGGAGGCTCTGGAAAGCAGTCCCTTGCAAAGCTAGCGTCCTTCATCTGCGGCTACGGAGTGTTCCAGATTTCCGTGACCTCAACATATGGTATCAACGATTTCAAGGAGAATCTGTTGTCTCTGTACACGAAGGCGGGAATGAAGGGCACGCCCATTACTTTCCTGATGACGGACAATCAGATTGTGGACGAGCGGTTTCTGGTGTACATTAATGATCTACTGTCCACGGGGTACATTGCAGATTTGTGTACACCCGAGGACAGGGACAATTTCAGCAACGCTGTGCGCGCAGAGTGCAAGCAGGCCGGCATCATAGACACGGCTGAGAACTTGTGGGATTTCTTCATTGCCAAAGTTCGAAAGTTTCTGCACGTCATACTCTGCTTCAGCCCGGTGAGTAAGCGCTTGACATTCTGCGGATGAACCAGGGCTGCTGAAATCAAGTCTGATTGGCTATGTACACCATTGAATGTTTGTCGGGGAATCATATTATAATGAGTGGGCCTGCGCATTGTCGATGATGATTTGACGCAGTTTTGGCGAAGTGAAGTAATTCTTTATGCCTCAAATTGTGCTCGTTGGGAAATGCCAATAGCAAAAGTGTGAGTCAAAATTTGCAGCCTGCGATCCCGCAGAAGTCCTGCGAAAGCAAACTTGTTTCTCAAATGCAGTAATGGGTGGTGGTAACCTGCTGCTATAGCGCCAGCTCAAGCGGGCTACATAACATTGTATGGGGTCACTGACTGGTGCTGATCAAGGAATTTCAATTTTGTGTACTATCGACATGCAGGCATTCATGACATTTGCAGTGTTGAGGTGATTCTGGATCGGAAGAATTTCCTTCTGGAAGCTGTCTCGTTGTGTTTCAATATTGTGTTACAATTTTGTGCAGGTCGGGGACAAATTCCGCATCCGTGCTCGGCAATTCCCTGCTCTGGTGAACTGCACCCAATTCGACTGGTTTCACGGGTGGCCGGAGGAAGCTCTGATATCTGTGGCCCAGAGGTTTTTGAAGGACGTCCCCGATATCGAGGATGAAAACCGTGAAAAAATCGCCCTCCACATGGCTTACGCACATCAGATGGTCACGGATGCTAGTAGACGGTGAGAAAGCATGTCCACAGTCGCGTTTACCTGCGTTTTTTTTAGCACTGCGTGCCTTCTGGGTGTTTTGACAAGTGTTGAGCGGGTTGAATGTTGAGAGCGCGAAAAATGAGAAGGCAGCAACAGGAGACCTGATGTTGATCATGCTGTCGCACAGCGAAAATTGAGCTATCAATGCTGCCGTACTGTGATTCCTCTTTGCACTGATTTGCAATGTGCTGCTTTTTTACGTCAGTGCATGCCATTTGTCGATATGGCGTATTTCAAGATACATTGAGTCTGCAGCACATTTCCCTACTTGAGAACAAGCTGTGCGTAAAATACATCCTTTCAATCTCATGCATGCCGCCGCTGCCTGCAAAGACCCCACGCTCGGATAGACAGCGGTGAGAGCCAAATCTCACCGGTGCTGTATCTTGCCGTGCTTGTACCCTCGATTTTGTACTGGCATGCTATCCTTCCGAAACATGAGCAAAATTCACATGAATATTCTGGTATTGGCCGTGCTTGTCCGTCATATCTGCGATCCCTGCGTGTATTTTGAAAACCCAACTTGTGGCAGGTACTTGGAGTCGTTTCGGCGATATAACTACACCACACCGAAATCGTACCTCGAACTCATTGCCTTTTACAAATTGCTGCTGAACAACAAGCGCGAGGAGCTGAGTGCAGCAAAAACGAGGTTGCAAAATGGTCTGGAGAAAATTGCTCAAGCGTCTGCCCAGGTTTGGATCGCCTCGCCTCCCTCAAGGAATTGGCTACGTTGGGTGGCTGCACACATTCACGAAATTGAGTGGGCGGATACAAAAGTCTTCTCATTGCTGGGAAATCATGTATTCAATGATAGCCAATGATATGCTTTTGCAGGAACCAGGCTTTTGGAAAATCTCAACCCTGGGAGGTTCTTAGAGCTGCAGGGTATTCGCAATGCCTAATCGACATGCGGAAATTTAGATGCGTGAGCACTTCTGCAATGACGTGCCGTCTGGTGTCTGATAGGTTGCTGATCTTCAAACCGCGCTGAAAGAGGAACAAATCATTGTGGAAGAGAAAAAGGCAAAGACCGACGCTCTCATAGTGAACATTGGCCAAGAGAAAGCGGTTGTCGACGAGGCAGTGGAAGCAGGCCGTGAAGATGAGGAGAATTGCGCTAAGCTCCAGTCAGAAGTCCAGGTAGTTAGCTTCCGTGACATGCTGGCCATCGGTTTGATGCTCCTCAACGTCACATGGTGATTTTGGATGTTTAAGACAATGTTGTGGGATCGTCCTGGACGATTCGAATGGCTCTGAGCGTCACATTGTCTGGCGCCGCCTCTGCATCATTGTTCGGTAGTGACACGCGATGAGACGAATGGGTTTTGCCAGGCTGTGCGCAAGGAAACATCCGTTGATTCTCTAATCGCATACGGACAGCGTGCAATTCGTCTTTCATGCATCGCTGATTTCCCAATTATGCGTCGTATCTGCTTGCAGGCATTTCAAGAGGAGTGCTCACGCGATCTGGCTGCCGCAGAACCGGTCATTGCGGATGCAGAAGCTGCACTCAATTCCCTCGACAAAGCGTCGCTGGGAGAGCTGAAGTCCTTTGGAAGTCCAGCGGCCGAAGTCGTGCAGGTGCTGATCAAGTTCATGCCAAAAGGAGATCGGGCAGGTTACGCAGTGTAACGTAATGCACAGCCGGCACACGATCATTGAACAACAAGCGCATTGAGGCATATTGCATGAGCTTTTTGATTGAGCCGGATCAAAACCATTGGACTTGCGGATGACGGGCATTTGCTGGTTTGACTTTAGGTGGTGTCAGCTTGCATGGTACTCACAGCACCCGGTGGAAAAATCCCAAAGGATCTCAGTTGGAATGCGGGAAAGAAGTTCATGGGCAATGTGGACGCCTTCCTCAAGAGTCTGCTCAATTTCGACAAAGACAACGTTCCAGTCAACTGCGTCGAGAAGGTAATGGTGCTTTGGGTGTGCCGCCTTGCCGTAGTCAGTGCCTGATCTTTGGGCACAGCGACGGCAGCATCAACAGTAAATTGAACTTCTGGCGCATTGAAGAAGGGCGGGGGTGTCATGCAGAGGATGACGAGAACAAAATCAGGGCCTTCTTTTGAAACCAAATGCAGCGTTTCCCCAAGGGCACTTTACACCTGCTGGCCTATGCCGGAACCTCCTATTGCAAAAACACGGTTGCAGCCAAATTGTTGTGCGCACACACAGATGAGCTTCGTGTTGTTGATCCAGGTCGAAAAGGACTACCTGGTCAATCCCAACTTCACTGCCGACTATATTCGCACGAAATCTGGAGCCGCTGCTGGTCTTTGCGGCTGGGTGTCAAACATCTGCAAGTACTTCAGGATATACCAAGTTGTGGCTCCAAAACGAGCATCACTCGCCGAAGCCAATAAGAAGCTGGAAGGAGCAAACAAGAAGCTGACAGGTGCCGTATTGCTTATCAAGTCCACGAGGAGAGAGACGAAACGTTTGATAAGAAAGTGTTCATATTCTCTGCCATGGTAAATTCTTCTTCCCCAATTGTTTTGTTGGAATTCACTTTCGAAAGTAACTGCAGTAAGATTGATTGTCGGCAAGTTCCATTCAAAAGTATGCCATTGCAGATCTCTTGTTATTCCGATTGTGAAGTTCCAGAGAACCATTGATAGACCTGGAAGACGCCATTCAAGCCGCTGCAGCAGAGTCCAAATTGCTCAAAGGTTGGCGTTGGCCTCCGCTACGCAGGCATTCGAGCGAAAGTAAAGGAGCTTCAGGACAGGGTAGCCGTCCTTGAGGAGAGTCTTATGAAGGCCACTGAGGATAAAAATGCCGCAGTGGCACAAGCCGAGAAAACAGGGAAAAAGGCTCAACTAGCCGATCGTTTAATTAACGGGCTTTCCGGGGAGAATAAAAGATGGAATGAAGAAATTGCCAAATTTGAAGTTGCTGAAGGCAAACTCGTCGGCGACGTCCTGCTGGCCTCCGCCTTTGTCTCCTATGCAGGGCCATTCAATATGCACTTCAGGGTGCAACTCGTGGACGAGAAATGGAACCCTGACATTATATCAAAGGGCATTCCTTTCACTGAGGGGGTCAAGCCATTGGATATGCTGACTGATGGCAAGAAAAAGGTATGAGCAGTGGCACCTGGACCAGCTGACAGAGTAACCAGTATGCCGAAATTTCAGCATCAATGCCGCTGAGTCTGTCGTAGTAAGCATCATCTCCGCCCCTCGCTAAGCAGAAGCTGGCATCCATCCTATATCAGCAGCAGACTGTTTCAGCCAGCAGCAATGTGCCTTCAGCGATGAACTACGAAATTCTGCGCCGACGAAACTGCCACTAGCTGTCAGCGCATTGCAGCGGAGGTTGAGTCACGCTAGCAGTGTTGGCGCTTTGCTGATGAGTCGGAAAACTCTGCTTTCACTTGTGGTGCCTTTGAACGACTACTGGAAGCATTCCGTTTCTCAGCTGCAGTGTTTCAGTGTGCGTGGGATTAATCGAAGGAAAATGCGGCGCCAGATGCATCGACAGTGCTCTCAGCGAACTCTTCCTCTTTTTCACACGCATTCAATAACATATGTCTGCATGTGGGGTCTGAATGTGTTTTGATTTTGCCTCCTGAAGATGACACTCTGGAGCAACACAGGAGAAATATTCCCGCGCTGAATTTTGATTGAATTTTTCAGGCAAGATGGGCGAATGAAGGCCTTCCTTCGGATCCTCTGTCCATTGAAAATGGCGCCATCATCACCAACGCATCCCGTTGGTCGTTGATCATCGACCCACAACTGCAAGGAATTAAGTGGATCCAAAACAGGGAGGAACCCAATGGATTGGTCATTGTGCAACAATCTCAGCCAAGGTGAGCTTCGGAATCTGAAGTCCAGATACAAATTGCACCCACGGTGTCTTGGCTGGGCTTGGGTAAACCGATTTTGCGGTTCAGAATGCGGCCCTGCACATCAACTGCTGCCCAATACTTATGACGAAGCAGCACAATCCATGTGCGCATTCTGTCCAGAAGTTCTTGATATGAATTGCTGTGACGATATAGGGATTGGTTCTGCCATCATCCATCGCCATTTTTGTGGACACAGGTACCTGGACAAGGTCATCAATGCGATAGAGAATGGCTTGCCGCTGCTGTTGGAAAATTTGCCAGAGGTATGTCAGTCAGCCTGATCTGGTTTATCGGGTTCACGCAGTGCTCAGGTCATTTTCACCTCTTGCATACAGCCAATGGCGTTCTGTGCACCTGCATCGTGTAGATTTTGCCACGGTGCGGTGCGACTGCCTGGGGATCGCATTGCTGTATGAGTACAGAAGGAGCAGAGGGTTCATTAAACATGGCGATGAACAATGTTTCAACTGCCACATGTACCGCAGGCTGCCCTGTGGCTGGTTTGCTAATTGATGCACACAAAGAAACTCAAGAAAGCGGTTGGATTCAACAATGTGTGTGCTTTCGGGTTGCCAACGTTATCCAGGACATTGACGCAGTTTTGGATCCGGTGATTGGAAAAGTGACGATGAAGCGTGGCCGCAACATTGTGATGATCATCGGAGACGCTGAGGTCGAGTACGACGCCAACTTCCGAATGTACCTCCAGACCAAGCTTGCGAATCCTCACTACAAGCCCGAGATTGCGGCCCAGACGACGCTGTTGAACTTCTGCGTCACGGAGAAGGGTCTCGAAGACCAACTTTTGGCGCTGGTGGTCGACCACGAGCGACCCGACTTGCAAGAACAGGCTGCGAACCTGGTGCGTATTGCTTATCTAGCCAATGTGATTGTCTTAAGGAGGTTAATCAATCGCCCGTCGACATCGCCCTAAGGGACTCAGGCCAATAGAATTTGTGTATCTGAAATGCCGTCGTTTGCCCAAAATGCGCGGGTGCATTGACCATCAGCATAAATTCTACAATTCACCACAGTTTAGACATTGTATGTCATAGGTCCGCCAACTGGGGGAGTACACCATAACATTGACGGAGTTGGAGGACAATCTCCTGTGGCGATTGGCGAATTCACAGGGAGACATTCTTGAAGATATTGAGCTCATTGAAAATCTGGAGGAAACAAAGCGGACAGCCACAGACATCGAACAGAAGGTATGTGTTTGGTTGGGCCATTTGGAGGTTGCCCCATTACCAGTTGCGATTGGCTATTCCCATGTGCGAGGGAGCGCAAAAGACCTCGAGTACTGAAATGCGCAAGAAAAAACAATGGATTTTCGGTGTGATCATCGTCGCGATGATGATCGCGAGGGGTGCCCCATCGCCGTGCCACTGCTGGCAATGCACTCTGACCAGCTGTAAAGCTGGAAATCAGAGACTGGCAAATGCGCCAACCACTAAATTGATGTCAATGAGAGCATGCTATCTTGTCACACCTTTTCCATGGCCTTTCCATCGCTCAAAATGACATTTTCGTAGCCAAATCTGCGCTTCTGGCGCAGCATAGATTCCATACAGTGGTTTTCCCACATGCGCAGGTCAAACTGGCGAAAACGACAGAAGTGGACATTTCAAAGGCTCGCGAGGTTTACAGGCCAGTTGCCGCTCGAGGGTCCCTGGTCTACTTTCTGATTGATAATCTGAATGGCCTTGACCGCTGCTACCATTATTCGATGGCGAACTTCGTCGCGATTCTAAGGAAGGGAATGGACCAGACGCCCGGCTCCAAGGACGAGTCCATGGTACCCGAAGCCAAGAGGCTAGGGGAAGAGGTGGACATCACGAAAAGGGTGGAACTGCTGATAGAGTCCACTTCATACACCGTCTTTGCATACGTAGCTCAGGTGCGTATTTCGCCATACCGTCTCCCTGGTTCAGTGGGCAATCACGAATTTGGGCGTCCAATGCTACAGCTTCCTTGCCCATATTTCGGCATGCAAACCGCCGACCTCAGCAGCACATCAGATGTAATCTCTTTGGCAGTCCTGCCTAATTGTACGAACTTGTCGATTGGTAAATCAATCGGGTGTCATGGAGGAATTGCCAACAGTAAACGGCGAAAACTGGCCCGCATCTAATGCTGTCAAATATTTCCAGTTTGTTACGATTGAGCGGCAAAGGCAAATTCATGTAATATCCGAAGGAGAGCGTTCTCCGCTGCTACACAGGCACTTGCATGCCGCAAATTCATTGCTGCATGTCCATCGCACGTTTCTTCTGACTAGATTGTCTTTCGGTTTGCCACCCAAGGGCCTGTTTGAAAGACACAAGCTAATAGCAGCCACGCAGCTATGTATGGCAATACTGAAGAGCACTGGCGAACTTAAACACGACAAGTTCGACTTCTTGCTCCGGGGGCCTCGGGTCATGGGAGTGGACAACCCTCTCAGCGATTGGATAAACGATTCCGTCTGGGGATCAGTTCAGGCTCTAAAAGAGTTGGAAGATTACGCCAACCTGCCAGACGACCTCATAGGCTCATCCAAACGGTGGAGAGAGTGGATGGAGCTTGAGCGACCGGAGGATGAGCCTGTACCCGGTCCGTTGCTATTGCAGCGCATTGCGACACTGTGTGTCGTGTGCGGTTCACTGTGTTGTTGCTTTGAAGGCCGCACTGCAAACAAGTTGTGGACATGTGCTTGACCCCTGCTTGCAGCACAACCCCATCGAACTAATTTATGCCCATCAACGTCCGTTTGTTGCTAGGGCTTCTTCCTCCACCATGTGAGAAGCCAGCATGTCACGCCTACAAAAGAAACGAGATGCAAAATTCGTTCTGTGTTTTTCCGCCCTCTGATTGTATCTGGGTCGTGGATGGTAGTTGTAGCAGCTTCGCAGATTCCAGAATTCGTCATGTTGTGGAGGCGTCTGAACATGTAATTTTGTTCTCATCAGCATCCACTGAACGGTCTGCCATGTTGTTTCCCCAGTATCCAATTCCATTCCATTTCTGTGTAGGTGACTGGAAGCGAATGGCCGAGTTTGAAAGGCTGCTGCTTTTCCGAGCCCTAAGGCCCGACAGACTGACAGCTGCAATGGCGAGATTCGTTACCAGCACCATTGGGAAGGACTATGTCACATCGAATCCGTTTGATCTGGAGGCTTCATTCAAGGTTTGACCACAAAACGGACGCTGTGCACGTGCTCTCCAATATCCCCCCCATATTAATAGCCTAAGTCATGCCAATTGCGTGGCTCCAGTGTCTAGCGTCCATAGCGCCGAGGAGTGCTTGTGTATGTTCTCAACATACGCTGCAAAGGGCACTGCAAATTGTGGGCAGGCGCAAGCGCTGATGCTGTGCATCGTTTCTCCCACAATGTTATCGAGCAATTGATGGCGCAAAACCTCAAAGCGCTGTTGCGGGAAACATTAGGGACCAACAACCAATGCAGGTGTTTTTACAGCAAAATACGCAGCAACCTGACTGCCTGGCATGTGTCATTTCATTCCCTATAATAGCAGCATAAAAGTCATAAAGTGTCATTTGACCTTTTTTTTCACTATTCATGTAACGCGGTAGAATACTGACCGACTTCCGTGGCCCCCAAAACATACCATACCGAATTGCTGTGGATACAGTCAAGTGTAGTACAATAAGACTAACGGTCTGGCAGGAATGGGAGGGCAGGATACAGAAATGGCCAGTCGGCTTTCCACCAATGCAGCTGTAGAGGCGTGCTTTTCGGCTATAATCGCCTTTTGCTGTCATGCTTTATTCAGGACGCCAGCCCTGGGGTGCCCATGTTCGTGTTCCTTTCTCCTGGAGTGGATGTCGCCGGATCTGTCGAGGCACTTGGCCGCCAGCTGGGTTTCACTTCTGACAACGGAGGCTACGCTTCGGTGTCCCTGGGGCAAGGGCAAGAGCCCATAGCCATGAACAACCTGAACAACGCCCACAAGAACGGCGGATGGGTACTGCTGCAGAACATTCATCTCACAATCGATTGGACGTCGGGACCACTGGAAAAGAAGGTAGCGAAATCACTCTGCGATCAGGCCCTGTAGAGCAGAGGGGGATATTCTTGCGCGTGCTGTCTTGAATGCTCTTGCGACTTTTCGAACTGCGTACTGAGGGTGGGCACACATCTTCGAACGAATGCATTGTCGGCCGAATTCAATACGCAATTTACTGGGCAGCCGACGCAAAAGTGATCAAGGGCCACAGCCGCGTCAAAACCACTAGGAAAAAAAGGTCCAAATAACACGTGTTCAAATGTGTACAAAGTTTACGGGTTTGTGGTATTTTTGTGTTCTTAGCGTGCAGAGCTTTGATGAAATGTGTTTTATGTGTGTTCGCAAAAGTGTTATTTGGCCCTTTTTTTCCTAGTGAACACGGCTGCTCGACGCATTTGTTGCCTTTTTTGGACTGTGACTTGGCCAGCAGTGTGAACTGTGGTAATTCCCTGGCTGTGGTGTACAGGTGGACAAACTGGCAGAGGGAGCGCATCAGGACTTCCGCCTGTTTCTGTCCGCCGAGCCGCCGCCCCTCCTGGAGAAACCGCTGCCCATTTCGCTTTTGCAGAACTCCATCAAGCTCACCAATGAGCCCCCAGAGGGTCTGAAACCTAACTTGCGCAGGTGAGGAGTATCCACCAGTCTCCGCTTAGGACCATGAACCATCGGCGGACCCTGGCTACAGCCCTCTACCCACAGCGCAAGCAACTACGAGGGATCGCTGCTTGTCTGGTTGAAGAATCTCGCTTGCAAATTGGTTCCCAAGAGTTCGCTCCCAGCTTCAACATATTGGCGAAGATTAGAACTTCTGGTGAAGTGTTCTGATGAAGGAAATTTCAAACTGTGCTATAACCCACCCACCCACCCCTCCTGCACTGTCGTGAGAGATTTTGCAAGCATCCAACAGATGGCCGAGTATTGTAAGAATCGCTGGCCACGGGTGGCATTGGCCACGAAATTCTATATGTAAGGAATAAAAATGTGCACCTCAAATTCAGCGGAGGGTCGGTTTATATATTCATGCGAGAATTTCCTTTTCGCAAGCGCATGTGTCAAGTGACGTAAGTTGAACTGCCTCAACTGAAATTCTGATATGTGGCTATGTGACTGCAGGGCGTATTCGCAGTTCTCCGAGGAGATTCTCGAGAGCTGCGCCAAGCAGGCGGAATTCCGCATGATTATATTTTCGCTGTGCTACTTCCACGCCGCCATGCTCGAAAGGAAAAAGTTCGGAGTCGGGAACTTGCCAAATTCGACATCCGGAATAGGATGGAACATGAACTACCCATTTAACACGGGCGATTTGTTGTGCTGCGGTCAGTGCGCGAATAATTATTTGGAGAACAATGTGAAGGTGCCTTGGGACGACCTGCGGTGAGTTGTTGGCCTTTTCTTGCAATGCACAAGAGACTGCCTCAAACATGCTGTGGAATGCAGCACATCACTGCAAGTGCTCCATGCAGTTACGTCCGACTCTATTCGTATTCAGTTGAAGTGTATACTCCTACTCCTCAGCTGCTCCTATGTGTCCTGCCCTTATTTGCATCTCGCGCGAATTCGTGGTTCTCGCCTTTCTGCTGACATTTTCAAACTTGTGAATGATTGAGCTCAATTATGGTGGAGGTGTAGCCGTGCATCTCCTTGCTGGTGATTCCATTCCTTGCGGTAATTTGTGTCGCCTGTCGCTTGCAGGTATATCTTTGGAGAGATCATGTACGGCGGCCACATCGTGGAGGACTGGGACCGGCGCCTCGCCAACGGGTATCTGTGCAAGTACTTCCACGAGCAGCTCTTGGAGGGCATGGAGATGTTTCCCGCCTTTCATACGCCCCCAAACACCATGAGCCACAAGCAGGTGCTGGAGTACATGGCGGAAAACATGCCTCCAGAGACGCCCCTGGCCTTCGGCTTGCACCCTAACGCCGAAATTGGCTTCAAGCTACGGGAGGCGGAGTCTTTTTGCTCCAATGTGCTGCTGCTGCAGCCGCGCGAGGCTGGTGGTGATGGCGGCATGTCCGTCGAGGAGAAGTCCAAGATGGTGTTGGACGATTTGGTCGAGAGGCTGCCGGATAATTTTGACCTGGAGGACATTCGGTCGAGGGTAGATGACTACACACCGTACGTCATGGTGGCCATCCAGGTGCGCTCAGAGCGTGATTGCCTCTTTTGACGGAATACAAATATGCCCCCTCCTGGCGAAGGATACTTTGAAGCTCTGTTTCGCGCCATAGAATGTGTTTGCACTGATTTCTGGGTACAGCAGGGGTAGCACGCAGCTTGCGGTGATAAGAGCAGCGGGGGCGGAGGGGGGGACTGCGCAAGTGCAGAGGGAGGGCACCGATGGTGCTCAATCTGGTGGCTACGTTGCCTGTTGCCGGCCGGTTGCCTCCAAGTGTGCCGCCTTGTTCCTTTGCCAACCCCGAAGGCATTCTTGTTTGCCAGGGGACTCTAAGAGATGAATTAATTGCCCTAGAATATATGTGAGCCAGGGAGAGGCCAGAGCGGCCTTCACGGTGTGAAAAAAGATTCTGCGAATATCCGTTCGATGCCTGTGGTTACGTTCATGTCAGACATGGCAGTTTTGGCGGGTTGCTGTCGCTGGGCGTGCGTCCACGAGACAGGGCAGTGAGTAAGGCGCACGGTCCGCTGTCGCCCAAGTTGGACAGAAACATTGGCGATAGGTGACAGTTGCTTGATGGCGATTAGCCACAGCCTATGGTGATCAACACCTTGTAGTTGCCAGTCCAGCGAGCCCCGAATTGATGATCGACAAATGGAAGGGCAGGAAATGCGCACTAGGGAGCAGCGGTGGTGGTTGAGGATGCAAGTCGACATGGTTTATGGTGTGAATCTCACGCGCACAACAGGGCATTGACGATTATGTGCAGTTGGAGGTGGCAAAGGTCCGTGCTCCTTTGCTTATCCGGGATGAGTTGGCAGTCAATTGCTTCAGTAGGCGCGGTCAGGGGTGGTGCAGAGCGAGCAAGCGCACAGGGAATCTTGCTATACTTGCGTGGGCAGGGAGGGCGTTTGGCGGCACTGCGCTGCGGTGAGAGGTGCAAGGCCCGAGGGCGCCTTTCGATTTGGCTACGCTGAGCGGAGTTGAACTGCTACAACACAGCCAAACAGTGCCGGAGATTTCGCAGTACCGTCGATCAGTACAGTGTTTGATTTCACGTACAGCCAAGACACCAAGAGAAGGATGAGCGGCGAGGCTGGGCGACTGAGCGGCGCTAGCAGCTGAGCTTCGCGTCCATGAGCGCTCAGCGTGCAAAATAAAGGAGTGCTTCCCTTGCCAAGTGCTGGGGCGACGGCACACATATGATGGATCATGCAGGCTGTAGCTGATATGGCTGACCTCAAACATTTGCGGCAGACCAAGATTTTAGGATTTGCACCGTATCATGTAGCTCGGATTCATTGCAGCGCTGGGAGCACATGGGGAATAGTCGACGATAACGCCCCGCTCGCATTTGGCGCACAGGAAACCGAGCGCGTGAACATTCTGCTGTCGGAGATGAAGCGCTCGCTGGCTGAGCTGGATCTGGGGCTTAAGGGAGACTTGACGATGTCCGAGCCGATGGAGAAGCTCATGAGGGCCCTGGCAGAGGATGCGGTACCAGGCAGCTGGAGAAACCTTGCGTACCCATCCCTGAGGCCCTTGGGATCGTGGCTGCAAAATCTGTTGCAGCGCATAAACCAGCTTTCCGAGTGGACGGCTGACCTGGGTAAGACGGCGGATTGCACGAGATAATCATATGTAGAGAAAGAACGCTGTACCATGTGTGTATACAGTCAATTTAATGTTGAGAGAATGAGAAAATATTGCTGTTGCAATGCACCAATTTCGCTAGGAAAAAAAGGGCCAAGTTACACTTTTGCGAACACACATAAAACACATTTCATCAAAGCTCTGCACGCTAAGAACACAAAAATAACACAAACCCGTAAACTTTTTACACGTTTGAACACGTGTTGTTTGGCCCTTCCTTTCCTAGTGTTTCGTGCTTTCAATTTTAATTGTCTGGCACCATTCGCATCATCGCGCATCCCTCGTGCTGGCGCGTCTTGTCCCCATTCATTTTCCGCATATTGCCATTATGGGTATGGATATAAATCCGCCATCACTCGCTCTCGGCCTTGGTTAACTGGCTCGCAGGCGTTCCGAAGGTCGTGTGGCTGTCCGGTTTGTTCAATCCTCAGTCCTTCCTGACCGCCGTGATGCAAACCACGGCGCGGCGAAATGACTGGCCACTCGACAAGACGGTGGTGCTCACAGACGTCACAAAGAAGCAGCCAGATCAGATCGATGCGCCATCCAGGTGGGGGTAGTAGGCATCAGTTTTTCCATGTTCAGCAATCCCACACAGCATACGTGAATTTTCATCATTGGAATCGATGGAATGCCATCTGTTTTCGCGGCACCCAGGGCAAGCCAGTCCCCTGAATGAAACATATGGTTAGGAAGCAAGCTTATTCGCATATACAACTCCTGAGCTTCTGCCAATGGTCCACCCTCGTCCGCGGTTCTGCTGGCACGCAGCAGGCGACTTGGGCGTTTCAATCAATGCCTTGGTGAAAGATCTGCTGAGTGATGCCAAAGCCGCGTTCTGAAAGGGGCGTCTAACCACCTTGAACCAGCTCAAAATTGCTGGTGAAATGTTGAGTATATATGCCCTGGCTGTATGTAGACAGCCGCGAATCAAACCTTGCTTTGCTGTAGGGACGGAGCCTTCATCCATGGTTTGACACTGGAGGGCGCCAGGTGGGACGACAAAGTTGGCATCTTGGACGATTCGCGGCCCAAGCAGCTCTTTTGTCCTGTGCCCGTCATTCTCATAAAGGCGGTCACCGTAGACAAAGCGGAGATGAAAGACGCCTACCAGTGTCCAGTGTACACGACCGAGGCCCGGTTCCGCGAGGAAGTATTTACAGCGCAGCTGAAGTCGAAACACTCGTGGATAAAGTGGACACTTGCTGGCGTGTGCTTGTTCCTAGACGTTGTTTAGGGCGAAGGGCGGTGGGGGCCTGGCCTGGGGAGAGGAAAATTTCGGATGGCTGATTGGTATCTGAATTCGTTTTTGGTCGGGATTTTATGTTGGCACAGGGTGTGTGCCGACACCATCCATGTTGGGTTGAGAAATCCATGCAGACTACATCCAGATATTGGAACTCAACGCAAATGCACTTTTTTAGCATCGCTCCCAAAGGGAGGGGAATAGTGCATTTCGATACGCACGTGCACATCGAAGCACCTTTGGTGCGATATGCTCAAAAATTCTTCACTCATCTACGGAAGATGAGATGCCTCCATAAGGTAGCACTGTTCAATGCAGCCGCTGCCTCACGGCATGCGTTTGACAGTGAAATGCCGCAGGTTTGCCGCAAGGCTCTCAGATCGACCATATCTCCTATTCCAGTCATCTTCCCTGCATTCCATTTACTTGTTCAGTGGACAGCGACAGCCAGCGCGTTGGTGTTGGAGACTTTGTCAACATCCATTTATGGCGGTTTTGCCCGTCGTTTTTTGCCGCTGGCTGTTGTTGCCGTTGTTAATCACCTGCCTTTTCATGGTGATGCGCCACATGCACATGCCGTGCTTGACAACGTTTGCTTTTGTAGAAAAGAATGCTTCTTATCAAGCGACATCAGCTTGCTGTGAATGGGATAAATAGGACTCAAAACTTCTGATCAGGGAGATATGGGTGGGTGTTGCTGGCGGACCGTGCATTCTGTGGGCAGCCAACGGCAACTTGCCCCTGCCAGCCAGCCGTGGGGACAGTGTTGGAGCTATTATACCTAGACTGCGTTTGAACGTACGCCATAGCATTTTCCATCCTTGGTGCATTGGCACAGCTGGCCCGATATCATGCGTTTGGACCCTCATCTGTAGCTCTCGCGCCCAAGTCGGGCAATGTGCAGCCGCAGCCACGCTTCGGTCTGGGCCCGCGCTGCCCCTCTCGTTATGGTAGACCTGGGTACGTGTGGTATTCCCTGAAGCTATGAGGAGAACGGCGGACCCAACAGGGTCTGCTGCTGTGCATCAATAGGAGCAATAGGGGGTCCGTGGATTACTGATGCATGCATGTGTGCAAGTATTCTATATCACCATGTACCAAGTGTCAATATCGCTCACAGCAAAGACAATAATTGCAGCACAATGTTAATTTGGTGCTTTGTAAGTCGAAAACCTGAATGGAAATGCGTTTATTAACCAAATTGTCCTTGAGGATTATCTCCCATGGGTAAAAATACCTCACAATATCGGTTGGTAAGCTCACCAAACACTTTGTACCGACGTAGGTACGCCTAGCGTCAATTTGAAGCGAATCGTACCAAATTCGGCACGGTGCAGTCCCTAGCGGTCACGATTTTTAAACAACGCCTTCACAATGGGTGCCGGGGATTGGTTTTCGAAGGGGAAGCCTTGACAAGGAATAATAATTTCCTCGAGCAGCGTCGCTACTCAAGGAGTGCGCACCGGTGGGCAGTCCTGTTTACCTCCAATCCACCCATCACGTGTAGATCGAATTCAAATTTGAATTTTGCGAAACTCAAGCATTTGGCTGTGGTACGCTGTTTCAAGTTGAGAGGCATGGGGGGATGTACCATGTCAGTCATGATCGTCATATTGGACTGTATGGTGGCGGATACCAGGAAAGAAAGAGAGCATTTACCCTGGCCAGTTTACGAGTCAACCAGGAAAAAGGACCCCGCCAAGCAGAGAGCGGGTGGGAACGTCAAACGCCAAGGACAAACGCTTTTCCCCAGATTGGCTGCATAAATTTCTCTTTAGTCTTTTGTGGTTTCGCTCTGTTCACGGCTGCAGTTTGACGAAGACGAGAAGCAGCCTTTCTTGAAGTACCAAATGCATAGGGTGGGAACTTCTACTACGCTAGACAGTGATGGTAATGCAGATTTGGTCTTCCATTCGGCTGGACATGAATAAGAATAGCAGGTGCATACAGGTACAACGTCACTATGCTTGGGGAATAGATATAGAGAACCCCAAGGGAGGGTCGGCAAATTGGCAGTGGTTGAGGTGTATAAGGGAATGGGCTGAGGTCCCAAGAATTTTTGAAGCAGGCGAATGCTGTTGGGTGGGCAGACTTGTGTAGAGGTTTAAAAGGCAAAAGCATGGAAAGGTGCTGGATGGCTAGGAAAATCTGGACAGGTCAACTACAAACAATTTTAGGGTGGAGTTACTATTGGAGAAGTCAAGGCAGAATGATTGGGGCGGCTGGTGCAAGTGTGGTTGGTGGCGGCCGGTTGGAGCCATTGGAAGAATGGAACCGGCAAATGATACGGGAAGTTTATCACCATGCACAAAAGGAAGGGCTGCATGCAATGACACCTGGACACGTGGACGCGTGGCCTGAATGTCATTCACATCACACCGCCTGCACAGTGGCGTTAGAAGCCTCCCTCTCGTCCGCTGGCTCATTCGTCCATCCGCCCCTATGATCAATTGTGTTGGAAGGCCTCCATGTGTGACTGCCCTATGGGCTGGTGAGTCACGCCTTGTCATTTATATTTTACAACAAGCGTCCAGCCCAGAGCCCAACAGCAAAGGCTTCACCAAAAATAACGCAAACCACTGAGACTCCCAACAAGAAAATGCACACAGTGTGCTTCCAGTGAACGAGCACCTCAGAGGGTAGTGTCGCAAGCTGCCCAATCACAACACCCTGCTGACGGCCCTAACGACGCCTTTCCGATTCTACTTGCCACAGAGCGCTGACACGGTTCCTAAGGGATCGCAGCTCAATCCCTATATTCCCAAGGGGTGCCGTACCAGGAGGCATCCACCTTTCCAACTCAGTGCTCACGCTGGCCAGGAACTCCTTCTCAAACTGATAGATCTTCAGCAGAAAAAGTGCAAGAAAATCAGAGCACAGCAGGGCCAGATTGATGGCAGCAAGGGGACCTATAACTTGCCAGGGGTTCCAGAGCACTCACAAAATTACTCTCTCCAGCTTCAGTTCTGCAGGTGGCGACTCTCCTTGTTCACTCAAGACTTCTTTCCTCAGCACCCACAGGTCATTAGGGTATTCTACAATCTCCAGGATGACGCAGCTATTTTATAGCTCTATGACCCTTAAGTACTGGCTGTACTCGACTTGCTTTTCACCCCAGAACTTAGACACTCTCCCAACACCTCCTAAAGATTACTAAGATCAAGAACTAGTACATTTGTATACCAACAAATGCCAGTTCTGGTCACTAACTTTCCGCAGCTGTAAACTTCAAGGTTTTTGCAACTTTTCTTTTTGATCCCAGCACCACTTTTAATATCAATCTCCTGCCACTGAATATCCTCACTTTCTTATATACAACTCCCAGTCTTCCCTATCACTAAATATGACTCACTCAGGTCTTAGAACTTTATTTTTAATAACTAAACTTATCGCAATTGTATACGCTGGATTTCCATAGCTGGATCGTATCACCCACCTTGCTAACTTTTTGCTTGCTCGCTTCTCCACTAAATGTCGAATTCTATTATCTCCCAATCATCAAAGGCAGCAGCAGCTTCCAGCTCATCTTCCTCAAGGCCCCCGGCAGCTTCTGGCCAGCACTCCTCTTGCCCAAGGACCGCCACCTTCTCCACAGGCTCCATCCAGCTGTCCACTTGCTTGGAAACTCAGGCTGCCAGTCTCCCTCCTATATGGCAGCTTCCTGGCCCTATTACCAATACTCTTCTTGCCTTGGTGTTTTACACTCCTCCAGCTGCTCACCAGCTTCCCCTGGCTTCGTTTGATTCTTTATTATGGGCTCCCAATAATCGGAGTCCCAACCCATATCCAGCAACCCATGCTTCATAAACTCCCTCCGGTCCCATGACTTTTCCTTCCATTTTCTAGGACGCTCCTTGGCCAGCCATTCCTCCGAAGTATTGACAATATTATATACCACTTGCCCCCTCAAATAGCAAATTGACACAAATCACATTTTTATCTATTGTGCACCAAGGGCACTCCATATTGTTGTAGTAGTTTTTATCCTTGGGGCGCCTCTCCTATCGTGCTCCACACCCTAAAGCAACTTCTTTGTGGGCCTCCTGGGAACTCACCCCCATACCCACCAAGAGGTCCAACCTTTCCTGGTATCGCTACTTTGCTTTGTCTGATATCTGGCACTTCTCCACCCACCGAGCTGCTTTCTCCACATCACGTTCCTCGCGCACTGTCAAACTACACTCATACCAGCTCCCTTCGTGGTACCCAACAAGCGGAAAGGTACCCTAGAATCGAGGCCAAGCCTTTGGACCCAACGCAGCTAGTAGCTCCCAACTGAGGTCCGCCAACTGAAGGAACATAGACATAGGCGCCCTGCCATGGCCCTTGGTTAATGGCAAAGGGGCGCCATTGAGGCACCAAGCAAGCGGGCGGGGCGAAGCATCAAACGAGTCTGCCTCCGCATCCATCCATGCTGCTTGCCGGTGTGCATCCCACGGACCGGCATTGGCTTGTAGAGCATGGCGCACACTCCGCCAGAGCTCAAAAGCTCAGCAAGGTGTTGGAATTGTTGCTACTGCAAATGCCTCGATCGAGAGGTACTGCTTTAGTGGTAGCAGCGTCCGCACTATTCTCCAGCTCCATGAAGACTGAAACGCCAAACTTATCCAATGGTCGGGTAGGCCAACGCTTGAGGTGTCGACCCACTTGAGCGGCACACCGACCGCCCCTTTGGTTGCGCCCCGCAACTCTCTTTGCTCTGTGGCCAAACCGCCATTGCGCCGCAGCGACCATATTGCTGGCAAGGCCGCTGGATCTCCATTGCCATTCGTGACTGGGTCTAATGGCACAAAGTCGTGGCCCAGGTCCATGCCTTCTGTTCGAGCTAACTGCAATGTGTGGAGCAGCTTGAGGGACAGAGTTCTACCCATTCGCGCACTCCCACAACAGCCCAGGCAACTCGCTACACATTGCGTGTCAATAGAGCACTACGACTATCAATCAGCTGCGGCTCAAGAAAATGGCCCAATTCTCCAATGTTCCTCAAAAAG